AACTGCTCTGTGAACAATGGGGATTGTGATCATGAATGCCATGAGAGAGAGGATGGTCTTGCTCGCACGTGCAGTTGTATTGAAGGATACCAACTCCAAGACAACTCTAGAAAATGTACTCCCAAAAGTAAGTTACCTCAACAAAATGCACAAATACAAACTATACAGACACTGGTGATTTTGTATCCACAATGCACATTTGCATTTGTACTCAAGATTGTGCTTTATACCCACTAATGTATAATACTGGGAAGTACTCAGACCAAGATAAATCTGAAGAAAAATCTCATCTTGAGAAAAAAGTTTATCTCATCTTGAGAAAAATTATTAGCTTCTAAAGCCATTTGACAAAATGAATTATGATCTATGTGCATTTTTTCATATACAGATGACGCTTCATGTGGCCAGATTCGGATTGTAAAGTCATTCTATAAAAATAAGCCTATAGTAGGTTTACAGCCATGGGTCATAGGAGGTACAGTTGGCAAAAAGGGAGAGAGTCCCTGGCAGGTATTTGTGATTTATGTAATACCTGTGTAATCATATGTAATAGAGCCAAATGTTTTATTAGAGCTGACAGATGTCATATATTATACCAATACTCAGCCAGAACACGTTTTGTGCTTCACTGTATAAACAATAATGTGTGTATTTTGCAGGCTCTTATACTAAATAATCAAGGCAAGTTTCACTGTGGTGGAGTTCTGATTGACGAAAACTGGGTTCTCACAGCTGCTCACTGCCTAGAGACAAGTACAAGGTTCAGTGTCAGATTGGGTATGTGATGCATTTTTAAGTATTTTTTATCCTCCCTTACATTTACATTTTTAGAAGATGCATTACAATAGCAATTTGCCAAAAACGTGCATGCGACATGACAGTTCCTTGGACAGGAGGTGAGTGATGTTGTTTATTAAGCTTAGGCCTCAGGCCCCATCCACACTACTGCGTTTTAGTTTAGAAACGGAGAATTAAAACGAATACGATCTCCGTCCACACCAGCGTTTTAGCTGCGTATTAGAATTGATATCCGTCCACATTAAAAAGGAAACAGGAAACAGATGGACTATTCCTCAGATTTGACGAAGAAGAAAGTAGCTAAGTTACCTCTGCAAAGAGCGACGCTCCATGTACGTTCGATACCGCCGCTGGACACGGGAATTGTCACAGATCGCTCGAATAATAGCTTGCCTCCGGCGCATGTACGCAGTTATAGCATTGAAAAATGCCGAATTTACTTTCACAACAGCTGCTAGCAAAGACATCAAAGTCAGAAACGCTTGCCATGACTGATGACACCCAACCAGAGAGCCGAGCGTGAGCCTCCGCGTCATTGTTTCTAAAGTCCTCCGTTTTGACCCGTCTTCACTGAGGTGCAAACGTAGCAAAAGGTCTCCGTTTCTAATCTAAAACGTAGTAGTGTGGATGGGGCCTCAGAAGTGAAAAGAAATGCCAAAGTACAAGAAATTTGCCATTACATTTTACAGAGGCTATACAATGTTATTGTATAGTTCACCCAAAAATGAAAATTCTGTGATCATTTACTCACCCTCAATTTGTTCCAAACCAGTATGATTTTTTTTCTTCTGCCAATCAACTGTTTGCGTAATTTTAAAATGATGACAGGATTTAAAATTTTTGGGTGAACTATCCCTTTAATTCCACACATAAAATGTCCCAACTACTTGACAGATAGCACTGAAATAAGTGTCCTGAGAAATCCCACTTTGTTTCTGTTACAGTCCTAGTCTCTGTAAAAAAACAAAAGCAACAGCAAGCACCCTGTCCTTTTTAACCAGTCAGAAAAAGTGGCCATCCATAAACACCCTCAACTTTGAATAATAATTGTATACCTTCAGGTTCCCGGATATCTTTGGAGAACGTGTGATTGGAAATATGGGTGAGAGGTGGTCTATTTCAGTGGCTAAGTCGGGAGAAAATGAGCTAATTTTAATCCTTTTAAAAGGAGCCCCTAAAGCAGGGGTGTCCACTGTCCTGCAGAGTTTAGCTCCAACCTCAATTAAACACCTGAATCAGATAAACAAGGGCTGTGTTTGAAATCCCCCCTCATTCACTATTCCCTACATTACTCCATTAATATAGTCCACTTGAAGGAATGAATGAAAACGAGTGAGTGAATTCGGACATTGAGTGCGCTGTTGAACGGCTGCCGCTTTTGCATAGTTTGTGCTTGCCTTTTAAAAATCATTTGACACTTAGCAAACTGACAGCTCCAGTCTTAATGAAAAGATTTATCATGAGCTCTGTCATGGAAACGAGCATGTATAAACATGCCATCTTCTGGCGAGACACAGGAATTCATTTGGTGCGACCGTCACAGTGGGTATTCTATAGCCGTTCAGCATACATCAGTTGAATGCTCGTTATTGCGGTGCATTATGGGATTGAATGAGTGCACTCGATAACATCCACTATGGTTTCGGACACCACTACAAATGGCTGTCCCCTCAAATAGTGCCATATTTAAGGGTATAGGGGGAGAAACTTCCAGACAGGTGTTAAAAAAATTGCAACAAAATTATTTCAAGGCTTTTGCATTCTCTCACAAAAAAAAAAGTTGTCTAAATAATCCTTTAACCAAGTGGGATGGCCGTCTCTGCAGGTGACTATGACCGGTTCAGGATGGAAAAAACTGAGATGACCCTTCCTGTCAAACAACCTATCACCCACCCTGAATACAACCCTTATACAGTGGACAATGACATAGCTCTGTTGCGCTTGGCTACACCAGCCAAATTTTCCACATACATACTCCCAGCATGCCTCCCCAGTCAGGACCTGGCAGAACGAATGCTGCATCGCAACGGTACCATAACGGTCGTCACTGGCTGGGGAAAGGACAACGAGACTGCTCATCGTTTCAGTTCAACTCTCAACTTCATTGAAATTCCAATTATGGACAAAAACGAGTGTTCCAGGCATATGATGAACAACCTCACTCAGAACATGCTATGTGGGGGAGTGCTGGGACAGATCAAAGATGCTTGTGAGGGGGACAGCGGGGGTCCAATGATGACACTCTTTCACGACACATGGTTCCTCGTAGGTCTGGTGTCCTGGGGAGAAGGCTGTGGGCAAAGAGACAAGCTTGGCATCTACACCAAAGTGTCCGGCTATTTGGATTGGATAAACAGTGTTCGTCAGGGGTGGGATAAAGTCTAGACCCCTTATTTTCTACCCTGTTCTGCCTATCATAGAAAATATAAATATGAATCGGAAAAAAATCAATGTACTCACTATGGTTTTTCCGATATAGAGATTGGCAGTTAATAAACACATAAATGCAAGATGCTCTTATTTCCCTGTTATCTGCATGTTTAAGGAAATCAAGCTGTCAGTCAAATGAGGAGTTCAACTAAACAAATGTTACATATTATGTGTTTTAATGAGGATATAAAAGGAGCACACACTTGTAAAGTCTCGTTATTTGATTCCTTTATTGGGTAAAAGATAAATGTATTATACGAGAGGGATTAAAGGGATAGTTCACCCAAAAATGAAAATTCTGTCAGTATTTACTCACCCTCATGTTGTTCCAACCCCGTAAGACCTTCGTTCATCTTCGGAACACGAATTAAAATATTTTTGATGAAATCTGAGAGCTGGATCACTCCTCCATAGGCTTCTTCAGGGATTGAACTTGCCGGCCTCGAAAAGTTATTAAAGACATCGTTAAAATAGTCCAAGTGACTACAGTGGCTCAATCTTAAGTTTATCAAACGACGAGAACACTTTTTGTGCGCAAAACCCCCCAAAAATAACAACTTTATTTCAACTATTCATTTCCTTCTCTGTGGGCCTCGAGTCAGTTCACTAGTGTAACAGCGTACGCTTCTGTTGTTGTACGTCACACACATCACGCACATGACCAGCGTCGGCCAATAGTGAGCCTACGTGTGACGTTGCTCCACGTTGCTCTACGCAATTACACTAGTTTAACTGACTAGAGGCTCAAAGAGAAGGAAATGAATAGTTGAAATAAAGTCGTTATTTATGTTTGTTTTTGCGCACAAAAAGTATTCTCGTCGCATGATATACTTTAGATTGAGCCACTGTCGTCACTTGGACTATTTTAACGATGTCTTTAATAACTTTTCGAGGCCGCCAAGTTTCACTCCCTGAAGAAGCCTATGGACTAGTATGAAGGAGTGATCCAGCTCTCAGATTACATCAAAAATATCTTAATTCGTGTTCCGAAGATGAACGAAGGTCTTAGGGGTTGGAACAACATGAGGGTGATTAAATACTGACAGAATTTTCATTTTTGGGTGAACTATCCCTTTAATATATTATTTGAGACATTCTAAAATACAGTACTACAGTAGATTTGTTTATGATTTAAGAAATTGTAAAGGACGACAATGAATATGAATTTATATTTAGTTTTTAACTTGACATCAGTGAAAGAGCACAGTATACAATCACCCCAGAAAACAACGTGCACTGGAGACATTCCTGAGTATGGACAGTTACAGATATATGGGCCCGTTTACACGACACCGTTTTCAACTAAACCGGAAACTTTTATGCGTTTTGGCCGTTTATTTACATGGCAACTGCGTTTTGGGAGCCTGAAAACGCTAATCTGCTGACGTCATGCGCATACATATTACGTGTTCAGTCTATAGTTGTGTAGTGACATTGCCAACTACTGGCCTGGCATGAATTCAGCGTTTTTAATCCTTTTCGTGGATCCGTTGAAAGGGGATCGTTTTGACAAAGTTGTTGTCTGTACTCGTAACTTTTCAAAAGTGCAAAGGATAAACTTTTCGGTTTTTAGTACATCGTTGTCGTGTAAACAAACCCTAACATAATTCCTATTCAAAACAAAATCATAGCGGGTAAAGGGATATTGCATAGAAAAAGGAAGCTGAGAAAATAAAGACAAACATCCTTTTTAAATGAACAGACCTCTAAGTAACTGTCCCTGAGGGGTGTTTTTTGGTTGTTTTGGTCTGAAAGCACACACAATTACAAAAAACATTATTTAAATATTTCTCTTTAATTGCATCTATGCAAAATAAATAAAATCATACTGAGATAACAGTTAGCAGGAGAAATTTGCAGGTTTTCTATGTTTATTAAAGGGCAGAAAAGTCTAGAAAAAGACCCTCCAAAGAGCCTTAATCCAGCTAAAATAACATTACTTTCTTCAAACAATCATCCTGTTGGACAAAATGTAGGCTATGATGATTATATTTCTTCATATATTATATTATTTCATAAATTACATAATCTATAATTTATAAACAGAGACGATAGCCTACTCATACTGCAAGCAAGGGATATGAAGCTGAGGATTTTTATGTAATTCAAAAGAATAATATTACATTTAAAATTAAAAAATGCAAATAAATTTCAAAACCTGAGCAGAATAATTTAAGGCACATATCCCTTATTTAAAGAGATTCATAATTTTCAGCAAGCTTTAACAGTGAAGTGTCTAAGGCCTTAACTATATTCAAGCATTATATTAACAGGTCTAATATTAACAATGACAAAAAAAAAAAGGTTGAGAACGTAGTGTCAGAAAATGTTGGTATGAAGTTAAAAAGGAGAAGGGTTGGATGACCTCCTGATCTTCAGCTCCTGTTCATATCGCTCCAGCTGAGTCCAAAATCCCGGGTTAGGCTCAACAACAGATCGGGCATTTTTTACTACCTGATAGAACAAATAAGAATTACAGAAGAGTTAAACAACACTATATTCTGGCACAAAAATCTGGAATGTTGTGGTTTTCCATTATCAATTAGGCCACTATTAACAATGATTATGATGATGAGTGATGAATATTTTTGATGTCCTGTGGATGGATGCCTTTATTTTGTTGGAGCAAATTATACTTTTATATTATAAAAAAACAATAAAATATCAATAACAATCATTGCATGGAAAAATCAAGGATGAAATACCTATTTAAAAAAATCCTTAATATAAAAAACATACTGCACATATCCTGACTAGAACTAGACATAAACACTATTCATACCTGGAGGGCATCTGTTAGGCTGAGACCCTGGTGCTTCATTAAAAAGGCCACACAGACAGTAGCTGAACGACTGCGTCCATTCTTACAGTACACAACGGTCCGGCCTCCCCTTTCTGCCTCGCTTGCTATGGCATCAGCACAGCGATCAAAATACTTGTACAGGTCTTCATTAGGGTCATCATAGACGGGTACACGCAAAGTGCTGACCCGGATTGTGGGAAAGGGTTGCTGCTTTGACACATTGATACAGAAAGTGACCGCCTCCTTCTGGATGAGATCATTGTTGCAAGCTGACTGGGCATTACTGATTAGCAAACAGTCTGTAACTAGACTCAATTGCAGCATTTCTTGCTATATGGTGCCTGCATATATGTGATGATGTGACTATATGTTTGTGTATCTTGAAGAAACGTCAAAGTTATAAATGACTATCATCAACTAACATTGTTTTATATACTAAGTTCAGTAAAGACTAGTGTTATTATAACAGAGGTAGATGCATATGTCAGATATTAGAGTATTATATATAGCTAATGCATCAGCAAGGAGAAAGGTCAGATGTTTCACCCTAATGCCATTACACTGACAAGTCTGGTGAGCTGTTGATTCAAACAGAGAGGAGAGAGAACAATATCTGTTTAGAACAAACACATGCAAAGGTAAAATAATAAATGGAACAACAATTTTGTAAAGCAACCTAAATGTACAGTAATCATTTAAAATGTTAACTGGGCATGCTCGAACACCATGTTTAATAGCAGGTATATGCTCAGCCTTCCACCCTCTTTCAAAACATGACATTAACATTTAAATCAGATTAAGAAAGCATTCTGACCTGCAGATTGATCGTAGGGATGATCCTCGAAGCGGATGTGTCGATCAGGAGCTCATCATCCTCCATCACAAAAGTCCCTATGGCAGGGAAAACGACAACGTGCATTGAGCTCACATGCAGCTGACTGACCCCGCCCATTTAACTGTCAATCATCGCTGTCCTCTCGCTCAATGACCACTGTAGGGTTAAAAATAGATCACTTACTTGAAATCTAAGCTTGCCAGACAACCAACTGAACCAGATTATGCCTGGTCTGCTGACGTTTTGTCGCTGAAAACAGTCCAAAAAAAAAAAAATCAATATTCAAATAATTAATTTTTATCCGCAGTTGTAGCCTACCTCAGATTTGTTTGTAGGCTACTGAGATAAAAAAAAAATAATAATAAAGGGGTCTTCTGTTTATTTATAGTAATCTGATCTGATCATAGCGCCACCCAATGGACTGTGTGCATCACGAATTTAAAGGAATAGTTTCCCTTCATTGCCATTATGTAAAACCTTCTCATTGTTCCTCTTTTTTTTTTTTTTTTTACTGAATAAATGCGTTTAGAACGACCTGAGAGCGAGTAGATGATGACAGAATTAAATTTTTTGGGTTAACTAACCCACATAAACAATCAAAGAAATAACTAAATAAATAGGCAAAAATAGGTAGAAGTAGAAATAGAGGTAGCTACTTATTATAAATAATGCGTAGTGTGTGTGTGTGTGTGTGTGTATATGTGTGTGTGTGTGTGTGTGTTTGTATATTATATAAATATATACATAATACACACACACACACATATATATATATATATATATATATATATATATATATATATATATATACATACACACACTCTACGCGTTATTTATAATGCGTTCATAAATAACGCGTTTAGTATTTAGTAAGCGGTTTAATTCGCGTTTAGTAATACTCTGGTGTATTTTATTATGCGTAAACAACGCATTGTTCTCCACCGCGTTTGACTGACGGCTAAATAAACTTCTTTTTATTGTCTATGATAAACATGCTGTGACGCAGTTCTCCCGCCGATACGTCTGACGTCATGACGTCGTTTCAGAGTTCAAAGCGACGAGAATGAGAGGAAGCCTCGAGATGGAGGCAGGGGGGGTAATTTAATGCAAAAAATATCAAATTGACGCGTAATTTGAAGACAGTTGACATTTCATTTTCAGAAAGAGAGACTACAACAGTCTCCACAAGGAAGAGTCGTGTGTTAAATTTAGATATATAGACTCAGTCAGCACTGGATATTTTGGGTGAGTTTCTCAAGTATTGACCGGGCGCCATTTAAACACGCTTTGCGGGAGACAGGGAAGAAATAACCGCTCTCAGCCAGCACACAATTATCTGCTTCAGTGGACACATTCTGCTCTAAAATAAACGCTTATTTTTTAAAAGGATATTCTATTCTCATTTTGGTAGACGGCGGAAATGTGCCGTGTTTGTGAGGGCCCGTGGTAGCGCCAGGTATTGTGTGTTAGCTGGCTAACGGCTAACAGCTAACAGTCCTCGAACTGAAGAGACATTTACGACCTCAAACAAGAGATTACAGGTATAAATTACGCATCAACCGCCAATTTACGTTTTCTTTTAGTGTCTGCATTTAAGAGATACATGTCTTTAATACTTGACTCAAGATTTGTTGGTTTTTAAATTTGTTTGTAATTGAGTTCTGCGTTATTACATCAATGCGGGATGTAACGCCACCTAAAGAAAACACATGAAACTAACTCTACAAATGTTTTACTGGTATTCACAAACACGTCAATGTTACCCACATAACTGAAGATTTCTTAACATTTACGTTGCTCTAAGTCGACTCGGAATATATTTGCGAAAAGGCCATTGGATGGACAAAATGTTTTGTCTCTTAAATTCGTTCCTTCTACTGCTAAAGTGTACTCTTAATAACTATTTGAGTATATATTTATATATATATAATCAATCACACATACATACAGCATCTATATTGTCATATATCAAAATACACGTTTAGTCACAGACAATGTTCTCACTTTTATTCTGTTAAAGTACTTTTTTCATTTAAGTTTTTGGTAATGTTAATGATTACTTTTAAGAACTGGGTTTTGATTGTATGTGTAGTGCCTTTTATGTGTATAATAATCCACTGGATGATGCACAATACGCTGTATGAATTTCTTGGTCTCTGTGAGGGTGAAATAAAATGTATGTTTTTCAAAAATTAATCATTTGCACAGGCTTTAAGTTGGTTATGGTACTCCGGGACAGTGCTTTGCCAATGCTATTGGTTCAGGATGCAGATTTTACATTAGATATCAAGTGGTGACACAACACACTGGGAACTTTTATTTTTATTTTCAAAACTAAAAATGTGCTTTTTGGCAACCTCAACCAGCATAATTTCACTAGTATCTACCAAATGACAGATTAATTTGCCCTGAAAGGATACAGAACTGATTTCAAATTTTAGGGAGATGTGACCCACCAGTTGAGAATCACTGCCATAGACAAAGAAGGGGTCCAGAATGGGATTGGACTTAAGCCATCCTGACCACGGCACAATTTTATTGAAACAAAATTATATTCTTCTGAGTTAAATAATGTTTTATCCTTTAATATTTGTTCAGATTATTTTTTCTCAGAAGCCTGTTTCTTGACATCAGCAGTATTATTCACTCTTTAAACAGAGCAGTTTTAACAGTCCAGTTGACTTGCAGTAGCTACTTGACCTCGGTCAGCTCTGATGGCATCTAAACAGGTTACCAAAGTTGTTTGTATTGATAAAAGTAATCCATTTTGTATCTCTTTATTGTGTAAGTGAGTTACATCAAGAAACTGACCTCATTTACAAATGTGGCATTAGGAACTCAAAACATAAAAGTTTTAGAATGCAATGTTTATCCGCATTTTTGGAGTTAGTTTTAAGAATAATTACTTGCCAAAATTGGTACACAGCTTATTGCAGTCACACTATGTATTTATTACATGCTAATTACAACTGAAGAATTTACAAAAAAAAAAAGAGTATCATATCTGGTGCCATTAGGATAACTAACTATAATAAGTAATTTAGTTTATTTTTTACAATGAAATATCCTATCTGGGAGTCGAGCCTCTTAGCTGCCTTTGATTCCATAAAAACACTGATCTAATGCCATCTTTGTGTGTGCACTCACTGTTGTTTATTATTATTATTATTATTATTATTATTATTGAAAATTCAATGGAATAGGCACTACTACTATTTAGACCTTTTCATTGATCACAATGGTTTTAACTGGAGGATCTTTTTAATCATTGTGCATTTTCAATAGTTGAAAGAAGGTTAACTGTATTAATACTGTGATCATCTAGGATTTTTCTCTTTGTGCTGCTTTCTTAAAAGTTGTACAGGGTAAATGTCCGTTTTCGTCTGTGTTTCAAGTTATGCATTACTATGTTTTAGATGCTGCCCTATTTTATTCATGGTTCAGTTCATTTTGAGCATGGAGTGTGTTTCCAGATACTCAACACCAACAAACATTGATGTTAGTTCTCTGACATGTAAAATAAGTAGAATTATCCTTGCCCTGGAAAAGGTTTCTAAAATCAACTTGGGGTTGCTTTGATATCACTTGCACCATGCCATAGCTTGCTTTTTTATGGAAGCCAATTTATAATTATGATAATTTCTTTGTATTGATTACAAAGTATTTACCCTATTTTGTGTACTATTGTCTATCTTCACTTAATTACTCTGTTTATTCTTTCCGAATACTCTTTTCACATCCGGAAGAACCATATTGATTGATTGCAGTATCTATTTTATGTTGTTGTTGTTGCTTAAGTTATGACATGCAGTTCACAGTGTCCTTGTGCTGTAGAATGAGATATTTCTTATTCACCAGTTGATGGACTTATGGCGCAGATGTAATTTATGATGTTAATATCTTTTCTGTCTCTCTGTATGTTACATTTTCCATTGACCTGTGCAATTGGTTAAGTTTTGTTCATTTAAAGTGAGCCGATGTAATAAACCTTAAACTCGTGGTAAATGTCCTTCCCTTCACATCTTCAGGTGTCAAACATGGCGACCGACATTGGCTCCCCTCCCCGGTTCTTCCACATGCCCCGGTTCCAGCACCAGGCTCCCCGGCAGCTGTTCTACAAGAGGCCAGACTTTGCCCAGCAGCAGGCCATGCAGCAGCTCACTTTTGATGGCAAGCGTATGAGGAAAGCTGTCAACCGCAAGACCATTGACTATAATCCATCTGTCATCAGATATCTTGAGGTATAATCCTGAAAAACAATTAACTAACAGAAACAGAGCCTCCCTCCTCTAGCAATCTTAATATTTGGCTATTTGCTGTATTTCAGAATCGATTGTGGCAGAGAGATCATCGAGATTTCCGTGCCATTCAACCAGATGCAGGCTGCTACAATGATGTATGTTTTACTACTACTACTTTGCTCAGTTCTTGTATGTTTTTCCTTCAAGTTCATATATCTAATAAAATACTTACTTTTCTTGCAGCTTGTTCCTCCAGTTGGTATGCTTAGTAACTCTATGAATGCTGTTACAACAAAGTTTGTCAGAACCTCCACCAACAAAGTCAAATGCCCTGTTTTTGTTGTGCGGGTAAGTGTTAGGCTTGTATTTTAAAAAGTATGTTATGCTAGTTGAAATATGTAATTTTGCTGTATAATCCGCATAAAACCAAGTCCTTTGGTTGTTCTAAATATTTCCGTATCCTTTACTTCCCTTCTTGTAGTGGACTCCTGAAGGCAGGCGACTTGTAACGGGTGCCTCCAGCGGGGAGTTTACTTTGTGGAATGGGCTCACGTTTAACTTTGAGACAATTCTGCAGGTAACCAGAGACCATGTTTTTGATTTGAGGCACATGACCTTGCCTCAACCTCATAAGCTTGCTAAAAGGCCCTTGCTTATTTATCAAATTTTCTTCTCTTCGTTCTCATAGGCTCATGATAGCCCTGTCAGGGCAATGACCTGGTCTCACAATGACATGTGGATGTTGACTGCCGACCATGGAGGTTACGTGAAGTACTGGCAGTCCAACATGAATAACGTCAAGATGTTCCAGGCTCACAAGGAGGCGATTAGAGAGGCCAGGTCTATACACAATCTACCATTTTCTGTAGTTAACCCGAGCCTGTTACTGCCCCTGCAGTGGCAGGGCTCTGCCTGTAGGGGGCTCTCCTCAGTGCTGTCAGTTCTGATATACTCTTCCCTGTGCTGCTCAATGTTCATGTCCTTTATTATTGACACGTGTGTGTGTTGTTACCTGTGGCTTATGAGTTATGTATCCTCATCTTTTATATACATAATTACTTTGTACAGAAAAGGTGTATTTCTCACACTTTTAAATAAAGTATTTCCAATTATTTATATTCTAAGGTGATGACACATGCAGTCTAGAATAATAAATAAAAAACACGTCCGTTAAAAAGACCCTCAGGGACTAACGTGTTTGTTGGAAGGGTTTATGGAGCCTCCGTATTGGAGGTGCTGGACTCTTGTCTTGTCCTTGCGCTGGTGTAATTGTAGGAACCCTACACAATTTTAAGTTTCAGTTCACAATGGTTTAACAATGAGACGGGAGCTGTGCTGTCCCGACTGGCCATCAGAGTCTGTGCCACACTTTCAGTCAGTCCCATAAAACAAGTCTTCCCTAATAAAAATACTGCCTCTAAATAAAGATTTTTTTTTTAAGAATAAATAATTCAGAAATTCACTTCGATGCACCTCTACGGGTATTAATGCACATGGCAACATTTTCATTCACAGTGAAATCCAGGTTCTTTTGATTCACTGGCACTCCTTTTCATTCTGTTAACTCAGACACAATGCAGGGCATGTAACGTTCTTTCTGATGCAATAAAATGCAATTTCACCTACAATATTTAAAAACAAAAAAGGAAGCCACAAATTTAAAGCCAGTGTAATCAATTTATACAAATGCCTCATGGGTTGAAGTAAAACCTGCTGAAAAAGAGGCTTTTGCTTACTTCAGTGGTTCATTTCTATCATTTGAGCACTGGTACTTCATGGTGTTAGGTGGTGTGATAATTCTGCTTCATTTGTCTGTAGAAATAGTAAAGTAATGGTGTGTTTTTGGAGGTCAAAGAGTGAGTTGGTAAACTGAGGCAGGCTCAGTTTTGCCAAATGCTTGAACCAGCTTGTGTGCCCTCTGGAAGGAAAGAGCGGTCTGTGTAGAGATGATTGTGTTCGAAACCTACATGGTTGTGTTCACTGATCGAACTAAAGTAAATATTTTTAACATTTTTCAATCTCATTCCTATTTCTGATGTTGTACGACAGGGCTCAGAATACAGGGAAATGTGTGGCCAGTTTTAACTATTGCAATCCTTTTAGCTTGTGTGCTGTCTATGAGCAGCCCACATAGTTTTAGCATCTGATTGTTTTTTAATTTTTTTTAAATTAGAGATGTGAAAAAAAATAAGCGAGAGTATAATAGGACTGTTCTGTAGCATGAGCTGTCTGCTAAGGAGATGGATGGTTCCTTGTCAGATCAACTCAAAGCGCCCCTGTAAGATGTCCAGCCCACAGAGAACTGCTATGTTATCCTTCATTGTTGATTCTCTCCCTGCTGTGTCTTCAGTTTCTCTCCTACGGATAATAAATTTGCCACTTGCTCTGATGATGGAACTGTACGCATCTGGGACTTTCTGCGCTGTCACGAGGAAAGAATTCTGAGAGGTATGTCATATAAGATGTGGAGATATTCACAAACGCTTTCCTTTGAGCAAAATTACACTGTCATCTGGGTTCACAAACACAAGTCTTCATGTTGTCTTTCACACAAATCTGCACACTTTACCATGGGCTGTCGGTATCAGTTATGTTCTTGCATTGGTTTGGCAGTTTTCATGGGTCTGCGATTTAAATATTTATTAGACCTTGTGTTTGAGATTATAACTAATATTTTACTGATAAATTCTAGTGTTTTGTACACCATTTTTTTAGGAATTTATTTATTTTCTTGTGGAAATTTAATCCACATGAACATGGGGGAAATAAATAGCTGTGTGAGCATTTTATTGCTTGTATATGCAAACTATTGCGTCTAATAACCCTGTGTTTTGGGTATTATAGTCTTGTGTAAAAAAAAAACATTTATAATGTGGTGCACTATTGCCGTACTACTGCCAAAAAATATATATTTTGTAGTAGAAAGGTTTAGATATTGTTTAAATATTTTTGTTTCTTAATCTTTTTTTCAAACAGATGATCAAATCTAGTGATGATCAGTTATCTTAAAAAAATCGAACCTTTTTTCCTATGACGTAATATTCTTATAGCTAAACAGAATAAGCATTGAACCATCTCTCATCATGTGTTGGTATTAAAAGTCACACTGTAGTACAGAATCAAATTTAAACTTATCGATTTAGGTTAGCATATACAGTGCTTGCAGAATTATGAGTCACGTTGATTTTCTGATCATATTTTTTTTTCCAGGCACATTTTACCAATTCTAAACCACATTAATCTTAACTGCTATTAATATTGTATGTATATTGTGTTTACACCTTATATTCAGGTGTGGATAATTATTAGGCATGTTTTCTTTTACAGATAAAATAAGCCAAAAAAGACATTTAACTCGGACTGAAAAGTAAAAAAAAATACTAAATGCCCATGAGAACGATGCAATACTATAAATTGCAGTTAAGGCATGACTATTGGACAGTGAAATGCTCATTGGGTCAGACAAAAACAGGTGGAGAAGAAAAGACATGTTCACTGCAAAATAATTAAGTGTGGAACCACCAGGAACCCTTTAGTCTCCAGCGCCACCATTTTTTTCCAGAACTGCAACCTCCCTGGAGTCTCCAGAAGTGCAAGGTGTCAGGATCTCAGAGACGTAGGTTAGGTAAAGAATAAAAAAAAAAGACCCCACTTAATAAGAATCACAAGCTGAACTGTAGTAAAATACATGGAGACTGTTTTTTATAGGCTTTATAGACGGACAGATTGAGAGTGACTCTTGAAGGACCAGCAACACATCCTCTTGTACCACTGAAGAATTCATCCTCCAGAATCTGGCAGTAAGTTTTTTCATTCGAGTTCATTTTTAGTCCATCTCTGTAAAACAGACTTCAGGGCAGGAGGGAGGTTGCAGTTCTGGGAAATGGTGGTGCTGGAGACTTAAGGGTTCCTCATGGTTTCACACATAATTCTTCACCTTAATTCTTTTGCAGTGAACATGTCTTTTCTTCTCCACCTGTTTTTGTCAGACTCAATGATCATTTCACTGTCTAATGGTCATGCCTTAACTGCAATTTATAGTATTGCATTAGTATTGCATCGTTCTCATGGGCATTTAATAATTTTTTACTTTTCAGTCCGAGTTAAATCTTTTTTGGCTTATTTTATCTGTAAAAGAAACCGTGCCTAATAATTATGCACACCTGAATATAAGGCGTTTTTCATTTCCAGCCTTCATGAACAATTATATATCACTTATAAATGATTAAATACAAAAGTAATAGTAGTTATTAAGATTAATGTGGTTTGGAATTAGTCAAATGTGCCTGGAAAAAAATATATGATCAGAAAATCAACGTGCCTAATAATTCTGCAAGCACTGTAGCATTTCTAAACCGCCACTTGCCTGTATCACTCATTACAATGTATTTTCTGTTTCAGTACTTTAAGAAAAATTGACTTTTAGTTTAAAAAGAGTTGATCCTTCTGGCATTATTAGAAATATTTGTGTTTATTTCAATGTAGTGAAGATGAGGCATTTGTCTCTTTTAATACCAACAGCATACTAATTTACGTATGCAAGACATGCATAACCTGACCTGTCATCATTTTCGAAAAAGATAATCCACCTTAAATGCACAGACATCATCACATGGCAATGGGCTTCTTGTTTGAAAAACAATAAAACTGAAGAACATGTAATACCTTAAACTACTTTAAATACAAAAACTGAAGAAAAAAAAGCCATTAGTTGACACATGATGACTATTGTGGGACTTATGGATTTAAGTCTATTATTATTGTTGTTGTTTAATATTCAGTTCAATAACAGTACCAGTCCTTTTCATCTCAGAGGGTTTTCTTGTGTATATGTGTGTCCTGTGTTATGGGGGCAAAATGTCCCCACAAAGATGGCATTATCCAAAATCCTTGTTCTTATGGGGACATTTTTTTATCCACAAGAGGGAAACAGCTTATAAATCATACTAAGTGATTTTTTTTTTTGAAAATGTAAAAATGCAGAAAGTTTTCTGTGATGGGTAGGGTTAGTGTAAGGGGATAGAATATACAGTTTGTATATAAACAGTATATAAACCACTACGTCTATAGAAAGTCATAAAACATGAAAACTCAATGTGAGTAATGCAAAAAAAATAATAATGTGAGTGACTGGGTATGGAAGCTTTGTGATAAAATAAAACATAAAAAATTATGCTTGTGCTTAATGTTAGGGTTTTTTGTTTTGTTTTTGAATGCTTTATTAACAGACATACCGAAAGCAAATTTTGCTGTTTTGTTGATTTAGGGGTTATTGTCTGTAGGTTTAAAAATTTTAACCTTTGTCCTGTAACAACTCAAGTCGAGTATTTTGTGTACTTTTGAGAGGTCAAATATTTGAACCTCACAAGATGCATATACTTTTTTAATGCTAGTTTGCTTTAAGGTAGTTTTGAGATTTGCATCTATGTGCACTTCAGTAGTGTACCAGTTAAGACAAAGTGGCCTGAAATTTAAGCAGAGAAAATAATACTTTCACCCAATTTATGACCCACTGGATCTATGATTGAAATATTAATGAATTAAAGAAGGCACAATATTGTCAATTTGGAAGTAAAATGTTCAGACTTGGGACTGTAAACAAATAAACAAAGTATTTCATGAAAAATGTGATTAGCATAGGTTTCATACATTGTAAGACCTTTCACATTATATTAAATTTATCTCCACATTTTTTTGTTGTTTTTTGTTTTCCCGAATGCTACGTGTCTTTAAGATATAGCACTGTCCCTGTTACAGGGATCTAGAATGGGCCTGATTTTTATCATTAATAAAAATAGGACTCATGCTTTTTTCACTTTTTTAAGTTACTTTAAATAGATCTCACTGATTTGCATAAAAACAGAACTTGCATTCTTTTACAACAGGGATTTTCACTCAATTTAACTATAGGCTTTCTTTCTTTTCCTCATGTTTGCAAACACACACAAGTGTTCATTCATCTGTCAACTAAAAATACAGCTAAGGATTCATGCAGCTTCACCCAGACATTAATATAAATTAATTAGCAAGCTCATGCTAACTTGATTATTCTGAGCAATGTTTTTGTGACTATCAAATAATGGCATTATTTAAAAGGGCACATAATGTGATTGTAAAAGTGTCCCATTTGTCTATGAATTTTGTGAGATTTATTATTTTGCTAATTCAGTGGCATGTGACTTGATTAAGAGTTTAATCCAATAAAATGTGTTTTGTTCTGGCTGTTACTTAGGATGGCTTTGCTTATTATAGAGAAGTAAAATATGGCATTTGATACATATAACGTAATGCTTAATTTGTGATCAAAATCAATAAAAGTGTTACTCTTGAGTAACAATGTTTTTCTGAAATATTAAAGAAAAATATATGCAAATACACAATATGTTTCTCTTTTCATGTCACAAACTCATTTGAAACCTACATATGTTTCCAGGACATGGAGCAGACGTGAAGTGTGTTGATTGGCATCCCACAAAGGGTTTGGTGGTGTCCGGCAGCAAAGACAGCCAGCAACCTATCAAATTTTGGGACCCAAAGACTGGACAAAGTTTGGCAACACTGTAAGTTAGCGTGGTGGCAGAAGTCAATCTTTGTCTCTGTAGAAACTTCTCGAGTCAGGAGTTCAAGGTGTCAAAAGAATACACTTCGTTTCAATTAACAAAGTAGAGATGTCAGCTGATTATCTAACAATTTTACTCAAAACTCATTCTTATACAGTCTCTTCCAACCTGTTTACACTTTGCTCAACAAATGGTCTTTCGTTGGGTTATCTTCGATTGTGTTAGTCCTTCCTGTTCTTAAAGCAGAGGAAAATAACAGGTGCACATCTTGATCTTTCTTGCATGAATCCTCCAACACTTACACATCTCAACAACAAAAGCATCTCCTTATCATTGTTGCATTTGGTGCTCAGACTGGCCTGCTCAATTATGGCAAAAATCATAATCAAGAATATTTAACACGATTATTGATATGATCAAAGTCTTATTTCACGATACGAGTAATTTTAAATATCAGGGAAATTTCACAGTTATCAATACTTCAAAAAAGAATACAATTATAAAATAATGTAAGAAAAGGGTCCTCAAAACAATTACATAATTACCGGTAAACTGTCAGCAATACAATAAGAACAAAAACTAATTACAAACAAAACTGACAAATAAATACAAGAGGATGAAAATACAAATTAAATAAACAGTGTTTTCTCAGGAAGATGCACTAACTGTGTTATTCAGATACAGTATGTAATAGCCTATAAAAAAGATTGAATAATCAAATGTAAAATAACACTGCGTAGTCTTACTGTACATATTGAATATAGATTAATTCTTATTAAAGCTACTTAGGAAAATCACTCACTGATCTTGACTGAATACCTTTTGTCATTTGTTGTTTGATTATCCTTAATGACAGAATGCAGCAGGTATATTAGGCTGCTGTCACTTTAAGAGCTAATGCACAGATCCAACATACTGTTACACATGTGTTTTCTTTCTCAACTGCGTACATTAACCCACGGTGTTTACGTGAATACTCTCCAAAAAGGCATTTTGGCATTTTTGTGTACATGTTAGGTGCGTATCTGAAGCCCATTTGCTTATCCGCACTTGGCTCAATCTCGAACCGCCACCTGGGGAACAGTGTCTCTTTTGTGGCTTTTAATGCTTTTAATAACACTGTTTAATATCAAACAGTAAGCAGTAATAGCAACAGTAGACTGCATTTTACAACGCTCACTTATTTGGCTGATTTGGATGTTACGCTTGGGCTTTTAGGGAGCAAAGAAAGCCTACCGCTGTGAAGGAAATAAAGGTGCGTTGGACGGAATGTGGCAGTGGCACAATAATCATTTTACCTTGACTATCTTTTTTTCATAATCGTTGGAAGCCAGAATAAAAAATTACTTACGATTAATTGCACAGTCCTAGCTCAGAGCTACTAAAAGGGAGACCGTGACTTCACTTGAGGCCTTCTGAGTGTTACACTGTAGACTGAGAAATGAAACCATTCCTATATGTTTAATAAAAATACACTTTTAAGAAATATGCTTAATTATCAGACCGCAAATGGTTTGATAAGAGCTACTTCGATGTATTACGCCATTTAACAATATAAATGGTTGTAGCTGCATTGAAATTCTTTTTATGCTAAAGTGTTGGAGTACTTAATCAACTAAAACAGATTAAGTGTGGCTATTAATCTTTCGGTTGTGTTTTGTCCTCAGACATGCGCATAAAAACACTGTCATGGAGGTGAAGTGGAACCTCAATGGCAACTGGCTGTTGACAGCGTCACGTGACCATTTATGCAAACTGTTTGACATCCGCAACCTCAAAGAGGAGCTACAGGTTTTTAGAGGACACAAGAAAGAAGCCACAGGTATTATAATCCTAATGAAAATGTGTATGAGTGGCTCTTGTGGTGGTGAAGCAGTGTCTTCTATACTCATGTTTTCGACTTTTGGTTGCAGCTGTTGCCTGGCACCCGGTTCATGAAGGCATGTTTGCCAGTGGAGGCTCTGATGGATCACTGCTGTTTTGGAATGCAGGGTAAGCTCCGTTCAGATCCTTTCTGTATCCATATATGGTAGCTTTAGTCAAAATTTAAAGTGTAATTTAGTCAAATTTTTTACTTTTTCGCATGTTATTTGACTGCTAATGTGGTTGAAATATTTTGCTAGTGTGGAGAAAGAAGTGGGAGGAATGGAGATGGCTCATGAAGGAATGATCTGGAGTTTGGCCTGGCATCCACTGGGCCACATCTTGTGTTCTGGGTCTAACGACCACACCAGGTGAGTGAGTGTAACCAAACTTTCATGTGGTTGACATACGGTTATTTGTTACATTTACCAAAATTTCGGTTGCCAATACCAATAACAGTGAAATTTCCCAATTCTCGATAACATTTCTTGTTGCCGCAAACAATATGCTATTTATTTATCACACTCCTTTATTTAGATTAAAATTTTAATACATTGATCAATTAAATAAAGTCCATACAGTTAAGTGAACAGTCAGAAACAAAGAAATTAAAATTGTAAACCTAAAATGCATAGATTTTAGCTCATTGCTCTGCGATCACTTCCTCAGCAAATTTTGGACAAGGAATCGACCAGGGGACAAGATGCGGGACAGATACAATCTGAACTTGTTGCCTGGAATGTCAGAAGATGGGATGGAATATGGTTAGTGTTCCTTGACCTCTTGCAATTTGGAAGCCCTATAGAGAGGTACATGTACATATGAATTCATAATGCTTTATCCTGGGGTAATTCTAGATGACATGGAGACCAATAATGTTGCCGCCATTCCGGGCATGGGGATCCCAGAAACGCTGAAGGCTGCCATGGAACAAGAACAAACTGGTTAGCACACACATACATGATCACAGTCAATATTTATTGACGTTCAATGTATTCATGTATAGGTAGTTGGTTGGTTATTGATAAATTGTGATAAATTGTGATTGTGTGCTTAGGAAAAGATATGGTAGCAGAGCCTGAGATGAGCATCCCTGGGTTGGACTGGGGAATGGAAGAGGTTATGCTGAAGGACCAAAAAAAGCCCCCGACTAAAAAAGTTCCTTATGCAAAACCTATTCCAGCTCAGTTTCAACAGGTCAGTATGATGGACTTATACATGTGTTTTAGTTGCACTGCCAGACATACTGTGGTGGTTTGGATCTTGTGGATACAAATTTGGCTAGTTGTCTGTCCTTCACTTTTTATCTCATTCAATAGGCCTGGGCAGAGAATAAGGTTCCAGCAATGGCTCCTGGAGAGGTTCCAAAAGAAAGGAAGGATGAGAAGAAAGTAGATGGCAAGAAGAAGACGCAAGCAGAGATTGAGCAGGAAATGGCTGCCCTGCAGTATACAAACCCAATGTTGCTCGAGGTCAGCTAATATGCTTACATGTACAGCTTTAGCTTTGTGCTGTAAACATGTGAATCATCACTGTTATGCATCAACACTGGTTAATTAATTTTTGTTAAAAAATATATTTTTGTCTGTAGCAACTGAAGATGGATCGAATGGCACAATTACAAGAGCAGGGAATGCCTCCCCCTGCTGGACAGTCAGGCCCAGTGCCTCCCTTTCCAGGGCAGGGTGGCCCGATGCCCCCTCCAACACAAGGCTTCCCTCAATCTATGCCTCCACAACAAATGCCGCACAACATGCCTCCAGTGGGACCAGGTGGAATACCTGGTCCATTCATATCTTCAGGCCAAATGGGTCCACCAGGGCCTATGCACCAGGGTCCTCCTCCACAGGGCATGATGGGACCTCCAGACATGCATGGACCTCCACGTCATCCTGGCCCTCACAGGAACATGGGACCCCAGGGTCCTCCTGGCATGTCTGGCCCCAGAGGTATGCAAGGACCCCCCCCTGGAGGAATGCCCCCTGGTTCTGGTGGACCTCCAGGCGGTATGATGGGACCACCACCGCGAGGACAGGGGCCTCCACAGGGAGGGATGATGCATCAGGACATGAGGGGGCCCGTGCCTCATGGAAACATGATGGGCCATCAGGGGCCCATGCAAGGGGGTATGATGGGGCCTCCACCCAGGACTCATGGCAATATGCAGGGCATGGGAAATATGCATGGAATGGGGCCTCCTCCAGGGGGTATGCATGGACCACCAAACAACATGCAGGGGCCACCAGGAAACATGCAAGGACCTCCAGGCAATATGCAGGGCCCTCCACCATACATGCAAGGCAAACCACCACACATGGGTGATGGAAACCGAGGACAGTTCAACCAGGTGAAGAAACCGTTGGAATGAACACATCTGTGAATGTTTAGGACAAAGAGATGTAACTGAATAAATGTCAGAGTAGGTTCTGTTGCTAAAATTTTGTGCATGTCTTTCAGGGACAGAATCCTGGGCCTCAGTCAATGATGCATGGAATGGGACAACAGGGTCCTAATGGGAAAGGTAATGCTCAGCCTCTTGAGGGAAGAAAAGTTACTCATATTAGGGCTTCACTATTCTGGATAAATTGAGAATCACGTTTTTTGGTTTCGAACAGAGATCATGATTCCAAACAGACAACTAAACAAAATAACGTGATTGACTAGAGGTTCTGATAAAATATTAATTGCTGCAGTCTATTTAAAATGTTTAACTAATCTGAATTATTTTAAAAACTTGGTTTGAAAGAATGATTCAATGGCTCACTCATAAATAATTAACTTGTTTCATTACTGGATTAATCTGTTTTTGAACAAATCTTTTGAATGAATGATTCAATGACATTTTTATCAGTCACTTGTCGCCGCCTGGTGGTGTAACAATGTAATCTATACAATCGTTATTTATAGCACCAAGTTACTTTCAAAAGGTGATTTTGCTCTATTTTGATTGCTTCTGTAGACATCAGTGTTTTTATCCAAACTATACATTTTTATCCTGGTACTTCTGAATATTTGTAGCAGAAATAATACTGTGTGATTGAAAAGACTATTTGTGAAGCTGTTTGCTAGTACCTACACATGATAAATGCTTTCTCTGGGTCAACGCCAACGCAGATTTGAATGTTGAATGTGATTTTGTCTAAGGTTTAATAGACACATAGTTGTCATTTCGGAATGGAGACTGTGTGGGTGTTTGAATTGAGATCGTGATCTTTTAACGATTAATCCTGCAGCTCTAACTCATATGCAAGATGGTTTAATCAAAACTAGTGTGTGAAAGTTAATAGTGACTTGTTTGTGCTCTCATTGTCTGTTTTTATCAGGAGAAGCTCCTCGAGGACCTAACCATCACATGGGACCCCCATCGGAGCGACAAGGCCCAGGAGGAGCTGGTCAGGGCTCTGATGGAGGCCAGTACTGGGGTGATGATGGGGGTTATCAAGAGGGCTGGAGAAGAGGCCCTGGGGGTTCGGGACAGGAATACTCTGGAGGTCACAGAGGAAGCTCTGGAAGCCAATGGGAGGGCCAGGAAAGGTTTTCTTCACATGATGGAGAGTACATGGGACATGACAGGTATGCTTTATTCAGCACAACATGAATATATATTCTGATTTTCTTAAATGTCTTGAGTCATATGGATTAGAATGTGAAATGTGTGTCTGGTGACATATTTACAGGTATGATGGGTATGAGGGTTCTGGTGAGGAGTTTGACCAGAGGCAGAGACGGCCACCGCGCGGAGATGATTCGTAAGTGTTGCGTGCAACCTCAGATTTAGCCAAGAATTAGCTTTACTTAGTTCTGGCAGAAAGAAAGAAAGAAATACATATTATTCAAAATGATTCTTAAGACTGAAACATGACACTAAAGTCTGAGGTATGCTTCCTTTTCTGCCAGTCGATCGTTCAACCGTTTAAAAGTATACTCTTTAAAGCATGAGCCTGTACAGACATTTTCTGATCTTTGCCCAGGATTGTCCACTGATTGATAAATAGTTTATTTTTATTGTCTGTCTATGAATGTACAGATACAGGAGAGGTGGCCCAAGTGGGCGTGGTGGAATGGGCGGCTTCCAAGAAGAGTATGGCGAAGATGAGAGCTTTGATTCCCAAGAAGACATGGGCCAAGGATGGGGAGGAAGAGGAAGACCACGTGGTGGACCACCAAGAGGAGGTAGATCCTATTCCATTCACCAGTCCTTGAGCTCACGTTGCGTCCATTAAAACTGAGGTGTCAGGTTTGAACATGACATCTTTCTTAGGTGGTGTAGGAAGAAAGGGGCTTCTCCCAACTCCTGATGATTATCCCTCTCACTATGAAGGAGGAAGAAACCAGGAGGGCTGGGAGGGAGGGCGAGATTCAGGTAGAAGTGCATGAAGGGGATGCCAATAAATGTTCTTGTTGTTGCTGCAGTGCAGTAAGACATGCTTGAGCAAATTCCCATTTTTTAACTGAGGCCATAAAGCTGAGTGTACACTAAATGATTTTAGCCCACATTTTCCAATCACAGACATTTTTTTTTTTCTTTTGCAACAACAATAAAGTCAGATCAAAGCCAAATTGGATGACGGGCCAGTTAGGTGTGAGGATTCCAACATAGTCTGTAACTTGCCTCAGAAACAAGGACATCTTTTAGTGCAAGCAATGTAGTGAGAGCAGTGACATGAAATGACCAATGAGGAGATGACAGGATGTGGTCTGTTTAAAACCTTAAGTATTAGGCTAGGTGACAACAGACGTCAACAATCTATACCGATTGTGGGCATCCCGTAACCTTACTTATAATTCTTTATGAAGAACGGAAAGCCCTTGGTGCCCATCTCTGTCTTAATTATTGTCTTGCTCCATTTTCATTTCTTTTGTTGTTTAGATTCATTTTCCAGAACAAAGTAAAAATCAAAACACACATGGAGCCTAAAACTGCTATTGTGTCGGCCACTTTAATTTTTTTTTAAAAACTTGTTTGGATGTTTTCATGAGAAAAATTATTAATTTCAACGCTCTATTCAGGTGGATCTTCTTGAAACGTCGTCTACACTTGATATAGTGTGTCCACATGTGCTTCAAGAAAACAGATGTTGCATAATATTAACAGTAAAGCAGTTTGGGGATTTTTTTTTTCTTAGTCCCGTAGTGAACTTTTAACTTAAGCTTTATGTAAAGGCATAGTTCAAGCTTAACATTATGTAAAGGCATAGTTCAAGCTTAACATCAAAGATCCAATCAAATTCATGTTGGTGTGTATGTGTGTTCAGGTCATGAGAGTTATCGGGATGGTCAGCGGCCAGACCACAATATACATGACAGTCCGTCTCCAGCCAGTAGAGAGCGTTCCTCCTCTCTACAGGGCATGGATATGGCCTCGCTGCCCCCACGCAAACGCCCATGGCATGACGGACCAGGCACTGGTGACATGGACTCCCCTGGTGCAGTGCCTGATGACAGAGCAGGTGAGTGATGGATACGTGACGACGATTTGTTTTAAAGGGGTCATGAACTGGCTTTTTATAATTTCTGATACTGTTGTCTGAGGTCAACTAATGACTTTCGTGTGGTTTTTACATTCAAAAACATCATAATGAATAAGTAATAGGCTATTTTCTACCGTTTTTGCGCCTAGCTCCTGAAACGCTCGGTTTTTATGGGCTTGGAAGTAAACACCCACTGCTATGATTGGATAACAGTTTTTCATATTAAAATGAGCTTCGACTCCCCATCAGTTCACGTGGGGAATTGTTTTGAAAACTTCCAATGTGGAAAAATGGCAACCGGAATGATTCGCCCATACATGTTCGACCCAGAGTCTGATCACGAATCGCAGGATCAGTAGATATCAAACGATCTGTAACAATGTAATACTAGCACATATAAAAAACATTTTTTACTCAAATAAGTGTGTTGCACCATTCCTGTCGGATCCAATATACAGCATATATATACAGCAATGCACAGCATTGTTTTCAAATCTCATTCTGTCTGCAAATCCAGCCTTGACCTGTGTCTTGTTTACAAAAGAACCTGCGGTGAAATGAAGCGATCATATGCACAATGTCTTACCCACGCGAGCTGGAACTTCGTTAAGAATAAAGTTCAACCACGCATTCCTAAAATTGGAATCCGAAGGAAGCTTATGCAGTGACTGTGTGTTTCCACAACCAGGCACTGCACAATATTTTGTAATTTTCAGCGGCATTTTATTGCTTGGTAGCTCGATCCGGTTTAGCGCCACGTAGGCCTGTGTATTTACCTATTACAAATCACGCGTGAATTGGTGGGCAGGGCCACAGAATTACGCGATGGTTTTCTTCTGTTGAGGCGGTGTTTCGCTGCTCTCTGACGTCACAGGTAGGCCAATTCGCAGATCCCTTGTATTACGATAAACGTTCAAAAGCTCAAGGAAAAATGTATTTCTCAAGTCATGACCCCTTTAAAGTAAAATGCATAATACGGCATTCTGCATACTAATATTATCCAACTCCCCATAGGTCGGCCATCACCAAGAGAGGAAGGCGGGTATGGGCCTCCATCACGGGGAGGAAGAGGTGGATGGGGCCGTGGTGGGCCGCCTAACCCAGGGGGTCCTGGTCCCAATGTGGGTCCAAATGTCAGACGAGGGGCTCCACGCGGTGTTATGAGGGGCGGTCGCGGGCGGTAGTAGTGGTCACGCCTGCTTCTCTGGGAACACGGAGGCAAAACCACAATGAGGACAGGGGACAACAAAGAACCACACATCGCTACAAAATCAGCTTCCTTGAGGGTCTGGACAGTTTTGCAGGCTTGGACAGGTGTCTGGAAGCACTTCAGTATAAATCAGCGTGGAACCCTTAATTGGTGGCTAAGGCTTAGCTTTTTCTCTATGATGTATCAGGCGGAAGGTGGTGGGTACCGGTTATCCAGGGCCAAATGTGTTGGCTTATGATGCCTCTTGCCACCTGATTGGTGTACTTGTGACACGTGGGATTTGTTCTAACCTTACGTCAATTGTGAGAATAATAACTGGGGACACATCATGGTGTGACAAGAACCATCTCTTGTAATGGACTTGTGTTTGTGGTCCAGGAAACTGTATTTGTGATGCATGGTACAACTCTCTGTAGATGCTTAAGAGAAATCCCTTCCCTGCACTGAGCAGCTGACCTGCTTGGTGATTCACTTGGACAATGGCAACTGAATTTGTACCAGCACCCGAGCCCCCTGTGTCTTTTCTTCTTCTTTTTGACCTCAATGATTCTGATGTATCAAACACAAAACATATTGTGTACCATTGAATTCCTCAGTCAGATTCTGTCAGCCAGCAAATGCAACTCAATCTAGGTAAAGGCCTCTAGGCATCGTCTTGAGGACTGTCTATTACTAGAGAAAAAATGGTCTTTTGAATGTTTCGTTCCCCCAGTGACTGAGCAATGTTTATTTAATTTCATTTTTATGTAAAATAATGGAGATAATATTTCTGTAACATTACCAGGCTACTCTGAGAGACGAAGCTGCAGACTTTGTTCCTATGTGTACAGTTTGTCACAAAATTGTCATATTGTTTTGTCCTTTTTTTGTATGAAACCATAATAGAATGTGCAAAATTTATGTAAACTCTCTCTGCTCTTGTCGTTACTTTGATTTCACCCACTCTTTTGTGTTTTTATTACACTGATATGACCTCGTGAAGGTGGGAGTGTCAGTGCTGCTTCTGGAGATCCATGTTCCCTACAGAAGCGTAGTCACACAAGACTGAGATCCTCTATAAGTCACGTCTTCTCGTTGTGAATGTGCAAGTCAGTTCACAAACTTGATTTTTTTTTTTTTACTTTTTATTTTCATGAGCTTGCATTTCTAGTCTCCCTTCCAATCATACCCATGCAATTGTGGAAGTCAGTGGAGCGAAAAGTCTAGCATGACTGTTCATTCATTTCAACCCACCTCTACATGCACGTATTTTTTTAATTACTTCCAAAGCCTTGATTGGTTCAGGTGTGTTTAGAGTTCATCTAAACTTGGCAGGAAGGTGGATCGCCAGGAGAACAGAGCAGCCCAGCTTTGACCCTGTCCTAACCAGATTTGACAAAATGATAATAAATCTCTCAAGCTCTCTCTTCCATAGTTTTTGTCCTAATTAACCACAGAGAACAGCTCACATTTTGGGTTTTAGCTCTGCCCACACACAAACTCTTTTTCATGAAAAAAACTATTAAAATCAGTTTATCTAGCGAAGCATTGGAAGTTATAAATAGAAGGTATGTGTTTTACGTTACATGTGTTGCAAGTGTGGGAGAATGCGCAAAGAAGGAAAACCGTTTTGATTGGCTGTTTTGTTACCCCAAGTTTTTGTCATAGCCCATCCATCTTTGTATTCGGTGTGAACAGACAAATGTCTTGCAGCTGGAATCTTTTTGTTTGGGGCCTGGTTACGACATGGTGCAACACTACACTTTTTCCAGTCGATAATTCAATTTTGGTTCTATATCTGCAGCATCACGCCTGGTAGCACTGCTCACATTGATATCTGACTTGACCAGAGAACTGCTACTCATGAATATTAATAATCAAATAGAACGAGTAAGGAAGAAATATTGGATATTACACATCTCTGAAGTTTCACAAGGTAAACCATTACGATGATTGCTGTCTGGAGAGCCATCATGGAAGTGAGAGCATGCAAAGATCTCAACCACACTGTTCTGAATATCTGTGATTTGTTATATGTCCCACAGCTTTTTTTGCCTTCAGTGTTGACTTGCACATTACTTGACAAAAAAATGTCCATTGTCAATAGTGTGGCGATAAATGAGAAACTTTTCAATTTCAACACAATTAGCTTTGTTGGTCAACTTTAACACAAGTGAAATCTGCACCCCTGCAACTTTTATCGCCCTCAAGCGAAACTCCAGAGTGTGTGAATTACTATTGAGATGACTGGATTTCACAGAGCAATTATAAATGTGCCCGCCCCACTTAAAGCTTTTTTAAAAGCTTCTTTCCTAAATAGAGAGAATTTATTTTAGTGGATCTTAAGATGCAGCCACATTTACAATTGCCCAGTGAAATTTCACAAGCAAAATCCAGTCATCTCAATAGAAATTCAAGCAATCGAGAGTTTTGCGTGAGGGTGGAAAGGAAACGTTCCCAATGTAGGTTTCGCTAGTGTTCAAGTTGTTCACACAAATCAAATTTTGGATGCCTTCCTTATTTCAAACACCTTATTCAACTCATCAGCTCATTAGTAAAAGCTCCAGAACCTATACCAGGGTTCCTCAAATCCAGCGCTGGAGGGCCACAGTCCTGCAGTTTACTGGATAATATTCTGATTGTTCCAATCCAATCTGACCTGTAATGTTGCCTGAATCATAATCATACACTTCGTTCGTTGGCCAGAACTGAGACCTGATCAAACATGCCTATGTGCAATTGTCTAGGCTGAATCCGAAATCGCCCCCTAAACCCTCATTCACTATTCCCTAGGTAAGTCTACTTATACTGTTCACTTGAAGGAGTGAATGGAAACGAGTGAGCGAATTCGGGCAGCCGTTGAGTGTACATTGGTTGTACACTCGTTATATGTGGGATTGAATGAGTGCACTCAATAACATCCACTATGGTTTCAGACACTACTACTACAAATGGCTGTCCCTTCAAATAGGGCGTTATTTGAGAGGACAGCCATTTGTAGTGGTGTCTGAAACCATAGTAGACGTTATTAGTTATTAGGGGGTGATTTCGGATTCATCCCTAGTAAGTGAAGACCTTGATTGGCTTGTTCAGGTGTTTTATTACGGATTGGAACTAAAAGGCCAGTGGCCCTCTAGGACTGGATTTGAGGAACCCTGACAATACTGTGTGTCATGGGAAACATCTGTGCTCAAAGACCAAAATAGAGAACCACCACTACTATACATGTTTGACCATCGTATGTGATACAAAAGTGATCTGTCATGAAATAAATGGCTTATCTTATTTTTGACCAAAGGGCATGATGTAGAGAACACAGAACAAGATACATTCAGTAAGTTTATTTATAAAGCTCAGTTTCAAAAGCAGTTCAGAAATGTCAAGTCAAGTAGTAATTGATGTCTTGGTCATATGGTCCTTGTGGTGAAAATTACAAAATGCATATATCCCCATCCAGAGAGTGCAGCTCACATTGTATTCCTATGCCAGAGCCAACCAGAGTTTCACAATCTGTACCAGACCAGTCACTCTCCAAAAAAAAAGTTTCCATGGTAAAATGTGTGTTGTTCAGTCCGTGGTCATATAGGCATTGTCTTTCCAGTTATAGTCCTTTTAATAGCAGACGCTGCCATGCCACCCACAAACCTCATCCCTGCACTCCCACCCGGCAACAAAGCCACAATATAACCCACGATAGCGGCGATCTGAAGGCCGGCCCCGAGCGCGGTGAACAGGGTGCTGTGAAGACTGAGTGCCGCGTACAGGGTGCCCACCAGAGCACACAGGTACACCGCGCCGCCTGGGGTCGGGGTGGCGATGAGTTTACTGGGTCCGCGGAGGATCGCCGCGCCGAGCAGCGCGAACACGGAGCCGAGCGACCAGAGCAACGCGAACTTGCGCGCCTTCAGCAGGAGCAACGGGGCGTACAGCGCCGACAGCCCGAAGCACAGAGCCGAGAAGAAGATACACGTCCCGAACGCGACCAGCCGCTGGGATCGACTCAGGCCCGGTAAACACGGGTCCGGTTCCGATGACCAGGGCCACGAGAAGCCGCTGCTCGAGCCCGGGCCCGATGACGACGTTCCGCGGGTGCTGGCTCTGGAGAACGGACTCGACCACCGGCCGAACCAGCTCTCGGGCACCGACTCCGGCTCATTAAAGTCTATGGTTGTGCTGGAACTGGACTGGGATATCGTCTTCGCGCCGCTTTTAGACTGAGCCAGATATTCCTGGAGATCTCGGTTTAATTCTGCCATTATTCAGAAGGATTTATGGAACGAAAACAGGAAGTTATTGTGGCATTGTGATGACGTCTCACAGTGACGTTTCTGTACGTCTTCTTCTTTTCTTTTTAATGGCGGTTGACAAACCCACGCAAACCCACCCACTGGACTGGAGGGAACAAAAATTTATTAAGTTTATTTATTAAACCTATTTCTTTCAAATATTTATAATTGTAAAATAAACATATATATATACATTTATATACGTAAACATTTATATTATATATAGACTTATATAATATACTGTGCTGAAGCATTCGTTAGTATTGTCTTAAGTGTTGCATTTGTATATATTCAAATAACGTAATAGCCTAACTACATTAGAAATATACTTACATTGTTTATCCTCCAGCTCATTTTTTTTGTGTTTGGAGATTTGCATTGGCGCAAAGATGGTCGAATAGTGGATAAATTATACATTAATAACAAAGTAAAAGAAGCCTCTTTTAAAATAATGAATATGGGGGAAGATACCGCCCTTAAGAACAATGTGGATTCAGCCTACTTTTAAATTGTAACATATTTATAAATAAGTTTAGCACACGTGTGCAGGATGATGATGCATCAGCCAATGTGTTATATAGGAAATAAATAAAAAACATTTGCAAATTTGCTTGTTATAGCACAAAATGTAAAATATTAAAAGAGGGGTAAGTTGGCCCGCTACCAGGGATAATATTCATTGATGTTCAACATAATACAATGTCATATATGAGTATTTTCCAGAGACACCACATTAGATCAAAACTGTTGCGGCTGACAAATTTTAATATTCAGATGAAATGACAAAATTAAAAACAGCTTAGCCAATAGCCAGTCATCAAAAGTGCCGAGATGAGATTTGTGCCATCAGGAGAAAAAACACCCTAAAATGTGTTGGAAAACCAAATATTGATTACTCTTGCAATATCTGTAAAGGTGAAAGGGAAACCTCTTTTTTATTTATTTATTTTCCCATTTTTTTTATTGATATGTACGTTTAATTAAGAATAAATTGAGCATTGCTGTTCAGCTGAGTATATTCGACATATTAATGTTAATTTTAATCTGAAAGTTTCACATAATTGTCTGACTCCAAACCAAATTTTTCTCACTTTCAAAATGATTTCAAGATTTATTGTATTGATGTATGCAATTGTAAAGGTCAAAAGACAATTAGACCCCATAACATGGTAAGCGGTATGATGAAAATTGCATAAAGTGGCACCCTTTCCCTGTTATTTAGTATTTATATTTTGTTATTGTATTGTTCCCTGGCACTGTTTTATTATATTTTATTATTTATTTGTTTAACTTTTGGATGAATATTTCTCATTGTATTGTTCGTGTTCTGTAGCATGAATAAAAAATAGTTAAATATTTAATTTATTAGGCCTATAATAAACAAATACAAACATTTAGTATATTGATATGTTCTTTTTAATTGTCTTAATTTTGTTATGGTTCTTATTGTTGTCAATAGTTTAAAAGAAAGTGCTACAAATAAGAAAAATGTTTTCATTTTTGATTTATTTTTGATTTTGCTGATGTGTTCAGCGTTTGATCTGTCTATCTATCTAATAAAGGACTGAATTGCATTCAAGTTAATATTTAAGTATACACAAGTCTTCTTGTTCTACATTTCCAAACCTTGACATCAGTTAATAAAAGTCCAAGTTTGAATTGTTTGTTTGGTTTCATAAACAGACAAGGCTGTCTGTCACGAAGATGCAGAGGGAGTTTAAAATTAATCTCTCTACTCATTGGCCAGTTGTCGTCAAAGCCTTTTTAGGGTTTGAGCGTGTCTACGGGATCTCCCTGCACACTGTCCAGCACAAGTGTGAGAGAGAGACACACACACACACCAGGGACCAGGTCAGTTTAGCCTTAAAACACTGTACACAATAAATAAACACATGATACTATTTTAAATATAGTTGAATAGTATAAGTAGAAATGTCAACAAATGTAGTGTCCTGTCAGTGTATTCATAGACTGCATGTGACATGTGCATGTTCCACATTGTAGTGTAAAGTTCATATGAAACACTCGTCTGTATTTAGCTCATTGCACATGACTGTTGTTTTGTAGCCAGCAACTGGTAGGAAAATGCCTTTTTTTTTGCGTTGTCTTGTATGTCTCATATTTAAAACAGAACTATTGTCATTTCTAGCAATATCTCTGCAGTTTGGGCTTTTGCTGATTTGTGGGGTTTTGTTTTTGACATATTCCTCTGCAGTTTACCGTTTTTGCTGCTATGAATATGTATCCTGTCGACTCTTCGTTTACAGACTCATTCTAACACGTGTACAGGTCAATTTATTTAGAAAATACATTAAATATGCAGTTCATACACACTGACTTTAAAAGCCAACTCATCTGATAAGCATCTTTGACTATACATAAAGGTATTTGACATTGATTTGACATTTTTATTTTGATATTGTTGCCTGTAGTTTTGTGCCTGATGAAGCACAAATCTCTGTTGGATTGAAACACTGCTGTTTATAAGTTTTTTCCTTGAAATTTCGGTAATACTTTACAATAAGGTTGATTATTTAACATTAGTTAATGTATTAACATGAACTAAACATCTCTAATAATAATAATAATCTCTGTTAATGTTAGTTAATAAAAATACAGCTGTTCATTGTTTGTTCGTGTTAGTTCACAGTGCATTAATTAATGTTAAAAAGATTTTAATAATGTATTAGTAGAAAGTATTAGTTGAAATGAACATTTACAAAGATTAATAAATGCTGCATGTATACGTGCATACGTTCATTATTAGTTCATGTTAAGTAATGAACCTTATTGTAAAGTGTTACCGAAATTTCCTTGAACGTTTTACAAAACCATATACTGTACATGCATACATTTCTAAGAACTTGGCACATGTGTTTTAAACTTTGTAAAGTTTGTACTTTCCTTTATCTCATATGTTCATTGACCTGTATATATTTGTGATTTTTCGAGAACAATTGAAGCTGCTGTCAACTATTTATGAGAGGGCTACTCAAATCGGCTCTCAAGGTCCACTTTCCTGCAGAGTTCAGCTCCAACCTTGATTTCACTCACTGTCTGAAACTTCGAGAATCGCCCCCTATACCCTCATTCACTATTCCCTACATTACTCCACTAATATAGTCCAAGTGAGTGAATTCGGACATTGAGTGCGCTGTTGAACCGCTGCCGCTTTTGCATAGTTTGTGCTTGCTGATTAATAATCATTTGACACTCCAGTATTAATGAAAAGATTTATCTTGAACTCTGTCATGGAAACTAGCATGTATAAACCTTAATTAAACAATTTAATAATCAATTGAAAAGTATGATATTACGCTGTACCCACATTGGACCCAAGGGGGTAATCCATCGACCGAAAGTTGAAGCCGGCCGGGTGCCGCCATCTTGTAGCAGAACTTCACTTGCGTTAGCATTTCCATTGACTCCCATTCATTTTGGCGTCACTTTGACAGCGAATAACTTTACATCTGAGGCGTTTAAAGACTCCATTTGTCCATTATTTATTTCTAAAGAAACACGACAATGTATAAAGTGCTCCATTACCTTCTATGTTACATTATGGCCCCGTAGAAACAGTTTTTGTAAAAATAGGCTAACGATTGCGTCATAACCACTCAACTCTCTGTCGCGCTGTACAGAAATTACCGTACAGACAGGAGGAGAAGCTCGCAGGCAATCGGGGGGACGTCCCGTCAAGGGAGAAGCCCATAGATAATGAGTCCATAAACGCAACGGAATACTTACTCCTGCTCACTCACGCCAAAGAACTCTTTGCTCAAGTTCCCCGTCTCTGCAAGATTAACGTTGGCAATTTTCACGCACAGCTACTAGAAGATTAACGTCTGTCAGACAGGTTGCCCACGTCATCAAGCTTAGTTTGAGTCGGTTTGAGTCTGCGCGTCAGGAACGGAAGTGCTCAAAAATCGCTAAAAATGGGCTTCAACTGTCTCAACTGAGTTCCAATGAGATGGCGCTGTCCACTTCTTATACTGTCTATGATTGGACCAGCGGTTTGGAAAATGAGCGGATGGATGATTCAGCTGCGGGCGCCATCTTCTGGCGAGACTCAGGAATTAATTTGGCACAACTCTCACAGTGCATTATGGGTATTCTTTAGCTGTTGAGTTGAGTGTCCCAAATGGCACACTTACGGTCTTGAGAACTTACAATGGCTGTGCACGTGCGCCACGTGTCAGTTAAGTCCATAGCCGCTTTTCCACCATAACATTCACTATGGTTTCGGACACCACTACAAATGGCTGTTCCCTCAAATAGTGCCCTAAGGGGCGATTTCTGACACAGCCCTTGATTAGCTTGTCTAGGTGTGTTTGATTAGGGTTGGAGCTAAAGGCGCGTTCATGCCATGTCGTAATTAGCATAATTACGAGATTCCAACTTGTGAAATGCATTCACATCTTCATAGAGCTCATAATTACAACTTGGTAAGAACGTCACGTGGTGATTACGGCATGGTGTTGTAAGGCCGGCCCAATCGGTCCAACCACAGTTTCCTATGAGCGGGTGAAGGTTTGCTGCGGGTTACTGTCTTTTCCGCGTGGCAAAGTAATTTAATTCCAATTAAGCTTTTATCTGACTCCATTTTATCACAACCTCGAATTTAGGTTGGAATGCCAATTAGTTATTGGTCATTTATATACTATTTCAGCAGCAATTTGATTATTCTATTGAACTCTTTACTCCTATTATCCTCGTTCATTTGGGTGCCAAAGTCGCACAGGGTCCTCACACCGGCCGTTCATTATGTGGGCCCACGATCACAAACTCGTCAGTTTTGGGTCACTAAACAGAGGTAATTGGCAAAGATTTCTAAGACGGTCGCATTAGACTGAATATTTTGTATAGCCCCCTTGGTTGTATACTTGAATTAAAGTAACGTTTTCTTTTGACAGAGGTCATGACCACTACTACAGATATAAGCCGACCAATATTACTTTTCTGGTAGTAGCTTTGGTTTGGTCATGCCATGGTTTCCCACGTACACTTATCTAAAATAGCATTACATTAAGCAAAGGTAAGACAGTCCATTTGCCTAGAAGACCCACCCTCCTCTGTAAGCAAGATATCTCTAAACTCTTAAAACCCTTATTAACTTTTGTTTTACTTCTTTGGGGACGAGACCTTTGTACCAGTCGCACTGAGACATTTCAAATGATACCAGACATGTATAGTGTTGTATGATAATTATTCACATTTAAGAGATTTTTGGGTAAATTTCAGGTGATCTCAGCATGAGAGAGAGACGGGATGGGAGGAAAAGGAGTGAGTTGAAAGAAATGTAAATGAATACAATGAGGTGATTGACTCGCATAACAAGAATAGCTTAATGCCCAAACTGTTTCTAAACTGTCTTGTTGGTTGTTTTGTTTTTTATTATTATTATTTAAAAAACTAATATTCTTTTTCTCCATGCAGCCAGTATCATGTCAGTATCGCAGATAACGCCGACCCTCTTCCTGAGCGGGGCCGATGCTCCTATGAATCAGGCACTAATGACCCGCAAAGGCATTACACTCATTGTGAACGTGACCCTGTCCCACACCTGCCCCATCTACCCCGGTGTGGAGTGCATACGTGTTGCAGTGTCCGACCTCCCAAATGCCCGTCTGGGGGATCATTTTGAGCACGTTTCAGCTCGCATCCACAATAACAGAGCTGGAGGAACGCTAGTGCACTGCGCCGCGGGCATGAGTCGCTCGCCGGCTCTAATAATGGCCTACCTCATGAGGTACAGAGGAGTGACTCTGAGACAGGCACACAACTGGGTTAAAGACAGCAGACCCTACATCCGCCTTAACACGGGATTCTGGACCCAACTTCTGAACTATGAGAAGAAACTCTACGGGAAGAATACTGTGAAAGTAGCAGAACCGCTGGATCCAGTCCCAATGCCCCAAACACCAAAACTACCTTCCAGGAACAACACGAGACATTGTCCTCCATCACCGAGGCTGAGACGGCTTAGAAGATTCACCTCTTTGGCACTTTAATCAACAATAGCAAACTGATCTTTTTGCCAAATGTGGACATTAAATGTCCCATTTTCATAATGTAAGGGCAGTAAATATCACTTTGGATGGACAGGACCTTATGCAGTGAAACAGACCATATCAGTACTTCAGCTTGACTGGTTTGTTTTTCTGCCAGCATTTGATTTGTTTGTTTTTGATGTGGCCTGGCTGGAATTCCGGGAATAAATGTTGAAATGTTGTAGTATGTTGCATTATTTAACCAACAGAGGACACTGTTGGAGCATCACACTCACACGGGCTCAGGGCTGATGAATGCGAGGTCTGCTCTGAACATCTTTATCTCAGTTCGTCTAAAGCTAAGTTTGCTTGGATTTCTACAGTATGATGTGCATGATGTTAAGACTTAAAACCTTTTTAAAACTTTCAAACAAGACTTTGTCAAGCAAATTTTACAATTACATTTTCAGTTCATTTTAATTGCACTTTTAACTTCAAACTCAAATTGCAGTTCTTCGTCCTGTTTGCTTTCAGATGTGCATTTCAACTCTCAATTGTAAAAACCGATGGAATGCCAAAGCTGCCGAAATGAGAAAAAAATAAACAAACAAATAAAAATATAAAAGAAATGTAATATATACACTCACCTAAAGGATTATTAGGAACACCATACTAATACTGTGTTTGACCCCCTTTCGCCTTCAGAACTGCCTTAATTGAACTGCCTACGTGGCATTGATTCAACAAGGTGCTGAAAGCATTCTTTAGAAATGTTGGCCCATATTGATAGGATAGCATCTTGCAGTTGATGGAGATTTGTGGGATGCACATCCAGGGCACGAAGCTCCCGTTCCACCACATCCCAAAGATGCTCTATTGGGTTGAGATTTGGTGACTGTGGGGGCCATTTTAGTACAGTGAACTCATTGTCATGTTCAAGAAACCAATTTGAAATGATTCGAGCTTTGTGACATGTTGCATTATCCTGCTGGAAGTAGCCATCAGAGGATGGGTACATGGTGGCCATAAAGGGATGGACATGGTCAGAAACAATGCTCAGGTAGGCCGTGGCATTTAAACGATGCCCAATTGGCACTAAGGGGCCTAAAGTGTGCCAAGAAAACATCCCCCACACCATTACACCACCACCACCAGCCTGCACAGTGGTAACAAGGCATGATGGATCCATGTTCTCATTCTGTTTACGCCAAATTCTGACTCCATCAATGTCTCTGAATGTCTCAACAGAAATCGAGACTCATCAGACATTTTTCCAGTCTTCAACTGTCCAATTTTGGTGGGCTCTTGCAAATTGTAGCCTCTTTTTCCTATTTGTAGTGGAGATGAGTGGTACCCGGTGGGGTCTTCTGCTGTTGTAGCCCATCCGCCTCAAGGTTGTGCGTGTTGTGGCTTCACAAATGCTTTGCTGCATACCTCGGTTGTAACGAGTGGTTATTTCAGTCAAAGTTGCTCTTCTATCAGCTTGACTCAGTCAGCCCATTCTCCTCTGACCTCTAGCATTAACAAGGCATTTTCGCCCACAGGACTGCCGCAGACTGGATGTTTTTCCCTTTTCACACCATTCTTTGTAAACCCTAGAAATGGTTGTGCGTGAAAATCCCAGTAACTGAGCAGATTGTGAAATACTCAGACCGGCCCGTCTAGCACCAACAACCATGCCACGCTCAAAATTGCTTAAATCACCTTTCTTTCCCATTCTGACATTCAGTTTGGAGTTCAGGAGATTGTCTTGACCAGGACCACACCCCTAAATGCATTGAAGCAACTGCCATGTGATTGGTTGATTAGATAATTGCATTAATGAGAAATGGTGTTCCTAATAATCCTTTAGGTGAGTGTATATATACATACAGAACTGCAATTTGAGTTTGAAGTTAAAAGTGCAATTAAAATGAACTGAAAATGTAATTGTAATATTTGAAGACATAATAGTTTTAAAGACATTTTGATCCATTTCAAATGTTGACGACTATATATATATATATACAGTGGTCAACATTTGAAGTGGATCAAAACCTTTCATTAAAGTTATACATGAATTTTGAACAATACCCGTTCATGTCTTGGGACAACTTTGATTTTGACTTTTTTGATCCACTTCAAATGTTGACTACTATATATATAGTAGTCAACATTTGAAGTGGATCAAAAAAGTCAAAATCAAAGTTCAAAGTATACACACACACATACATATATAAATATATAAATAAATAAATGAAAGCCTCAAAGCCGTCCCCTCTCCACCCTGAGCTCGGTTGTTCTGTCTGAAGTAAAACTCGCCTCCCTCATTACCATATGGACAAAGAAATGTATAAATAAATAAATGAATGAACAAATGAATGAATAAATAAAATAAATAGATTTGGAAATAAATAAATGTAGACATAAATACATGCATTTATAAATAAATGTGGAAATAAATAATACAATTATACTAGCCAGGGAAAACCCAGACAACTTCCGGCAAATTTAGATTTGCTCTGAAAGTTAGTCTGGCAAAGAGCTCATTCAAGCCCATTTCCAATCCGCCGAAATCGAGGCACCAATCAGAAACGTTGGGGCGGGCTTTACACGATCATGACAGCGCTGGGATTTTGTAGCCTACATTACAAAGATGGATGCCGCCGTCGAACATCACTCGTTCGAATTAGCTATCGCGTCTGTTTTAAGCGATTTGAACGTTTCCTTTTTATTAAAAACCGAGCAAAGAACAACACTCGGAGATGTTTCTCCGCCGCTCTGCAAAAGGCATCTCCTTCATCGCTCTGATTGGTTTTAGGTCTATCCGCGACGTCCGTTGGTGACGCCCCTCTGGAAATGATTGGTCTATGACGCTTTGCCAGACCATAACTCAGTTACAACTGAGAATGGTCTGGTTTTAACCAGGCTACAATTATACATAAATAAGGGAACAAAAGTATAAATGCACATTTATGTTTGTTTTTTTCAGTACTTTGTAAATGTATTTATTTATGCATTTATTTATTATTTCACCAGCTTTGGCATTCCATAAAACGTACTCGGTTACTAACGTAACCTCGGTTCTCTCTAGAGAGGGAACGAGTACTGCGTAATAGCTTACACTAGGGGAAAAACTCTTTTCCACGAGATATTGAAGCCAAAAATTATCCTTAATTTTTTATTAATGTAAAACGCTTTGCAGCAGCAAGCAAACATAGGCGAAACAGCTCGCGCGCCTATTGGTTGCTCTGCAGCAAATGCAGCAGCCTATCGAGAGAGACTCTGCGTGACGTAATGACCAATGGGGGCCATTCGCGCCCATATCGTCACGTCCCGCCAGAAGGGGCGTGGTCTCACCCTATAAATATGCTCGTTAGGCTGGTACAAGCTGGTTTTTATCGCTGAAGCGAACCAGAGCGTATTCCAAGCACGGCAAGATACGCAGTACTCGTTCCCTCTCTAGAGAGAACCGAGGTTAGTAACCGAGTACGTTCTCTTACGAGACTATCTCTCGTACTGCGTAATAGCTTACGCTAGGGGAACACAATGCAACACGCCGTGCGTACAGGGATCCAACACCAAAGTCCCGAGGGCCGAAGCCCAGGGCTCATGTAGTGCATAATCACCATAAACTCACATAGAGTGGAGGAAGAGAGGCTGGAAGCGTCATTCCCTATAAAAAAGCACCCAGCGGGGCTATCATATGACAATAAAACGCGCAGCCAGGGTGAAAGCTTTCAGCCTGATCTGGGTGGCCATACGTGTGTCAACACTCATGGGGCTGCAGTAAACTCAGCATCTGGGCCGCACAGCGGGGCAGATAGCACTGAATTTTAGATCGCCAAAAGCTTAGCTTGTAAGGCGGGTACCTCCAGGTTATAGTATTTTATAAATGTAGACGGCGAGGCCCAGCCCGCTGCCGTACAGATATCTTGCAGGGAAACCCCGCTCGACCAAGCCCACGAAGAGGCCAAGCCTCTCGTGGAGTGCGCCCTGACACCCAAGGGGCACTGTAGGCCCTTTGCAGAGTAAGCGAGCGCAATGGCATCCACTATCCATCTGGATAGGCTCTGTTTTGAGGCGGCGAGTCCCTTGGAACGCCCGCCAAACAAAACAAAAAGCTGCTCCGTCTGTCTGAAAACAGACGAGCGTGACACATAAGCTCTCAATGCCCTGACGGGGCAAAGGAGACTCGCATCCTCCTCCTCACTGAGAACCGGAAGGGCGGACAGGGAAATTACCTGGGCCCTGAACGGTGTATTGAGGGATTTCGGGACATACCCGTGCTTAGGTTTGAGAATGACCTTCGAGTCATTAGGCCCAAACTCCATACACGACGCGCTTACTGAAAGCGCCTGCAAGTCCCCTATGCGCTTCACTGAAGTGAGAGCCATGAGAAACACTGTTTTGAACGACAGGTGTTTCATGTCCACCAGCTGGATTGGCTCGAACGGGGCGCCTTTCATGGCCTCCAGGACCGTGGAAAGGTCCCACGTCGGGACTGAAGGGGGCCTTGGAGGGTTCAGCCTCCGAGCTCCCCTAAGGAAACGCACGACTAAGTCGTTTTTCCCCAGCGGCTGGCCAGACACCGGTTTTGCAAACGTTGCTATGGCCGCCACATATACTTTGAGCGTGGATGGGGTCCTGCCCTTATCCAGTAGCTCTTGAAGGAAGGAAAGCACTTCCGTAACCCCGCATTCCACAGGTGAAAAGCTCCGGGCTTGACACCATGCAGAGAAAACAGACCATTTCGAGGAGTAGAGCCGCCTGGTAGACGGAGCTCTAGCCTGCGCGATCGTGTTTAACACTCCCTCCGGGAGGCTAGCGGGTACCCGTTGATAGCCCATGCGTGCAGGGACCACAACTCCGGGCGAGGGTGCCAAATCGAGCCCTCCGCCTGAGAGAGGAGATCTCTCCTCAATGGTACAGGCCTGGGGCAGTGCTGGTCAGCTGCATCAGGGCAGGGAACCACGTCTGGTTTGTCCAGAGCGGAGCTACGAGCAGCACTGGGCATCCGTTCTCCCTGATTCGTTCCAAGACCTGAGGCAGGAGCGAGACAGGAGGAAAAGCATACAGGGGGCAGCGGGGCCAAACATGAGCCAGCGCGTCCTTGCTTTTCGAGAAAAACTCCGGGCAATGAGCGTTTTCGTGGGACGCGAACAGGTCCACCCGTGCTCTGCCGAACGTTTTCCACAGCAGCTGGACCGTCTGCGGGTGCAGCGACCATTCCCCTGCTGGAACATTGTTCCTGGACAGTCTGTCTGGTCCCACATTCAGGTGACCAGGCACGTGCGCTGCTCAGTGAGAGCAGGTTGTGCTGAGCCCAAACCAAGAGGCGTTCCGTCAGCCTGTGAAGGTTTCGTGACCTGACGCCGCCCTGGCGATTTATGTACGCCACCACTGACATGTTGTCCGACCGGACCAAGACGTGGTGGCCTGTTAACTGGGGAGAAAAACGCCGTACCGCTTTGTCGACTGCTATCATCTCCAAGCAGTTTATGTGAAGGAGCTTTTCCCGTTCTGACCACAGGCCAGCTAGCGGTCTGCCCTCGAGCAGTGCTCCCCACCCCGAGGTGGAGGCGTCCGTAGACACCACCTTCACACTCGAAGCGGTCCCCAGACTCACACCTGACTGGTACCAGTCTGTTATTTTCCAAGGTTCCAGAGCTGAAACACACTGAAGGTCGACCCTGAGGCGAAACAGACCCGCTGTCCATGCCCTGGGTGGAACCCGCGCTTTCAGCCACATCTGCAGTGGGCGCATGCGGAGCAAGCCCAACTGGAGTACAGAGGCTGCTGAGGCCATCAGCCCCAGCATCTTCTGAAACCTTTTGAGCGGAACTATCGCGCCGTGGCGGAAGGATTTCGCGACGCGCTGAATATTTAGCCCTCGCTCTGGTGACAGGCGTGCTGTCATGGACAGCGAGTCCAACACGGTTCCCAGAAAGGAGATTTTCTGACTGGGAGACAGTGAGCTCTTCGCCCAATTGACTGTGAGGCCCAGCTCCTCGAGGTGCTCGAGTAATGCAGCCCTGTGTTCTATGAGCTCCGATCGTGATCGAGCTAGAATCAGCCAATCGTCCGAGTAGTTCAGGACTCGCATGCCCTGAAGTCTCAGGGGTGCGAGCGCCGCGTCCATGCACTTCGTAAATGTACGAGGTGCTAGGGCTGGCTCACTGCGAAATACACTGGGACAGTCGCGATATTTGGAACTGACCGAGCGAGAAGTTTTGGTGGAAATCCGGCCGCAGCGGGATCTGAACACCGTCGCTTTCCTAGAATGGCTAGGAAGATTTTGAGGCCTCGGGCTTGATCTCAATCCTCGGCCGGGGCCCGCGCTGAGGGGGGCGGCGTCCAGCAGAGCGAGAGCGCGGTCTTTGGTCTCGGGCGTGGCGGCGCTGCGAAGCGGCGGCGGCGGGCGGTGCAGGCTGCGGCTGAGAACTGCGAGCAGACGGCTGTTTTGAGCGGCCTGCAGCGGAGCTCGAGCGCTTCGGAAGGAAGTGCTTCATGGCCTGCGAAGTATTTTGCACCTCCATGAATCTGTCCGCGAAATCTTTGACGGCAGATCCGAAAAGGCCCGCTGGTGAAATGGGCGCGTCGAGGAACACAGAGCGCTCGGCTTCCGTCATCTCGGACAGCGTCAACCATAAGTGTCTCTCAGCCACGGTGAGAGAGGCCATGTTTCGTCCTATGGCCTGCGCAGCGGCTTTAGCAGCGCGAAGAGCGAGGTCTGTAGCGCTTCTCAGGTCCGCCACGCAGATCGCTCCGGGTCCTTCCTCGTCCAATTTAAGGAGAAGGTCGGCCTGGAAGATCTGCAGGATAGCCATAGTGTGCAGCGCTGAAACTGCTTGCCCGGCGGCGGTGTAAGCGCGTCCGTGCATGGCTGACGTCACTCGGTAGGCTTTAGATGGTAGCGTCGTGTGAGCGCGCCGTCCAGCGGAGGGCGGGCAGAGATGAGACGCTACAGCTGGTTCCACAGGAGGAACGGAAAGGTATCCTCTGTCCTTCGCGCCGTCCACCGAGGAGAAAGCAGCAGAGGCAGAGGTACGCAGCCTGGCGGAGAAGGGGGCGTTCCACGATTTGGTCACTTCCTCGTGAAGTTCCGGGAGGAAGGGCGCGGGCCTTGACTTTGACGGAGCCTCGTCATTTCCGAGAAAGCGTCCGTCCAGTCTGTTGCGCGGCGGCTGCGCGGGCGCCTCCCAATCGAGGCCGATGCTTTCCACGGCCTGAGAGAGCAGACGCATCAGCTCAGTCTCAATGCCGGCTCTCTTACCAGTGGTCTGGCGGGAAACGCTAGCGGAGGGGAGGTCCACGGAGCTCGCCCAATCCTCGCTATCGGATGCCAGAAGAGAACACGCCTCGGTGGGTTCGTCAAACTCGTAGATGGACGCGGCGGCAGGCGGCGGCCGTTGTCCGTCAGTGAGCGACTCGAGCGAAGCCGGCGAAGCTGGCGGGCGAACCGGCGAGCTTTGGCGGGCTGGAGAAAGCTCGGGAGCGCGCTGGGCGCGGCGCTTCTTGCGGCGCGGCACCACGGCGGGCTGCGGTGAAGGCTCGGAGAATGATGCCAGGCGAGTCCTCAGAGTCACCATAGGCAAAAGCTCGCAATGAGGGCATCCGCCGTCAGCGAGCGCGAGAGCCGCGTGATCCTCACCCAGGCAGGAAACACAGATGACGTGCCGGTCTCCATCGCTGAGCGGGGCGCGGCACGAGCCACAGGAAGGCATCTTTAAAAAGACGCAGCTCTTTTGTGAGAGGAGTGTGAGTCGCGTCAAGTAAGCGAGCAAACACTCTCAGCAGAGTAAAGATACACAGAGTATAAAAGGATATAGAACGCCGGAAAGCGCAGCAGGTACGGCAGTTGAAGGCGGCGAGGCCAGCGACTCCAGAGCTCGTCCCGCTGAAAGGCTTGCTTCGACGGCGCGGCTTCTCACTCCGGATCCAGCGATGCGTGTGCGTCGCTGAAGAGATAAAAATCAGCTTGTACCAGCCTAACGAGCATATTTATAGGGTGAGACCACGCCCCTTCTGGCGGGACGTGACGATATGGGCGCGAATGGCCCCCATTGGTCATTACGTCACGCAGAGTCTCTCTCGATAGGCTGCTGCATTTGCTGCAGAGCAACCAATAGGCGCGCGAGCTGTTTCGCCTATGTTTGCTTGCTGCTGCAAAGCGTTTTACATTAATAAAAAATTAAGGATAATTTTTGGCTTCAATATCTCGTGGAAAAGAGTTTTTCCCCTAGCGTAAGCTATTACGCAGTACGAGAGATACTCTCGTAAGAGAACCCCTGATAGATATGTATACATTTATTATTATTATTTTAGCTTGAATTGGCCTTGTGACACGAGGTGAGCATTTCAATGAGACAAAAAAAAAGTCTCAGGTTATCATTCGTCACCTTTATAATACAGGTTGATCCCTCGCAATCTCTCTTTTAATCATGTGTGTTTAGTGCTTTTGGCAATGCTTTGTTGGTGCTGAATGAGGGGAGAGAAGGCATTGGGGGGGGGGGGGGGGGGGGGGGGGTGAATGTGTTGAAAGCTGAGAAAGACAGCTTGGAGAGGGGGAGAGTCGAAATGTCTTGGATAAAAAAAGGCACTTATTTATCCTGAAAAATAAGTGTAATTTAGTTTTGGCTAAAAGCCTGCCATCTTGTGCAATTAACAGGAAACAAGTTGGCCAACTATGTTTTGGGAAAAAGTGAAGTGTTTGTGTGAACTGGCCCATGAGTTTCTTTGTCTCTTTGTTAATGAAGACACTGCTTTCAGTGAACCCATCATGGGATAAATAAGCATGTCATTACCACACACTCATTTATCTTTCGGCACATTATTTGACAGCAATCCGTCCTTGTAAGGTATTGCAGTCTGACCACAAATGATATGTTAGATGTTTCCCTGGAAGGTATAGCAGAACATTCATTTGGATGGTGTGTGTGTGTGTGTGAGTGTGTAGTAGAGAGAGAGAGAGAGAGAGAGAGAGAGGGCACAGTGCCAAACACCAGGCGCCACTCTTCCAATATGATGACCTCATCCCCATCCACTACTGGAACATATCGTCTACATTCATCATCGCTGAATGTAGTGTTTGTGTCTTTGTTTATGCACAATGAAATTCACCAACATTACCAAATAATACTAAGAGTTAATTATGTTAATTGTGTAATAAATGTAGCTTTATTTTTATTGATAGAATGCTGTGGAAACGAGACCTAAATAAATTGCTGCTGGTTTTAGGGTTTTCTCCTACGAAGTCCACCCTATTTATCCTGCAAAAGTGCAGTAGTTGCTTTATAAGTGGCAATTATACACACAAGGTTTAAGACGTTTGGCTTGCTTAGTTAGGGAAATGTATTATTCATCAATATTATTGATTTGACTGCACTGACACTGTTTTCCTCAGAGCTGCTTTATATTGAAGTCATTGAACAGAACTGAATCAACATTGAACTGACTTCAGCTGAACAATAACAATATTCATACGAAAATGTTTCTGTTTTCCAAAAAGTTCAGTCATAAATCGCAAAACATGAAAATGGTTTATTCAGCTTAAAATAATAATATTAATAATAATTCATTACATTTATATAGCGCTTTTCTAGGCACTCAAAATGCATGTTGAAAGACTTTTTCTCAGGAACAAGGACTCTTTGATTTATTTAAATTACCATAAAAATCCCAGAGACGGTTTAAGCAGTTATAGAAGTATTTATTGCAAATATACACAAATATCAATATTGTTTCAAAAAGCAAATGCAAATAAATAAAACTTCAACCCTATTAAGAATGGAATGCATAAACATACCACATGAAAAAAATACATACACCTCTATGAACAGTTTAGAGTTGCTATTATTTTGGAAAGAAATGCAGCAGTGCAACCCTGCTGCTATTTCCAACAATGGTAAAGATCCTTATACACAGAGTATCTTTTAGATGCTCATTATGTAATTATTATTATTATAATATGTCCTGAATACCTCATCTAATGAAGATGTGTATTTTGTCAGCACAGTGAAACCTGTTTTTTATTGGTTTGTGCTTCGTTGGTGTCCTCATATTCCAAAAAGGATGCCAGAAAACAGACTGTCTTGGAGAATTGTGAGGGCTGAGCCTGTCCCATTGTCAATGAGAATAGACACATACTCTCCAGCCTGTAAAAAAGAAATGATATACATTAATTATGCTTTTTGTTTATTTTATGGTCCATGATGAAGAAGAAAAGTTATTAGATATGTGCTCTTTAGCTATGGTTGGTGTATTGGTTCACCATTTTCAAGAAGAGTGTATATGTAATGACACTTGTCATGTGATTAAACCGTCAAGTCTAAAGATATTAAATGTATTTTTCAAGGTATGAATTCATAAATCATTAGGTTTTGGGTCGTTGTGCCACATGACATTTCACAAGCTGAACTAACTTTGCCTAACATTGTCATAAAAACTTCAAATTAAGATATTTTGAAAAGTCTTATTGACCTGGACTCACAGACATGAAGGTCTGCAGGGATCCTTCCTATGATTTTTTCTTCTTCGGCATGCTAACTGCACTACATGACTAAATCTAATAATAATAAAAGATTCCAAACTACTTAAAATTGTATTCTTTACTAATGCCTTTTTCTTCATTATGATATCAGGACAGTTGCACGACTCTGACTTTAAACATCAAGAAATATTCAAAGAAATTACAACCATGCTCATTGTAGAAAAAGTGTATTCAAATCACTGTATGTCTAAATTGCATTTATAATGTGTGTTTGAATAAACTGAATAAAATAGCCAAAAAGTGAGCATCACATCACAGAAAGAGGGCAATAATGTATATGCATAATACATGGGTTTTGACAGGGATTAATCATATTGTCAAGGTCCCTGCAGCAGAAGATGCCTCTGTGACAGATCAAATTAAAAAAAGATGCCCTAAATATAGACATTTTCCCAGGCCTTTGATTTCTTTTAGCATTATTGGCACAAAGGATTCCAGTAATCTGTATAATTCTTGTTCAGTTAAATTTGCTTTTTATGATTTGTGTTAAGCTTGTCAGTCAGTCGTACCTGTAGGTAAAGAGTACCGGTCAAGAGAATACTGAATACTCCTCCTGTGGCGCTCACTCCAGTCACAGTCTCGAGAGACCTGCATCATTATAAACACATTAATCATGGTTTGGGACTCATTTGCTTGACTGAATGTGTGGTGTTATAATAACAGTTCAAACAGTCAGTGCTATTCGTGATCATGGGTCATTACTACTCACACATTACTCTGACAAAGAGACTCTATGCATATGGAGGTCTTGACACTGTCTCTCTGCCTGGCATTAGGCTTCTTCTGAGACTCATTGGATTCTAAGAAAACACAAACACAGATGCATGATGCAAAGTTAAAGGGATTGTGACAGGCAAACTCAATTTTCAGTAGTACAAGCACCCCACCCCTGTTCCACTGAGCTTTATCTAAGGGACAGACTGTTGGAAGGGCCACATTTACCACACACTCTCTGAGAGACAGCATGATGCAATTAGGAATAAGGCATTGCATGTGCTTCAGCTTGCAGAATTATGCTATGAAGCTTATCATTTATATCTGTCTAAATGGCAGGGGCGTAGAATTTAATAGGGACCCCAAGGACGTGTCCCTAGCAATATCCAGTGACCACTGATTGTGATTTGTCCCTAGCAATAATTTCTATCAAAGATTTATACATATACATTTTATTTATATATAACCACTGTTGTCAGATTGTGTCATGTTGTTTTTATGTATTACTTATTTCATTTAACCTTTATTTAACCCGGAAATGTCTCAATGTGATTAAAAATCTCTTACAAGAGCGTTCTGTGAAAAATGTGCTGGTACACAAGCAGTAAATAGATCTGATTCCCGCCTCCCGAACCCACATCTCTAATCCGATTGGCTTTGTTTTTTCTTTCTAACTTGTGAGAGGCCGTAGCTAACATTTGGTTGTGCGAAGCGGCAAAGCTCTTCCGAAACCTAGGTGCGGTAATTGAGGGAGAAATCAACAGTTCTGTGCACGAAAATAAGGGGCAAATCGTGTCACATATTGATTCAGGGACAGTGCATTTTTTTTTTCAATATGACAACTGCAGGATAAGTGGCAAACCTAAACGCTAGTGTGTGTACACACTTCTTTTTGAGGGGCACTTATAGTGAAAGATTGTGACAACCGGCTATTTTATGTGTGCTTACAAGTTAAAAAGGCTTATAAATCTGCCAAATCATGTTTCTATTTAAATCTAGTGTTTTGCACAGGTTTCTGTGAGGGTAATGTTCAGGGGTGGGGCTTGGTCTGTTGAAGGCTTGGTCTTGTCCCGTTTGATCAAGTTGAAACCCTTGTCAGGCTGCTTTTAGTCATCCTAGTCTCATCAGCTGAGGCTGAAAGAAGTTTCAGTGCTCTTAGGAGACTGAAAACATGGCCCAGAACAAGAATGGCACAAGTGAGACTTAACAGTATTGCTGTGTGCCATGTCCACCAGGACAAACTGGACAATATTGATGTGAAACAAATATGCCAACAGTTCATTTCTGTTAATGACAGATGTAGACATGTGTTTAGCTTCTTCAAATAGCAAGTAACAAGACAGAAACATTGGCATTGACTACTGCATTGCACTATGAACAGAGTAAAAGTAAGTCTCGGTTAAACTGCCTCCTTGTCATTATTAGTTACCGGTGACATTACAGAATTCATTAATTAACATACTGTTAAGGTCAATCTAGACTAAAATCCTGAATTGTCTTATTAATATCCTGAATCCTCAGCTTCCAGGGATGTTGTCACAGTATGTGGCTGATAATGACCATGGTGACAAACAGGTAGGGAAAGGAAGATGAACTGAGGCGGCTTAGGTGGGACAGAAAGCCTTCTGGGTGTTACTGGCAATAAAGGAAGCAAGGGAGGTGCCGGTAGTTCAGGAAGCCAGGGAGGATCGGCCTCCATGGCCTTGCCTGGCCTAGCCAACACTGGACTCTTGGTCAGGGACTGGAGCCATCACTGGACTCTGGTCAGGGGCTGGAGTCATCACTGGACTCTGGTCAGGGGCTGAAGCCATCACTGGACTCTGGTCAGGGGCTGGAGCCATCACTTGACTCTGGTCAGGGGCTGGAGCCATCACTGGACTCTGGTCAGGGGCTGGAGTCATCACTGGACTCTGGTCAGGGGCTGGAGCCATCACTGGACTCTGGTCAGGGGCTGGAGCAATCACTGGACTCAGGTCAGGGGCTGGAGCCATCATTGGACTCTGGTCAGGGGCTGGAGCCATCATTGGACTCTGGTCAGGGGCTGGAGCAATCACTGGACTCAGGTCAGGGGCTGGAGCCATCACTGGACTCAGGTCAGGGGCTGGAGCCATCATTGGACTCTGGTCAGGGGCTGGAGCAATCACTGGACTCTGGTCAGGGGCTGGAGCAATCACTGGACTCTGGTCAGGGGCTGGAGTCATCACTGGACTCTGGTCAGGGACTGGAGCCATCACTGGACTCTGGTCAGGGGCTGGAGCCATCACTGGACACTTGGTCGGGGCTGGAGCCATCACTGGACCCAACACACATAACACCAGCAACATAAATGGAAAGGACCACCTCTTCGATCCCACCAGGGCAGACAGGAAGGGCAGGCTCTGGAATTTCACTCACTGGAACAGACTCGGGAATTTCACACACTGGAACAGGCTTGGGATCTTCTCTCACTGGAAAGGACTCTGGAATTTGTTTCACTGGGACGGATTTGGGAATTTCTCTCACTGGACCGGATTCGGGAATTTCACACACTGGAACAGGCTTGGGAATTTCACAATTCCACAATTTCACTGGTATGGACTCAGGACACGAGATCCACAGGTGGCCAGCACCCACTCCATGAAGTCTGCAAAGCTCCCCCGAGGACCATCAATGGGCAGGCATGCTCTCATCTGCTCAGTAAGGCTGGCGTGGTAAAATACCTTTAATAAGCAGTCGGGAAACGACGTCAGGCATGCCAGTTGTAAAAAATTCCTTGTGTTGTCCTTGAGGGTTATTCCTTGCTGTTCAAGACAGAAGGAAGTTCTAGTTGGACTGTTGGCAAGTCCATACCTCAGTCTTTGTCTGGGTCTTGTGTTCTGTCACGGTATGTGGCTGATAATAAAGCGCACAACGAGGAATTAAACAACATAGTCTTTTAATTGAATGATAAACAGGAGAAGACCAAGGAGAAACACAACCACATTACTCAAAGGATCTAACAAGGAACTAACTGAAACAGAGGGCTTAAATACAGAGCAAACAGAGGGAGAAACTAACTAGACACACCCGAACTGAGGAACCTAATCAATTAGTGACCATGGTGAGAAACATTTGATTTCAAAATATACGCCCTTGGTAAATGGAACAAATAAATTACTTGCCAATGCATATTGTTTAGCTTACAGTTACATCCATTCCTTGCATACTGCTACATATGCAACAAAACAATGTGTCAAAGGAGTTGGGTGCCTAAAAACACAATATATTCATGATTTAATAAAGATCCACTTTCCTGCAGAGTTTAGCTCAAACCCTAATCAAACACAAGCTAATCAAGGTCATCAGATTCAAAAAGAACTGCGAGCCAATGTTCAAGGTTGGGAATCATACTTTTAGGGGTACAACAGCTTGTCACTGGGGCAGTTCCCTCAAAAGTACACCTACTGCACCTCCCCTACACCTTAAATCTGCACTATGAAGCTTTGTTTGGCTATAAATTAGGGAATTTCCATTATGCCTAAAGGATAGATGCTGGGATAGTCTCCATTGTCCCTGTGATCCAACATGGACAATCAGTTTGTTTGAAGAATGGATGGATAGATAGATAGAAAGAAATTCAATTTTGAGCTGTCGAGTCAGATTTCACAGAAAATTCCAGGCTTATGTTATTCATTCTTGCGTGTTAGCGTCATGTCAGTAAACGAAAAAGAAGGTCCAGCTACTATATTAGCCGCTTTCCGACCAAGTAGTTACAGGAACTTAGTTATAGGAACTGTCCACTTCTAAACAGTTCTAAGAACTACTCTCCCCCAAACTCGGTTTTGCTTTTTGCGTTCGCACTGGCCAAGTGGCCATAGGAACTGGTAGGAGGGGTAAGGGAGTGACGCAAGCACGGCGGCAGCGGCGCCACATACAACAACAACAAACCAGCGTGGAGGAGGCTATCGGAATGTTCCTGTTCTGCCTTGCCGGGACCTTAATAACGGAGTACGAACGGCGGCGTTTAAAGATCTTGAGTTCTGTACAGAGAAACACAGAAGACGAAGGCTCCAGCGTAATATGATCTTAAGTAATATGATGGAAGAAGATAGAAGAGCAGAGCGCAGGAGGCAAACAAAACGACGGGTAAGTTTAGCAAGCATTAGCAATTAGCTGGTTGAATGCGTTATGTTTGTCTTAAGTTATGAGTTTGCATAGCCTACATAGGCGAATTGCAACAGACAGTGAAGAAAATGTGTTGACAGTGGGCTTGACTTATAAGTTGAACCAATCAACGTAGACCTAGGGAAAGGGAACTAAAAAAGTCCTCGCTCTAGACTAAGTACTGAAAGAGTTATAGGAACTACGGTCTGAGGAACTAAAAAATCCCCAACTTAGTCTGGCCGGAACACGCGAAAAAAAGGGTTATAGGAACGTTAGGTTCTAGGAACTGCAAAAGTCCCTCCGGTCGGAAAGCGGCTATGGTCTGTGCTGAAGAGTAGTTGTAGCTTGTTTCTGCAATAAATAGTATTGTTGTGTAGAAAAGAACCAGTCAGCTAGCTAACATGTAATATGGACAAAACAGCAACACTCACTGACCTCTGGGGAATCACCATTTGTCAAAACAAAGAAATCTCAAACTGTCAACAATTTGCATTCAAAAAGGGAAAGCACCAGATCCTGTACCAAAACAAGATCCATACCACAATGGTAGATATGATACTTGCTCATATGACTTTTTTTTCTGATATACGTTTTTTTGGAAATTCTTCTTACTGTATTGGTGCAGCAACAGATCCTATCTGATATGGTGATCAGCCATAACCATGTGGTTTCCTTAAACCATCAGATTCATCTGCACAGAAGTGCAGTGCTGAACCACAACTTACTTTAAAGAACTATTCTGCAAGTAACACACAATTTTATGTTTCAACCACAGATGGCAATAGAGAGACTAAAGTGCATAGGGGAGCTTTGAGGTATTAATATATACCCTTTAGGGCAGGGATGGACAACTCTGAACTGGGAGGGCAATGTTCAGCTCCATGCCAAATCAAACACACCTGCCTGTAATTTTCAAGTAATCCTTGAAGACTTTGGTTAGATTTTTCAGGTGTGTTAGACTAGAGATGGAGCTAAACTCTGCAGGACAGTGGCCCTCCAGGACCAGAGGTTGCCCATCTCTGTTAGATAGGGTACAAATATATTTCATGTAAATAAGTACAGTGGGAGTCCTTTTGGAGGTTTGAAGAAACTGCCCATGAAAAGCTAGTTTTAAGGTATTTTTTTCAGAATCTGACAATATAAAGAAGGCACTTAGTATACAGAAATTTAGATGAAATCTCTGTTTTAGGACTTTAAGTTTTAGAGCTGGTGATGTCGATTTTCTCTCAAAAGCACAATGTACCGGGCACAATGTTTTAAGGCTGTTACCATATTTTCAAGTTCTGGAGCATGAAGTTTAACAATATTGGTTGATAACAAGTCTGAATATTGGGGAGATTTTTGAACTACGTACCGAGTAGCAGACTAGCTGTGAGCTGATAGAACCCAGACACTGGAGCCGTGTAGCGGCCACTGCTGGCGTTAAAGCCCTGTCCTCTCTGATGGAACTGCTCTGTGTTTGAGGGCTGTTTGAGGAAAACACACAGAAATGGAATTATTGAATATGCCTTTGCCGATCTCTTCCTTCGCCAGCCCTTCTCCACTGCTTTGCCAGTCTGTTTCACCATCAGCCAACGCTAACATTGCTGCTAAACCAATATATCTAGAAGTTATGGCTACTTCAGGCAAAGGAAAGCCTAAATTTAATTTCTCAACTCTGGGGATGCTATATCATGGTTAATAAATGGAGTAAATTGTTTCTAGTTTGAAAGGGATTTTATCCACTCACAGTGTTGAAGGGCTGGAGCTCCTGCAGACTGCGACGGTGGACCAGCAGGTTGTGGTGCAGTCGGCAACGGAAAGCCGTGGCCACACGAGGAGGTTGATCGCAGAGCAAACAGTGAGTTCCTACCATCTCTGAGTTGAAAGATAATAGCAGGATTGTAATGTTCCTTTGTCAAAAGCACAATTAATTCCCATCTAACTGCATTGTTTAACACGGGACAAGGTATAACCCAGTAGACTAGACTTTCTCAGACACAGAAACACTGAAATACAGCCAGTGGAAAATGGTTGAGAGATTGTCTTTGATCGACACTTGGCTGCAAATAAAGTCATTAAACAATCTCACGGTGAATAGAAGATGTAAATATTTGGAGTGTTTGAGTGTGTGTATGAGCAGACAGAGTGGATGGAAGTGTGAGGGAATGAGAATGCTAGAATGTATAAGCGTGCGGCGCCACTGCACTTTTCTGTGTGAATAAGAGCCTTTATGTTTTATATTGCTGTCAGAACAGCCTGCAGCTCACTGCACCAGAGCACAAACAGACCTGTGTCTGCTTTCCTGGCAATGCTCCAACACTCATTCCACACACACACAAAATCTGGAATCCGTGGAATTCTTTGGCCAGGCCAAGTCAAATCCACGTCCTGGAAAATTACACCTATTAAGAGATCAGGCCAGCCCACAAACAGACTTGCAGCCGCCCCAACAAATGAGCATGACAACACACATCCCAAACATCAAGCAAAGCTGAAAGTGATCTAGCCGAAACAAAAACACACACAGCTGTTAGACCACTAAAACCGACATATTCCAATGTTTAACAAACTCTTTAAAAGGTGTTGATGTCAAAACTTAATACTTAATAGTATAACTAATTTGTGCACCTGCATCTGGAGTCTGTGTAGTTTGAATCCATCACTCTGAAAAAACTATTCCACAAGTGCACTGAATCTTTAGATGGTGCATGGTATAGACCAAAGGGCAACCGACAACCCTACAAAGTCACAATAGTGTTTATGAACACTAAGAACAGTGGTTGTCAATCCTGGTCCTGGAGCCCCACCTCTCTGTACAATTTTCATGTCTCTCTTATCTGACACTTTTTTCAAACAAGCTGGTGATCTGAATCCACTTATCAAATGTAATCTTAACAAGTTTTAGATCTTGCTCAGGTCTGCTAGATGGATGTATAATGAGATTTCTTTTCTGTTTTGTATGGTACAATTGGTGTGTGAATGGGCTTATGTCCAAAAATCCCAGTATACCTTTCAGTTTGACTTGGAAGTCCTGTATCAACTCTGCATGATGAGGCAGTAGGGGGCCTGGAGGACCAGGAGGCCCCTGGGGACCAGGAGGGCCTGGTGGACCTGGAAGGCCATGCTAGACATGGAGAAAGTTTTCAAGTTACATGGCATAATTAGAGAAATCCATTTGAAGAGGTGAAGGATTAGACACTTTCTCATAGTAGACATGTTGTTACATAGGCCTCGTTAGGTTTATTTGTGCGTGCTGTGCTAAATCTGTGTTCATACAGATGCACTCGACTTTATAAAGCCTTTGTTCAATATATCAATGCACTTATCGTATGTATTAATAATATTCACTTTTAACATGGTGTGTAAGTAGCAGAGATTACCTTGGAGAGTTTTTTATTTCCTTTTGGTTTCTTATTTCCACCCTTGTTGGAGTTGTCCCTAAAGACTTTCCATGTCCTGTGGGGGCTCACGATGGTTATGTCAGAGGATACAGTCTCCTGTAAAAGTTAAGCATCTCATGGCTTTAAACTATGTAAGCAAACTTTCACTACAGCAAATATGCAAATTCTTCCTGCAGAAAGGATCAGGTTTTGTATGATCATTATACATATATCCTATCATTATATATATACTTTTCATTTCATTTTGTATGTGCATATATATATATAGCAGCTAAAAAGAAACATCCCTTTTTCAGGATACTGTATTTTGTAAAAACCAAGTGAGCTTTATTGGAAAGGGTTTTTCATGCTTGTTCAGTGAACCACAAACAATTATTGAACATGCACCTGTGGAACAGTCCTTAAGACATTAACAGTTTACAGGTGGTAGACAATTAAGGTCACAGTTACAATAACTTAGGACACTAAAGAGACTCTGAAAAGCACCAGGAGAAAGATGGCCAGAGTTCCTGATCACCTGTGTGAACATGCCAGTAGTCAGGAGGCATGAGGACTGCAGATGTGAGCAGAGCAACAAACTGCAATGTCCGTACTTTAAGAGGCCTAAGAGGCCAGTGTTAATGGGAGACAGGAAGGTTAGCTGATCTGAACGTCTTTGCAGTGCCAAACCACATGTAACCATATGCAAGAACTGGTGCAAATTTGGTGCAGTCCATGAGGATGAGATGCACTGTAGTATTAAAGCAGCTGGGGACTGCTACATTTTTCAAGCTCATTTAACTGTGAAATTTGTTCAGTTTATAACTCAGTTATTGAATCTTTTTATGATCGTACAAATATTTACACGTGTTCAGAAATTTGATGGAAAAAAAAGTTAAAAGTGAGAGGCATTCCCTTTTTTTTTGCTGAGTTTGTTAACACAAGTTCACATTGAGTTTGTATAAAGTTTTTTAAAAATAAATATTCCCTCATGTCTAGTGGTTTTCACACCCACACAACTCAAAGATTTGATTCACGAGATTTCACAGTGTCACCGTGTAAGCCTTGACAGGTGTACATCAGGTGTGTGTATGGCATTTGACTTACAGGGCTCTCAGTGCTGACTGTGTTGTCCACCTCCTGGAGCTCCAGACTCTCCTCACTCTCTTGTGTGGTGCAGGCGGTCAGCAGTAAACTCAGCAGCAAGGCCAGCAGTGCCCCTCTCGCCCCACGCCTGAGCTTCATCCTGCAGTGTCAGTAGGTAAACGTCTAACTCACTCAACCCCTTCTTAATATCTCAATGCACAATTTCCATTCCAAACCAGAGATGTGACCAGAAGTCCTGAGGGTATAACGCAATGGAATCGGTCCTTAGAAAACAAGGATATCCAGAAAGTGTGAACAGAGTCCTTTAGCTGATAGTGGAACTTGATGATTTGGTCTGTGATCTACCAATGTTCTACTTTCATTTCCGGGGTGGTTTTTGAGATGGAGAAGAAAATCCGTCCTCAGATTAGTTCATGTTTTGATTGTCCTCAGCACGGAGAAGTCAGAGAGCCATGAGCGTTGTCCATAGGGCCTCACTACTCTTCTACCCATTCACAGTCAGTCTGTCCTCTGACAGCCAAGATTCTCTGTGCCTCCTGATTATAGTCTAAACTGTCTGAGCTTGAGTTATGGATGTTCAGCGTATGTGTTATAGTCACCCACTGTGTGTAGGTGTGTATTCCATAAATACATGTGTGTGGTTGTGTGAATGTATTTGTTGATTGTTAGTGTCTGTTGCTGAGTTGCGGTGTGATTACCTGTGATAAACCCTGTGTGTGTGGTATACTCAGTCTCTCTCTGTGGGTGGTATCTCCACTTCTTCTCTCTGTTTTAATAGTGTTTGATTGTCTTCTGCTTTTCCCTGGTGCCTCTGCACAGTTCTGTCTGTTTATATTTTCAGTAATTCCTTCAGTGATGATATTTTTTTTTATTTTTTGCCAGTCGAGGTCCCCTTTGCCAGGCTCCAGGTTATTCCACATCTGTCAGTGGCCCTCTCAGAAAGGATTTTTCTGTTTTGAAGGGCTCCTTTTCGCGCTCCTCTCTTTTTAGCTTCCTCTCAGACCAGACTCCTCCTCCTCCTTTTCTAGTTTGTCCACTCCTCCTGATATCTGCCGCTGAATCTTGACCTGTCACTTTGTCTCTCTTCAGCCTCCATGCTATTTATCTGAACTCTCAATTTATCTGATCTCTCTCTCTGTCTCCTACACTGAGTTCCTTGGTCCCTTCTTTCGTTTGTCTTGTGTTTAGCTCATTCGTTTGTCTCTGCCAGCCCTTTCTCTCTCCGTCATCCTCATCTTCAGGGTCCTAGTGCCTCTTTTATGGGTTTATACAGTGGTCAGAGATGCTCTGAGATGATTTCCAGTGATGGAAATCAAAATAAAACGTTAAATGTCAGAAATATTACAAAGATAGTGTTAATTTAGTCTCTATCCTAAATTTGCAAGCAGTGAGAGACCTTTGGGTGTGGCAGAAATGTGCATTGCAGATATGCAAAAATGATGACAGTTGAGATGAAAATTGCACACTTTCTTGTAGCAAACCACCACACCTCTCCTTTTATCAGTCTTCTACTCTTGCTTTTTCCTGGCTGAGAGTACAGCATCTGTGTGGTTTTTAGACTAGACCACAATTGGGCATGAAACTAATGAAGCTTTAAAAATGCTGGAGTCTGTGAGCCTAATTAAATGTAATTATTTTCAAAATTCATACAAGGGATTATTGGCACAGTCTTTTGGCAAATTTGTTTAAAATTAAGTTTGATCTCTTTTCAAAGACGACACTTGGCAGATTATTGCTGAAGCGAAAAACGTTTTAAAAAGTGAACTTAAAAAAAAAGAGTTACAGAATTTTACGTTTATTGTTATGAAAAATGTTTCAAAAACATGTTTTACTCGAAAACGGTGAGAAAAATCAAACCCATAAATCTAAACAAGTTGTGTTCAAAATTTGAGCCTGATATCTCAAAAAATGAGCTTTCAAGATTTTGTTTGGCTGCAGTACCAAAAGTCTCCAATAGGTGAAATTTGTCTCATTCATTTCCAATGCGCTTATTTTTGACCGTGAGGAGCACTAGTGTGACTAGAATTTTTTTTCAGGACCATTTAACCTGTTCGAATCACGTCCATGATTATTATTTAATTTTTTGTTCACATAGGCAAGTGCCAAAACCTTTTCCAAGTTTCGTACCATTCCGATGAAGAAAAAAAATTCGTAAAAAAACAAATGTAAAATTCTTCGGTCGGAAATGACTAGAGCGATCAGGACAATCAGCACAGTATTTTTCATCCAGGATTAATGTGTTTTTAGTAAAGTATAGAAGAGGCCATTTTAAATGATTAAATTAGAACCACTGCTGCAAATCCCTTTAACGTATGCACTGAAAAAAAAAAAAAAACATACACTTACTTCATCAAACAACATAGACAATGCTATCTAAATGATTTAGGAAATAGACGTTTGTTGTTAGAGAAAGGTGAGTGGAAGCTGTCTGCATAATTAAGTCCTGGATAAGAGGATTTGAGGTCACTAGTCCTGTTCTGTAAAGACTTTCTCAGTATTACCAAATCTCATCAGACAATCTCAATATCCTGTACACAGAAAGACTTCTCCGATGGCTAAAGGAAAAGATGTTTCGGAAAAGGTTTCACGTCCCTGTTAATGAATATGCTCTATGACCTCATTTGAGAAACGGCACCACTTGAACTAGAACTGCTGTAATTCCGTTGTCAGAGCGGGTGAGTAGGCTACTAAAGCCTCAATATATAGGCTTACTAGCACTACGCTTATATAACATTATGTCACCATGTTTTTAGTCATCTGAACTGTGAATTATACTCACTGTACTTTCAGTGTTAAACATGGAGCAGGACGATGTTTCGCCGCTGCAGCACTTTGTGGTGGCAAAGAGGACTATCAGTGCTATGTTTCAACAGATGTTGGAGTATGTTAGAGAGGGATCAGATTTTGTAGAGGGTAAGATTAACTATTGCATTTGTGATTGATACATATTTTGTTATTTTATTGTTTAAATTACATATATTTAGTAATTGGTCTATTTAATTTACAAAAAGGTACCTTTTTTTACATTTGAGAAGTGAACATGCTTCAGTTTGGGCTTTTTATCATTTAATGTTTTCTTTATTACAAATGAAAGGACCAGCATAACATTTTAAGTAAAATGTTTATTGTTACAAAGGACATCTTATGCTTTAGTGGGAACAAGGACAAAGAGTTTATTTGATGCGATAACGTTCCATTGTTTAAACTTTCCAAAATCGTTAAACTTAATTTTTTAACTTTAACTTAATTACTTCCATTAGGTTAGATTTAAAATCCCAGCATTTTAACGTGAAGACCATTGTATACTTTTGACAATATCTACTTAGACTCATAGATAATATGGTTGTAACACCATTGTTGTAAGTATGGTTGTAATTGTAGCGGTCACCAGCTGGAGTGCCCTTGAGAGCCATCAGAGGGCGCTCCACATCAGACTATTGCCATTCTCTCACAAACTACATCTCCCATAACTCCCTGGCCGGACTCTTCATCCGTTATCACATTCACCTGTGTCTCATTATCTTGTTTAGCTCACCCCATATAAGCCTGGTTTTCTCACTCATGATCTGCGAAGTCTTGTTTAGTGTTACAGTGCAATAGGCTTTATGCACAGCTTCACTACTTCCTGAACTTCAGCCAGCCCTTTGTTTCCTGTCTGTCATTATTGGACAAACTGATTAATCCAGGTGTGCCTGATTATTGTTACTGAGGCCAGGCACACCTGGTTTAATCAGTTTGTCCAATAATGACAGACAGGAAACAAAGGGCTGGCTGAAGTTCAGGAAGTAGTGCAGCTGTGGCATAAGGCCAATTCCAGGCATTCTCCCTGGTTTCATGTCTCTTGGTTTTGGATTTCTTGCCTGTTCGGTGGATTACTCTTTTGCCCGTGTTCCCTGCCTTGTGTTTGTTTGTATGGATTGCCTGCCTGTGTTTGACCCTGCCTGTACCTATTTTGGATTACCCTGTTCAATAAATACTGCATTTGGATCCACAATTGTTGTGTCTCAGAGCAGTTAGTGACATAAATAGTAAATACTATGGTTTCTTAGTATGGAAATGATTTAGTACCATGATATGTATGAAAGCACCATGGTATTTATGCTAAGCCTTATGCTAAAATGCTTTAAATTATTTTTTTCACATCAAAACACTGTAGTCCATAGTGTCACGGGTCAGCGTGTGTCCAAGAGATATGCGTGACACAGAATGAACGATAATATAAGACTTTAATGAACACAGAGATGAACATAACACCAATAACATAACTTTAACAAGAGACAATGGACAGAGATGAACTGAAGGCTTAAAGGCCCACTGAAGTGCCTTGAAATGTGCAGCATTATCAATGTGTTGACGTAATTTCCACTGAAACAGGAAGACAGGGTGGGACATATCGAACAGCTCCTCCCCTTTTAAAAAAATAGCCATTTTTTTGCACTTTAATGCGTTTTAATGCGTTTACCACAGCTTGGCCAGAGCCGTTGAGCTCGGTAAAGCTGCAGTTTCCTCCTAATCTCCTCCATATTGTTTTAAAATATATCATCCTGTGCAGAATTCAAATGGGTCTGATACGTTTTCTGGTCCGCCCTGTACTATCGTGTCTCTGGACCATAGCAGACCATGTGCCGTGTTGATGGTTCGTGAAACCAGACTTCAATTGCCGCAATGAAAATCATATTTACACAGTCTGAATCGTTCCCTTTCCCCGATATAGTGCACTACGCCCCATTCACCATACAGAAAAATAGTAAATGTGTGTACAATTGACTGGTTTCAGCCACAGCTTCAGTGTCTATTTATAGTGTAAGGGGCGGAGCTTCAGATTTTAGAGAGCATTTGATTGGACAGAAAATCTGATGAGAAACTGAAGTGCAGAATGATGTCACCCAAATCATTGAATGCTTATATCTTCTACATGCGAATTTTGTCATTGTTTTGGAGCACATTAGCTTAGCATATTTATACTAAAAGCCAAAACACTTAAATTTATACTTCATGGGGACTTTAAATACACAAAGGATGATAATCAATGAAACAAGAAACAGGTGTGTAACTAACAATAAACCATGACAACTAATGAATGACTTAAACTAAGGTAAACGGTGGCAATGAAAACGAAGACTGAACACTAAACAAGACAGAAACTAAACATGTCCGTGACACATACCCAATATAATAACAAAGCAAAAAAAACATAAGCATTATAACATGAGCATTCAGACCCTTTGCCATGACACTTGAAATTTTAGCTCAGTTGCATACTAATTTTCTAAATAATCTTTGAGATGTTTGTCCACATGTGGCAAATTCAATTGAGAACCCATTGGCCTCTGCAATTTATATTGGACGTTTGGAACAACCAGGGCTTTTACTAGAGCTGGACCTCAGTCCAAACTGAGCAGTTGGGGGAGAAGGGCCTTGGTGACAGAGAACCTGGTGGTCATTATGGTTGCGGTCCAGAAATCGTGTGGGAGAAGCTTTCAGAAGGACAAACATCACTGCAACCCTCCATTAATCTTGGAAACTACATTTCAAATAACTTATTAATTTGCAACTACATGTCAACTTGTTCTCATTGAAGTTAAAATTGGGGTTCGGGTTAGTAGAATTAGAGGAAATACTTCCAAAGTAACTTATAGTCAGTGGAATGTCTGTTCCGGGACCATCAAAATAAAGAATCGGCAAATATTAAGGAGACAGTCAGTTACTAATACTCTAAAGACTGCTAGCTAGATGACATGTAGTTACTTACAGTTACTAGAATGTCAAAAGTGGACTATCAAAATAAAGTGTAAACAAAAGCATCTTAAGGACTTTCAGACTCTGAGAAACAAGACTCTCTGGTCTGATTAATTGCAGTTCCAAGCATCATGTCTGGAGAAAACCAGGCGCTGCTCATCCCCTGTACAATACCATCCCAATGGTGGTGCTTTTAGACTGAGGGAATGGAGGAAAGATGAATGTAACAGAAAACTATCCGATTAGTACTGAGTTAAGGGCCTGCAATGTGATATTTCAGGATTAAACAATAAATAATATGCAAAGCTATCACAAATCTGGGTTTAGCTTTGTCCTCATGGGGCATGGAGAGTAGATTGATGGACTGTCACACAGGCCTATCTCTTTATCAGCTAGGTTTGGTCCTGCGCTTTACTGTGATGGTATTTGATATGAGTGTGTGTGTGGTGCCCAGAGACGAGGAAGAGTGAGGATCTGGAGCATGTAGCTGAGGAAGAACAGTGTCTGCAGATCCAGGCCTGCTCCAGGAAACTAACGGTCATCAATGATGTGCTGGCCCGCAGACACATGAAGGTGGCCTTCTTCGGCAGGTAAAGCAACAGCGGTCGTATGTAAAGCAAACGATGACAACAGGCCAGCCAGAATGAAATTAGCAATGCATACAGCTGAAGAACTAAAGCATTATTGTTATGTTTATGTTTTAGCTCTTCAGCTGTATGCATTGCTAATTTATACAAATAAGCAAGATGTCAAAAACTGTGTATTTGTGTACAGGGATCGCTCCCCCCCCCCTCCCCCCTCCCCCCTCCCCCTCCCCCTCCCTCTCCCCCCTCCCCCTCCCTCTCCCTCTCCCCCCTCCCCCTCCCTCTCCCTCTCCCTCCCCTCCTCATTAATTTGTGTTTGAGCTTCTCTTGAATCAGAGTGTAAATAGACAGTTTTGTTACTGGATGCTTTATGTTGTTTCTCAGGACCAGTAATGGAAAGAGTACAGTAATTAACGCCATGCTAAGGGAGCGGGTTCTGCCCAGTGGAATCGGCCACACCACAAACTGTTTCCTGAGCGTGGAGGGCACAGATGGGGAACACGCCTACCTTACCACTGAGGACTCTGAAGAGAGGAAGAGCATTGAAGTATGACGCAAATATTACGCAGTTCTTTATGTTTGTAAACTGGGTTTCATTTGGGATAATTACTTCACAATTTCGTAGAGGCTGCAATAGTCAAATCAAGTCACATTCATTTATATAGCGCTTTTTACAATATAGATTGTTTCAAAGCAGCTTTACAGTGATAACAGGAAATGAATGCAACAAAGACTGTTTTGGCTGTACAGCAGCTGAAGAGGAAAATCATTGTCTAGCTTAAGTAAGTTTTATATTGATTCATTTGAGTTGTAAAAATCATTAGGGGCTGCTTACACAACACCGTTTTCAACTGAAAACAGAAAACTTTTAATACATTCTGACTGTTCATTTACATGACAACAGCGCTTTGGTGATGGCATATGCACATGCGTATTACGTGTTAAATCAATAGACATGCGCGTTTGAATGCTTATGTGCACGGGCGCGTAGTCTTTTTTTTACAAAGTGACTGCCAATGACTTGTCTGGCATGCAGAATACAGCGGTTTTTAATCGTTTCCGCAGAATTATTTTGATAACATTTTCATCTGTACAGAGGATATAGTGCTAGCTTTGAAAGCATTAGATCCCCCCAAAGCGTCTCCGAAGCCAAGCCTCCTCCAAAACACATGAACGCGTACAGCCAGAGCGGAGTCTCCAAAGTGTCACGAGAGACGTCATTAAATTACCATTAAAACATACCACGGCAATAATAATAAACGTAAACAACTTAAAAGCTCTGACTTGTACCATCTGACCGCAGAAGATACATTTTTCAGTTGATAGAGTGGCAATAGAAACGCATAAATCCGAGTCTGAGGACGTGAATTACAGTAATTACGTAATTAATGAGGGTAACGCATTACAAGTAATGCAAGTTACGTGATCAAATGAAGAGATACATTCAAGAGTATCATCTCTAGTGAAGTTTAATGTAGAATTTGTTGTTTTCTAAACTGAGATGGCATGTCAAGTTATGCATGTTTTATCTCAATTATATTAAGAAACTAGCTTTATTTTTTACACAATGCAACGTTTCAACAAGATCCACAGGAAAGCTCATTTTAAAAAGAGAAATAACAGGTGTTTCCATATTGTGGTGTGATATGAATATAGTGTGATCTTACATCTTGAAGCTTAAAGTTTGGCTTTACCTTACAGACAGTCAATCATCTGGCCCACGCTCTGCATATGGACAGGAACCAAGACTCAGGCTGTCTTGTCCGAGTGTTTTGGCCCAAAACTAAGTGTGCGGTGCTGAGAGATGATCTGGTTCTGATGGATAGGTATGGACCCGTCCACACAGGCTACAGGGTTGCCAGAGCTAAATGTAGTTTCTGCAGGGCAGTTTGGCACATGAACAACAGACCTGGGCTGCGTTTCTCAAAAGCTTCGGGAGCCTACAGAGATCATAAAACCATTGGCACCAACGATCAACTTAGCTCACAATCATTTTGGGAAACGCAACCCTGGAGAATCGCTGCAGATACATGGACTTCGACAAGGTTTGATGTGTTGTGAAGGGGTGGCAAGTAAAAGGACTAATGGTTTTGGAAGTGCTGCTCTAGAGATATCATGTGTGGTAACAGCTGACACAAAAAAACAGACACCAAATTGCCTGATCTCAGATTAGCAATAAAGAATAGAACATTTTGTGTGGTTTGGTGTAATGTTAATGTCCTCACACTCCTCAGTCCAGGCACAGACGTCACATCAGAGCTGGACAGTTGGATTGACAAGTTCTGTTTAGATGCTGATGTCTTTGTGCTTGTGGCCAACTCTGAGTCCACCATAATGAACACTGTGAGTAGAAACTTATCACTTTCAGAACTCCATTTAAAAAATAAATCTGTTATATCTGTTATCAGTCAATATTAGAGGTTTCGATTTTCATTTATTGGTATCGGTTGGATATTTAATCCTTCAAACTTCCAATATTTCCTATATTTAGATGCTTCGTGCTCATTTAGACTACCTTTGCAGTCAACTTAAGTTTAAAAGCACTAATAATGAAATAATACTGTTGTTAAATGTAATTTTTAGCCAATCTTAAAATGAAGATCCATTTTTTCATAGTTCACATTGCAATGCTGTGATACTTTAACTAACTTGTAGCATTTAAAATAATTTATTGTGGCAAAACATTGTCAGATATTATTGTAAAGATAACTATCAAAGTATTGACCAAATTGTAGTATCGCTCCATCCCTATAAGGTTTACTTTTATTATTGACCAAACTTTTTTCTGCAGCTTTTGATTATTTTCCCTTTTGTTCATTTCAATATTTCACTCTTCTTTGTAAGGAGAAGCACTTTTTCCACAAAGTGAATGAGCGCATATCAAAGCCCAACATTTTCATCCTAAACAATCGCTGGGACGCATCTGTCTTAGAGCCAGAGTATCTGGAAGATGTAAGTTTTATTGCATATGACTCATTACCATTAGTCTCAAGTGATTCACCATATAAAACCACCACAGAGATTTGTGAGATTTTTGTAACATTCATCATTCCTCCGTCATCCATTTCAGGCTTATAGGTTCAATGAAATGAGATTAACAACACTTAATAAGTTTCATTAATATGTCATTCACAAACATAATGCAGTGCTTAACAGTTGAGAAGTTCATGTAGATTAAAGGGATAGTTCACCCAAAAATGAAAAAGATACTTTGAAGAATGTCGGTAACCAAACAGTTGATGGGCCCCATTGAATTCTATAGTTTTCTGAATTCTAAAGTCAATGGGGCCCATCAACTGTTTGGTTACCCATATTCTTCAAAACATATTTAGTGTTCAGCAGAAGAAAGACATTCATACAGGTTTGGAACACCTTGAGGGTGAATAAATGATGACAGAATTTTCATTTTTGGGTGGACTATCCCTTTAAGAGATGAATAGATATAAAATTGTATTGAATATGTTTATGAACTATAAGTTGATTAATGAAAGCTTAGTTAATATTGTGTTCATTTGTTTGTACTTCACTGACCTTTTAGGTGCGGAAACAGCACATGGATCGCTGTGTCAGTTTCTTAGTGGAGGAGCTGAAGGTAGTGGACCTTCACAAGGCACCTGACCGCATCTTCTTTGTCTCTGCCAAGGAGGTGTTGAGTGCCAGGATCCACCGCGCTCAGGGAATGCCAGAGACTGGTAGGCTCCAGCACAGTGGGTCACACAGTGCCGAGTCTACTGCTTTTGACACGGTTCTGGAGGGAGACCAGGAAAAACGAGGCTTAGCCAAGTTAAAAACGAGAGTAACAACCATATAAAACACTCAGAGGCAGATGCTATTAAATCTTGAAGTGGCCCAATGATTTTGAGAGTGATACTTGAGGAGTGACTTGAAGTCTGCAAAAATATGTAAAAATGATGCAAAATGCATCATTTGATATTTCATTTGTTGGCTGGTAGGGATCAAATGGGGCATATGCTTTTTATTTAAAGGCGGGGCTTTGGCTGAAGGATTCCAAGAGCGACTGATGGAGTTCCAGAGTTTTGAAAGAACATTTGAGGTGAGAATGCTCTCAAACTGTAGTCACTGGCTCCAGGATAATCGTTGTCTGACAACGAGGCTGAAAACAATGAAGATTAAGAGGAGCTTGATGGAAACTGAGTCTTAGCCATGTCTGTACGCTGTTTAGACTAGATGAGAATTTATGACAGCTTGACGTGGTGACGGTCTCCTTAAGCAAGCTGTTTTTTGCGTTGATTCAGGCCATCTGCTGCTGGCTCCCAAACGTGTGAGATACTTGGTGTTCCTCATAGATTCCAGGCAGCCGTTTACCGTAGTGGCCAAGTTAGCGTATTTGAGTAGGTGAGCGTACCTCACATTCTTGGGAACCAGGGATGAAAATTCACAGTAATCTACGATGGCATTAATAGACGGGTCTGTTGTGATTCAGCCATGCAAGCAACCGATGGCGAGAGTGAAAAGCATGTTGATGGGTACAGATAAAAATCGACCCGTTGGCATCTTGTTTTAATCATGACGTGATCCCTGATAATTGTGGCACAATGACGGCTCAAGAACGCGCTTCATGGATTCCACAGGAATTTATATCCCAGTCTGCCGTGAAGACCAAGTTTGAGCAGCACACAATCAGAGCCTGGCAGATCATTGAGTCGGTCAAGGCTATCATGGATGCCATCAATATTTCTTCAGCAGAAAAGAAGTGAGTTCCAAAACCTTGTCTGCTCTGTAATGGAGGGTCTCTGTCCAAGCTCCAAAAGACTATAATTGGTCCCGCTATTGAACCGAGACCTCAGATTCTCTCAGTCAGAGTGAAAACATTTGTTTTTAGTATGGTATTCTTCATAAAAGTCATTGTTGTGTTGAAACGATACTGTTGTAACCATCATAATGTTCTGTAAATCTGTAGAGTGTTCTCACTGGAAGAGCGTGAGGCTCTAATGGACCGGCTAGAGTTTGTGCGAAATCAGCTTAACTTCCTGACCGAGGACATCAAAGACAAGATAAAGGCCATCGCTGATGAAGTGGCTGCCAAGGTGACTTGCATCATCATCCCTTACAAAATGTATCATGGCAACCCTAGCGTCCGCAGAAAACCCCCCAATGTAATCTGATTATGTAATCAGATTCCAAAAATTAAGTACTTGTAATTAGATATTACATTTTTCTATTAATTAAATGATTACATGTTATTCTCACAATGGCAGTCAATTATTCATAATTCATTGATTTTCCTTCTTTATGTTTTAAATGTTCCTTTCTAAAAAAAGTCTACTGCTTATATATACGTTAAGAAGGTTTTCCAGGTTTGTGGAATTGCACACAAAGACCAGCCACTAGTCATGAGCCGATCACTGAAAACTGAGACCCACAAAGCTTTTATTTAGGTTTTATTTTAAAGTTATTTAAAATTTGATTTAATTACATAGCTTTTCATTAAACTCACAAACACAGGGTCTAAGAAACCCTGGCATAATATAATATTTAATACACTTCATGTTGTTGTTAAAGAATGGAATATATTTTCTTTCTCTTTGTAGTTTTATATCAATATGGTAAAAGATTATCCTATTCAAATCAACTTGATACATGTGTCGGGTCAAAAGTAATCTAAAAGTAGTCAAAATACATTACCTAAAATGAGTAATCAAGATTACATTACTAACTACAATTACATAACTGACTACAATTTGTAAGTAATCTACCCAGCACTGTATGTATGTATGTATATCATGTACATCAGGGGTCTATATATATAAATATATATATATATACAGTCAGGTCCATAAATCGACACAATTCTAATCTTTTTGGCTCTATACACCACCACAATGGATTTGAAATGAAACGAACAAGATGTGCTTTAACTGCAGACTTTCAGTTTTAATTTGAGGGTATTTTACATCCAAATCAAGTGAACGGTGTAGGAATTACAACAGTTTGTATATGTGCCTACCACTTTTTAAGGGACCAAAAGTAATGGGACAGATTAACAATCATAAATCAAACTTTCACTTTTTAATACTTGGTTGCAAATCCTTTGCAGTCAATTACAGCCTGAAATCTGGAACGCATAGACATCACCAGACGCTGGGTTTCATCCCTGGTGATGCTCTGCCAGGCCTCTACTGCAACTGTCTTCAGTTCCTGCTTGTTCTTGGGGCATTTTCCCTTCAGTTTTGTCTTCAGCAAGTGAAATGCATGCTCAATCGGATTCAGGTCAGGTGATTGACTTGGCCATTACATAGCATTCCACTTCTTTCCCTTAAAAACTCTTTGGTTGCTTTCGAAGTATGCTTCGGGTCATTGTCCATCTGCACTGTGAAGCGCCGTCCAATGAGTTCTGAAGCACTTGGCTGAATATGAGCAGATAATATTGCCCGAAACACTTCAGAATTCATCCTGCTGCTTTTGTCAGCAGTCACATCATCAATAAATACAAGAGAACCATTGGCAGCCATACATGCCCACGCCATGACACCACCATGCTTGACTGATGAGGTGGTATGCTTTGGATCATGAGCAGTTCCTTTCCTTCTCCATACTCCATACCATAATTCAAAAATCGCTATAAAGCCTAAACAATCTCTGTTACCGTAAATTGTATGTTTATCTCTGTAAAGCTGCTTTGAAACAATCTCCATTGTTAAAAGCGCTATATAAATGAAGATGACTTGACTTGACTACTCTTCTCTTCCCATCACTCTGGTACAAGTTGATCTTTGTCTCATCTGTCCATAGGATGTTGTTCCAGAACTGAGAAGGCTTTTTTAGATGTTGTTTGGCAAACTCTAATCTGGCCTTCCTGTTTTTGAGGCGCACCAATGGTTTACATCTTGTGGTGAACCCTCTGTATTCACTCTGGTGAAGTCTTCTCTTGATTGTTGACTTTGACACACATACACCTACCTCCTGGAGAGTGTTCTTGATCTGGCCAACTGTTGTGAAGGGTGTTTTCTTCACCAGGGAAAGAATTCTTCGGTCATCCACCACAGTTGTTTTCCGTGGTCTTCTGGTGTTGCTGAGCTCACCGGTGCGTTCTTTCTTTTTAAGAATGTTCCAAACAGTTGATTTGGCCACACCTAATGTTTTTGCTCTCTCTCTGATGGGTTTGTTATGTTTTTTCAGCCTAACGATGGCTTGCTTCACTGATAGTGACAGCTCTTTGGATCTCATATTGAGAGTTGACAGCAACATATTCTAAATGCAAATAGCACACTTGAAATGAACTCTGGAGCTTTTATCTGCTCCTTGTAAATGGGATAATGAGGGAATAACACACACCTGGCCATGGTACAGCTGAGCAGCCAATTGTCCCATTACTTTTGGTCCCTTAAAGGGATACTCCACCCAAAAATGAAAATTCTGTCATCATTTACTCACCCTCAAGTTGTTGCAAACCTGTATGATTTTCTTTTGTTCTGCTGAACACAAAGGAAGATATTTTGAAGAACGATTGGAACCAAACAGTAAATTTGGCACCATTGACTTCCATAGTAGAAAAAAATATATACTATGGGAGTCAATGGTGCCAAAGTGCCAATCGTTCTTCAAAATATCTTCCTTTGTGTTCAGCAGAAGAAAGAAACTCATTCAGGTTTGCAACAACTTGAGGGTGAGTAAATGATGACAGCATTTTCATTTTTGGGTGGACTATCCCTTTAAAAAGTAGTAGGCACATATACAAACTGTTGTAATTTCTACACCGTTCACTTGATTTGGATGTAAAATACCCTCAAATTAAAGCTGAAAGTCTGCAGTTAAAGCACATCTTGTTCGTTTCATTTCAAATCCATTGTGGTGGTGTGTATAGAGCCAAAAAGATTAGAATTGTGTTGATGTCCCAATATTTATGGACCTGATATCGCATTATTTTATCCCTTAAGGTAGCACCCTGATGTACATAATGTACAGGTTAAAAAAATCTTTATTGATTCACTTTAAACCTCATCAGCCTCTTTCATGAGGATGGTTTTAAACACCTAATAACCATGGATATAATTATACAATATTCCATTTAAAAGCTAAAACTGAAATGTTGGTTAAAATACAAAATTTCGGTTCAAAATGACTTTTTCCTCCATTTTTAAGGGACTAATTTTATAATTTGTAAAACTGATGGTACATATTCCTCCAAATTACAGTAGTGCTAGCCAGTAAAAAGTTGACAGTCTCAGCTAATATTTGAACATTATATTTTCTACGGTGTTAAAAAGGTGAATTCTCCCTGCTGTTCTTCCAGGTGTCCAGTGCCATGGCAGAAGAGATCTGTTTCCTGTCTGTTCTTGTGGATGAATTCTGTGCTGATTTTAACCCTGCCCCAAATGCCTTAGCCCTATACAAAACTGTGAGTTTTGTTAAACCCCTCTCAAAAGTTAAGTTATTTTATTTCAAGTCCGATTAGAAAGAATCATGGAGAGTTAACTTTTCAAGCCTGAAACATGTACCACTGATACCCAAATACATGAGCTTGGTTAAGCGGTCTGTTCACCGTTCATAACCTCCTGTCTAGAGAGTTACCTGAGTGACAGCTTGTCTGTGTGATCAGCGTAACAGGATTGAGGAGCTGGTGTCTTAACGTCCTGCTGCGCACAGAGAAAGGTTACTTAAGACTAGACACATTGTTCTTTCATCATGAGACAGGTCTTTACAGTTGTGTGACATCTTCAAATTCTGCTAAAAGACACATAAAAGCCATATTAAAATGTGAAGAGTTTATTATTTTACAAATATTATAACAATAACTCCTGTGTAAATTTATTTCAATCATGACAACTCTCAAAATTGTTTTGGTATGTTAATGAATATGTCAATGTTAGTGTATTTGGTCAGATCCACTCGTTGACGTTCACGCGCTGACCTGATTGGTTACAAGGTAGTTTGTGATGTCAGAAACACCAGCGATTTCAAACAGTGTTTTTTTTTAGACTGTCTCTGGTTCACTGCAGTTTTAAAGAGAAAATACTCAGCAGTGTTGACTTATGACTGCACATGGTTCGTCTTAAAGCATATTAAAATCACCACATAGACATAAACAACATTAAAAACTTGATTTTCACCACAGGGGGACATGAGGAGACGTTATAGAGGAAGTCGTGTTTCGTGGTCAACATTTCAAAAGTTCCGTTACTTCCGTCTCCTTGTAGACTTGTTTCTCATTGGCTATAGACCTTATTCGCAAACACCGGAAGTAGCTAACCGCGGCCATATTGTTGACATGACATCTGTCCTGCTGCCCCTAACCGCGCGCAGATTTGAGTTGAGGGGAGCAGTAGCCTGGCTTCATCTCGTCGGTATCAAGAGAAGATAATGCTATTATTTGATGTGGGTCCACACCAATCAAGCTTAAGTAAAGATCCGTCCTTATTGCCACTTTGCCAGCCGTAACTTATCCGGATATTTATAACGATCTCGTTCATACAGTATCCGTATACAAACTACAATGCACCTCAACACAAGGCAACATAATGAACGACACTCGTCTCATTCGTGGAGGTGGAAAAACAAGTTCTTTGTGACATGCAAGATTTGTTGTATTAAAATGTAAATGCAAAAGAAAAGGCATGAGAGTCGGTTGTTTTTGTCAATTTTAAGTTTTCATTTAAAAATGTTTGTGCGTTCCATGTAAATGTTTAACATGGTTACATATTTGACCAATTGCTTGAACAACTTAATATATAGAAGTAATGCATGGAATAATTGGCTTACGTTGTTGAAATAGTGAGTATGTGTTAAAATAAAAATAGTGAGTACCGGGGTGTTTGTGGTAACGTTACAGCCGCGGATCAGTTAGCTATACGCACTGCAAACGCAGCATATAGCACTAAAGCACTGTAGCGCGTCCTGCTTCTGTACCGTATACGCAACGCACCGCACACGCATTGCACACGGATTATGTGTGAAACCTGTGGTAAAAGGATGGGAACAGACTTTTCTGTGGTGAGTTGGCTGAAAGTTTAGCCTATTTATCCTAGCTAGCCTCTCCTGCGCTGGCTCAACTCTTGTCTCCTTCCCTTCACGTTTTCTGACAGTCGGTAACTTATCGAAATCATAAAAACTAACTCCGGGGTTCTTATTGCTGTTGTTAGAACAGACGTGTATTACACAACACACCATCACGCTGTTTTAAAAAAAAAATACAGTGATAATACCATGGATAATACCGACACTGCCTCGCCTGTCAATTGACAGACTGACAGTTGCCGTGATTTCTATGTCAACAATATGGCCGCCGCAAACATTGATGACGCAGATCGAATAACATCTATTGTGGAAGTACTGACATAATCATAGTCGTAATCATCCCTATTTAAAATCCTAAATATAAAAATGTTGACATTGTCAGGGCGGCCCTGATGTGTCCCGCGAGCAGATCGGGAAGTTTCAGATTTTACCTGTAAACGTCTCGCATTACCAGCCTGCGCCCTCTAGAGTTTCACGACTGAACTAGATATTTAATGCTATATTTGTGAAGCACAATAAAGCCCCTTTCATGACACTTAGGTTCAGATTGGGTTGATTTATGAGCGTAAATATTTCTGATAAATTATATCATTTGAAAGCTTTCTGACATAAATTAAATAAAAGTTATATTCTGAGCCATAAACACATTGCAAAAAAAAAAAAACACCATAAAGCCTGCAAACTGAGGTCGCAGTCTTGCTAATGACCCATATTTATCTTGTTTTAAGAATATTTAGAAGATATTAAAACGTTTTTTTTCAGTATCTAATAGGCAAAAAGGCTATGATCATGTTTGTGTGCATTTTCCAGAAGCTTATGGCCTACGCGGAGGAGAGAATGGCCAAGAATCTGGACCTGCGCTGTTCCAGCACTATAAACGGCTGTGTGTTGTCGTCTCAGAGAGACATCATGGGTACACACTCATGCACAGTTCTCACTTCAGACATAAAGTCTCCAGTAAACAAGCTTTCCCTGGCAAAAGATACTTTAGCATTGACCGCCCTCCCGTTGTTCCTCTCACACTAGACACCCTGCGTCCTCTGCTGCCCCCTGCTGCCCGAGGGCACCTACACCTCCCCCACAGGAGGTTCACCATGACCTATGACCTGAACTTCTCAAGCCTCTGTGAAAACTTTGCGGAGGACATCGACTTTCACTTCTCACTGGGTCTTACATCCTTGGTGAATCGTTTCCTAGGGCCAGCTAAAGCCAAACAAGCTTTGAGTCTGCTGAACCAGAACTTGAAAGTAACTTGATTTAATGATCTCTACTGACAAACGTATGAAGTGTGAACAGGCCTAAAGTGACGTGATATGCTTTGTGCACAGGTCACCTCTTCCTCTGCTCAGACCCAGGACGAGCTGGCTATCTCCATGGCAACAGGACTGGTCTCGTTCACATCCAGAGCATCGGTGGGCGTGTTGGTCACTGCTGGAGTGGTAAGAAATACTTGATTCAAAGCTTTACATATCAGTAAGCACATCTAAAAACATTCTAGAGTAAATACAATTGAGTATTGTGATGGCATTTTTGGACAGGTGTGGCGTTCTGTGGGATGGAGGGTTATTGTACTCTCTGTGAGTCTCTATGGTTTGCTCTACCTGTATGAAAGGGTCACCTGGACCAACAGCTCCAAAGAAAGGGCCCTGAAGCAGCAGTTTGTGGATTACGCCACTCAAAGACTGCAGGCCATCTCACACATCCTCAGCAGTGACTGTGGACAGCAGGTGCAACAGTGAGTGACGGGCTGAACAAATCCTTTACTCACCTATAACACAAAAGATGTTGTTTAACAGAATGTTCTGGTTCTTTCCTTTCAAAATACAGTAAATAGGGAAGCCTCAAAAGGCATCCAAATCAAATGCAAAGTGGTCCATGTTATAAAGTGTTCTGAAGTCAAGGAACGGAATGATATTGTGTGAGGAAAAGAACACTGAAGTATTGAAAGTGAACTATTCCTTTAGTTTTATAAACCACACCTGGAGGATTGCAGGCAAGTGTATAATTCACAGACTAAAGTGAGAAGAGAAGCAGTAGCTTGCAAAAGTCTGCCTTTTTTCTCTAATTTTTGTCCTCATCTTTAGTGAGTTTCTATGGAAGCACACAAGCCACAGTAGTCAATCATTGTATCCCTTAAAACTCATCTTTGATCACCAAAATGACATATATAAGCGTTTTTCCATGAAAAACAAATTATTCATGCCTTAAAATGGCTTGAATGTGACTCTACACCCTTGCCTCGTTTAGTTTAAGCGGTTCTATGAATTTGTAAATTAGCCCCGCCTCCACTCACTCAGATCCACTCATGACCTGATTGGTTACAAGGTAGTTTGTGACGTCAGAAACACCAGCCGTGTTTTTGAGACTGTCTTTGGTTCACTGCAGTTTTAAGGAGAAAATACTCAGCAATGGTGTTGACTTAAATATGAATTTGCACATGGTTTGTCTTGAATCATATTAAAAACATCACATAGACATAAACAACATTAAAAGCTTGATTTTCACCACAGGGGAACATTAAGTCCTTGTGAATTTTAAATGGGATATTCTGGGCTTTGTAAAATATTATTCCTAAAGTACGGATACATGGGAGAAATTTCAGGGGGAAAAAGGTCGATTCATGTCTCTTGCCAATATGCTTGAAGTCACTTTCAAAATCTGCGTAGGGTCATTTTTTTTTAGCCTCACTCGAAATTGCCAATCTCATAGGTTCCCATTGGAATGATTAGGAGTCATCTGAATCAAATCAACGTGTGTGCGGTTTCATAAGCAAGCAAAAAAATCCATTGTCTATTGTGAATAGCGCAACGATAATTGAAAGACAGTTCACACAGAAGTCACTTTCAAGCTGTCAAACTCATGTGGGCCGACTTGAACCAAACCTGAAGGGGAAATCTTTAGCTCTCTTGTGAAATTCCAGATCGCGTGAACCCGTATTGAAACGACTGGCTTTTGCTCGTGACCGCACATTTATTACGCCACAAACACTATATGAAAGCATAGCAGAAGCCTAGAGCTGAATCTACTCTTTGAATTCCCACTTAAAGCCAAATTAATTCAAAACCAGATACCGTACCATTAAGAACTTACACATTCTTACACAAACGCAAGGCTTCGCTTCAGAAGGCCTTTATTAACCCCCCGGAGCCGTGTGGAGCACTTTTATGATAGATAGATGCACTTTAATGAACAAAAACAGCAATGCACTGCCATTATAAAGCTTGGAAGAGCCAGGACATTTTTATATTTAACTCCGATTGTATTCGTCTGAAAGAAGATTCATTTTTAAGTGAGCCATCCCTTAAAATTCAAATCTGTCCTTGTCAACTTTGCACACTGAAGGACATGGGCTTAATAAAAGGTAAATAATAGACATCACCTGGCTTTCGCAGCACTTAATCATGGCAGTGATTTTAAGTGAATATTTCATCTACAAGCCGATGACAGCTGAAACGAAGACAACTGCGGACCTGCATAGTTTGAAATATTGCTTTATATGATCTTGTAGGATGGATGAGGGTGTGCGGGTGATGTGTGAAGGATATGCTTATCTGCGTTCTTGCAGGGAGATGGTGTCCGTCTTCGCCCGCATGTGCCAACAGGTTGACAAGAGCGAGATGGAGCTTGAAACCGAGATCCGCAGACTGAGCGCCAGGAGCCAGCGCCTGGAGAGTGTCCAGAGACGCTCCAAAACCCTCAGGTAGAAGAGTCATGGTGTGCGTGAGAGAGAACGACAGCTCGCTGTAGATAATTACCCTTAATTGGAAGAAAATCCTTCTCAATTGGTAATTCTGTAAGCACAGGAAAGGTGCGGCAGCATCATGTAACAACATTGCATGTTCGCTTGCTTTTTTATTTTCTACAACACTAGAAATTTAAACTGTATTTTATGACTTAAAGATAATATTTATTAAATACTTAAAATAGTATTCGTCCAGCTTAACATACAAAGACAAAGTAAGTAATTTGGAGATTGGAGACATGACAAAAACTTGCACTTCCCCACGTCATCCAAGATACGTGTCGAGCCCTTTGAAGCTGCACTGAAACTGCAATTTGGACCTTTAACCCGTTGGTTCCCGTTGAAGTCCACTATATGGAGAAAAATCCCGGAATGTTTTCCTCAAAAACCTTAATTTCTTTTCGACTGAAGAAAGACAAGACATGAATATCTTGGATGTGGGTGTGTAAATTATCAGGAAGTTTTAATTCTGAAGTGAACTAATCCTTTAAGTATTTGTAAACCTCAATACATTCTCACATGCTTCAAAAATAATAAAGTCAGTTTTATTTGGTAACGGGTACCCTTGTTCTCAGTATAACCTGCGAAGAACATTTTAGAATGCGGCTTAAAAATCCTGCAAACACAATACTGTAAATAAACTATAAATGTGATTGTTTAATTAAAAAAAATATCAGTAAAAGTAAATGGTTAAAATGCTGCTTATTAACATTAAAGTGGGCAGGGCTTTATTACATCCGAGATCTGTCACTGTGAACATACTGAATGAATCAGCTGTGAGCACAATCTCATACCCAGAACAAAACTTTCCCAACCAGTTTAGTGTTAGTCAACATGACAATAAATGCCTGTAAAGTGTAAACACTTTTCTTGCCCTTTAAACCTTTTTTTTTTTGTGAGATGGCTCTCCCAACCACTCCAACACAGTAACACTGGCTCAACCATTAATATAAGAGCTTTACAGATTGAGGGAATCTCATCTGGAAAAAGAAACTGGTGACACTATTGTTAAAAAATTACACACTTCTGTTTTAAGTGGTCTTAACCGATAATACTGGTCTCGTTTTATTCTCAGGCACAAAGCCACTGATCTGGAGTCACAACTGGAGTCTTTTTCAGCACAGTATCTGCAGATTCAACATTAACCAGAGCAGCAAGAAAGGAGTAAGACTGTCCTCCAGTGTTCAGTGCTGGAACAACCCAAAATCTGCTGAATCAAGTCACAGAGTCTATATAGTCTATATTTATTTCATATCAGTATTTCATACAAGCCTCAGGAAGCCAGATTTCTCACTGACAAAACTCTTACAGCAAGTTAATAATATGCAGACGACCTCCTTGATGAAAAGCCTTTATTGGTTATGAGAACAAATAGTATCAGGTGTCACTGCCACTGCACAAATACAAATAAATTCTGGGTGTTAAATTTTTTTTAAAATAACAACAATAATAAAAAATAAAGATTCCACAGCAAGTGATCATTGTTTTCTGAACCAACATAAAATAATACAAATCGGTTTTCAATAAAGAAGTTAAAGTGAATTAAGAGGAATGTGTGTTAGAATCAAAAAGGCAGTTAAGTCTGCTGGTTTTGTCCATGAAATACACACACAGTGAGGGACAGAATCGCAGAACTCAGAATTACTAAAGAAGTGAATTAAAAACTAAATCATTTTGGTCTTTAATCAGATAGTTACGACGTATGCAGGACCATCCAGGATCATTTATTTTGCACAATGAACAGAATATCCACAAGTGGATCTATCGCTATATAAAATATATCAAAACCACTATGAATCACGCGCGCTTGCTTTTTGGTAAGCCACAATTTGTTTTAAGGGTTGGTGACAGTCTGTCGTTACTGTGCTTGAAAGATTGCACTTGGGTTATCGGTGTCCTGTGCTAAAAAAAAAAAAAAAAAAAAAAAAAAAAGGTTCCTCCTATGTCTGAAATGTAGCAAGTGAAAAAGCCATCACACGACAAACTGTTTTTTAAAGCTGGTGCACTGCTTTAAATGTGCCAACCGACGTTAACACCTTTGAATACAGCAAACATTGCATTCCCTCTGATACGCTTTCGTTTTTAGAGTTGAAGGCAGGGCTTTCCTGTGTAGTTTTGTGATCATGTGATTGATGTGAACCGCTGCAATAAGGAAATCAGCCTTAGGGTTTCAGTGCAGTAATTTCGACGTTTGGCAGCGTAACCACCTCAGCAAAAACAACCGTGGCCTAGTTCCGATTCAGAAAAATGCAGCTCTTGCTCACTTCCTCTAACGACAAGGCCAGCACACTTGGAAAACCAATGTTGTGAGGGAAACCGTTTTCAGAAAATATAAATATTCAAGGCTCACGTCATAAGTAATGCACCGAGTGCGTATCGTATCGCAGAAGCCGCGTCATTTAAATATGATAGCTTTAAAATGATTTTCACAGTTGGTAACGGCTCAAAATGATTCAGTTCTCAAGTTTTAACTTAGCAAAGCTTTGCATGAGCGCAGGTGAATCAGAAGCCGTTCAGGTGTTGTTTGTGAACTGTTGAAGGAGCAAGCTGATTTCTTCAGGGTCAGCGGACTGTGGTGTCGCTAGCACGGTGTTTGATCTTATCCATAGGATAAGGCTCAGTAAGCTAGCTGAAATATCCATAGGATAGTATGTAGCTTGCTCCTTATGGTCATGCTCATGTATGGACTAACTGGGAACTTCAGGTTGAACTTTTAAATAATCTGAAATGAATGTTCCAGGTTCAATGCAAGTTAAGGTCGAGGCATTATAGTCTTCACACACACACACACACAAAATCATGGTGAAAGGCACTTGCAACGAAATTAAATGGAGCAGTGATATATCTACACTAAAATACAACTTCAAAAGTATAACAACAACACTTAAATGTAGTCTCATGGTAACAGCGTTTTTAAGCTGCCTTTCCAAATTTAACCAATATCAACTCCTGTCATGATTATGTAAAGTCCTCAATGAAGAGGACTTTTATAGAAAAAAAGAAAGAAAACAACAACAACCACAGGAATGATGATTTAGACAACTTATTTTCATTTTCCTTATTTTCATTGCAAGTGCCCTATTTTTCCCAGAAAAAAAGGCATGAGCCAAAATTACTTGACTAGCATTGTTGGTATTCCTTAACTTGTATTGAGACTGGAACATTTCTTCAATTCAATTAAAGGACTAAATGGCTATAAGCCTATATTTTGACGAGACTTGGATTTCATATGAATTATGTTGGTTTTAATAAATCATTTTAGGTTAATACACTTTTTGCCTTCATTGTACAATGCAACGTTCTTCATGGACCTTAATTCAACGGTCTAAATGTTGTAAACACTCAAAAAAAAAAAAAAAACTGAGGAACATCACTTCAACATTTGTTGGATATCCTTGCATATCATAACTAACTGGATGATTCAACTGAAATCTCAAAATAATTGCTTTAAAAAAGTTTACCTGATGAACAGTAATGTCATAAATCGAAGGTGAAAAAAGAAACAAATCTATTCAGAATACTGAATGCAATCTGGTATTGTAAATGGATTAATTTTGCCTGTATTTTTAATGTATCAGAAAAAAAAAAGACAAAGGCCAAAACTAAACATCCATAAGGAAAATAAAAACATATACCATTTTTTTATGTTCACTAAGCCAGTCTGTAGATTCATTCATACTGATTGGCACAAAATTAAGGTGATTACTGACTGTAAGGTTTTGTTTTTTCTTTGTTTTACACAAACCAGTAGAGGGCTCTATACCTTCAATTCTCACATTTGTGAAAAACACACAGTGTAGCTCGTGGTCCACGACAGCTTTTCAGCTTTCTTGTCATAGAATCTAAGCACATTAATTCAAATACATGCAGAAACACCAATGTGTGCTGTTTTGCGTGACTATTTTCTAGTGCAAAAGCATACGGTCCTAGCTAGTTCCTCATCTAAGAAGGGCAGATGCTCATAGTGTGTGTAGGAAGGCAGACAATGTCAGAGTGGCAGTGACCAAGGCCTCTTGTTAGGTATTAGGTTGCACTTCCAGCCTGCTAACCAATGGCAAAGTGTCACAAAGCATCAAGGCCATGCTTGGTGTTTGAATTCAAACAAATGACTAAACCAAACCTTCCAGAAAAAGTTCAGCTAAAAATGCGTCGTCATTTACTCACCCTCAAACCGTGTCAAACCCAAATAATTATATTTTTTTGTGCTTACACGCATTTAAAAGCACCATGAACGAGGCCCAAAGGAATTGTGCACCAAACTCCATGTCTTCTTAAGCTGCACAAGCCGACAAACCGTTATTCACTGGTAATCGCAAATGCACTAGGTCTTCCTGGAACGGTCATGAATTGCTTTGTGCCGATTCAGTTCTTGAGTTCAACTTTCAACCCACTTGAACTGGATGCAGAGGTTAAATGTAGATTACCAAATTAAATTTCAGTTCGTTTCTTACTCAGTCTCTTGTACGTCTTCAGAAGACTTAGAATGTAGAGCACAAGTCGTCTGTATCCTGTTTTTGAAGCATAAATGCATCAGTCCCCATTTACTGCGATCGCTTGGAAAACAAAGAACAGCACAGTCTTCTTCAGAGTTGTTCTAATTTCGACAGAAGAAACAAAGTCATAGACAGAACAACATGATGGTGAGTAAATGACGTCAATTTTCACTTGTGGGTAACTATCCCTTTAACCATAAATGCATCACACATGTCCAGCTGGATCAGTATGGAAAGCAGCACATCTCAGAGTATATCTAGTGATAGTAAAGACAGAAGGGACAGACAGGCTGATGGTAAGTCCTTCTGTGCAGTCAGTAATACAGTCTAATACCATGAAACATGCCAAACATTTCTGTCAGGCTTAGAGGATGGCAAACACAAGCTCAGTGACATCAGTGTTTCTCACACAACTACACTCTACCAACCTGAGCCTGATCCATTTATGACAGAACAGGCCAACACTGACGATACTAGCCAAAGCAAACTAAACTTAAGGTCAAAGACTGATGGCCTACAACACTGTGGCAGCATCATCCTTCGGTGTGTGGCAAATAGCACTGTGATTGGGGACAAAGAAAACTAAATATTTTACGCAGGAAAAGAAAACAGGCACAGCTAAGACACCCATCACGAGTATCCACACACCAGAACATCCAAACACTGTCAGAAGTGCATATGTTATACATACAAGCATAAAGAATGGCGGATATATACAACACAGTCTGTTCCGCACCTCTCGAGTCGAGATGTGAAGCCCGAGAGACAGAGAGAGCCAGCGGAGGCTCTTCACTGCTGGTCCTCACCTCTTTGACTGACTGTAGGATAGTGGGATAGTGCGGAGAGAAGAAAACCAGGTCATCTGTAAGGAGGGGAAGGAGAGGGAGGGGTCCTGTGTGGCAGTGGTGCACTACAGTGACTCTGTGATCAGAAAGAGTGGCTCCCCGAAGTCCCGTCCAGTGAGGTCAGTTCCATATCCTGAGGAAGCTGTCCCAAGAACCGGTGGCCACAGCCATGCCGTCACTGGTCACCCCCAAACAGCTGACCCTGTTGTCATGCCCAGCCAGAACGCCTTCAAAACACAACAGCGACAAAACAGCAGGCATGAATAACAGAAGCATTTCACAGACTTAACCCTGGGTTATCTTTCATTCTAAACTCTGCATTTAACCCTGGGTTGAGGAACGTGTCACACTTGTAATTTCGAAGCGGGGTTACCACTGCTTTTTACCCAGGGTTATGAAACCCTGCTTAGGAGTGATTAACCCTGCATTGCAGTGCCAAACATGCACAGTGTGAAACAATGCGGTGTTAGACGGTTAGATGCTTAGCAACAGACCCCCAAACGCATGGGACGCAAACCAATGAAGGTCCAACGAACAGGCTCATAAGAAAGGTCAATTCTTTGTGCTCTATGTTTAAAGCATGGGGGATTATGCCATAAATATTTGTTATTCATACTTAAATGTTTTAGCTGTATGTAGAGTTTTTGATTACACTTTGTTGTAAAAGTAGTTATATTTCAAGTCTCCATCAGAGTGATTAGTTTTCTCTTCAGTGAACTTTGATTTCAACGAGTATGTACACATTGTGTTTTGGTGTAACTGTTACAACCTCTTGAAATGCAAAAAAATAAAACTTAAAAATGCAAGTTTATTGAACTTCCACAAGTAAAAACCATTTGAGTTTAGAGAAATTATATAATGTTGATGAAAAACTATTACAAATTCGAACAGTCGATTAAACAATACTGCTGCTGCTATTCGAACCAATAGGAAATTCATTCCAACATTCTTGGAAATAATAGTTGTATATTGTCCCAATAAGGCGGCATCCATTTAATAATTTTAATAAATATAATAATTTACACTGTTATATTGCATCTTGTTAATCTACAATACTGAGGTGTAAATAGTATTGGCCACTAATATTTATGAGTATACATAGAATCTAACAACTACTTTTATATAGTGTAAATAGAATGTATTGATATTGTCACTTGTGTCTACAGATATAAACTATTTAAATTTAAGACTTTAAGACCTTTTTAATGCCACTTTGAATGAAATTTAAGACCAAACCTGTGATGGAAATACACATTATATTACAAACGTATATGTAATATTTAATGCTTAACCTAAGTAATTGAAGTAATTTAATATTAACTACTTGTTTATTGAACTAAAATCAATGTCACATTTGCAATCGTGAGAATATTCAGCAAAATAGCTCCCGTCATGTTATGTTACTAAACTATATCATGTTATAAATAAATAAAAACTCAACATTTTGAATTTTTACCTCAGTATGTTTCTCATGTGAGTTTTTTTATGTGTGCTGCTCATTTGTTTTGATTTCTCACTATAAAATCTCTCACAGAGTATCAACAGCGCTACCAGAAAAACATTATCATTATCAATCTCTGTTTATGTAATAAAATCAAGATCATTCTTACGATTCACTAGTTATTTGACGGACATTGAGAAATTTTAGCGGTAATGTGACCAGAAATATTTAAGACCCATCTGAATTTACGACATTTTAATACTTTTTAAGGCCTTTTATTAGGAAAACTTTATTTAAGACATTTCAAGACTTTAAGGACCCGCGGCCACCCTGTATTTACACAGTGCAAATAGCCGCTGCTTTTTATTTTTTGCTTGTTCGTTTACAGTAAATCTGCATATATTTCTCACTTTGTGGGAAATAATCCCTTTCTTGCAACAAACAAACTTTCCTCACCACGGTTACGTAACCATTGTAGAACAAAAAGTGTCATGAAAACTGCATGCATATGTATGTAACAGTAAAAGCGGTGAAAAAAAAAAAAATGTACACAGTTAACTAAAGTAAATATTTTCTAGATAATATCTTCATAATTTCTTTGCATTTTAATACAATGACAATATGCCTGAAGAAGTTCGCAAGACCGAAAGCTTGCAATAAATTGATCTTGCACAGTGTTTTGAGTGTGCGGCTGCTGCATTTGAAAGCTGGTCTCTATAATTGAGGTTTTATACATTAGCAGCAGATAAATATTCTAGGAAGGTCCCTCGTATGAGGATCATCATAATGCAAGCATCTAGTTTATTAGGGCCCGAGCACAGATGGTGCGAGCTCAAGTTTTCTGCTTCCGCATCAAGGTATTAAGTCATCTCCTGAAATATCTGAGCGCAAACAAAGACAGTTTCTCCTCTAATATCAGTAGAACGCCTCATTCTCATAAGAGATTCTTTAACACAACATTTGTGAAAACACCGAGGTTTGTTACTAAAGTAAAACCATGACAAATGGCCATAATGGTGCTTTTGTTTGTGTCGACGTGTTTTCGAAAGTCAGGACTGTCTGAGATTAGACCACTTTTTTTCTACTGTGCTTTAAAGCAGAATAGCGTCAGTAGAACTCAAACAGGTCGCACAGATTTTGTGATCTGGAACAACTGTCAATGAGTTCCCCCCCCCCCCCCCCCCCCCCCCCCCCCGTGTGGTCAAAGGGTTGTGTGAAGTACTGACCTGCACGCTCTCCTTTAAGCGTGTCCCACACATTGCAGTTGAAGTCATCGTAGCCAGCGAGCAGCAGACGGCCACTCTTGGAGAAGGCCACGGAGGTGATGCCGCAGATAATGTTGTCATGCGAGTACATCATGAGTTCCTGGTCCGCACGAAGGTCAAACAAACGACAAGTCGCGTCGTCCGAGCCCGTGGTGAACGCATTGCCGTTTGGAAAGAACTGAAAAAAAACGAGCACTATTAAAACGGGATGATGTGAACATTTGCACAATTTTGAACAAGTATTATGAAAGCGTTGCAGAGGCTCAATAAGAAGTAAACCAGCATCAGACACTGCTGAGGACTTTTCCTTTTTGACACTCACACAGACAGCATTTATATCAGACACGTGTCCGGTGAAAGACTGTCTGCACATCCCGTCTCGGATGTCCCACAGTTTGGAGGACGCGTCGCAGGCACCAGACACAAAGGTCTTCGAGTCAGGGCTGAGGGACAGGCTCATCACGTCTCCACTGTGCCCTGTGAACGTGGTGGTCTGCTGACCGGTCTCAATGTCCCAGAGAGCACTGCAAAGAGGGAGGACAGCTGGTTCACATTCAGTACAAGATCAAACAGACCTTGAGAAAAGGGTTTTCAACTCTTTATCTTAGCAGTATCAACTCTTTTATCAGAGCTCAACAATCAGGATGGCACAGGGTAGGGCTGGGCACTTTGGACAAATCTTTCATATATTTTTAGGCTTAATGACGATATATGTTATACATCTGGGTACTTCTACGAAGAGGGCGAAATGCTCAGTTTTTTGGGGGGTAAATGAAGCCCTTTGTTTCAGGGCAGAAGACTGATGAAGGTGCTGTGAAGGTTTCGTGGCTGGGGTTGCAGCAGCAGCAATGCAAAGTTTAACTCTCTTCGTACTGCAGTTTATGGTGCTGTCGCAAATGCTGGGGTTTGAAGTACGTCTGCTTTTGGATGCAACGTGCTTATGACATTCTCTACAGATGAAATGGTATTGCTGCTCAGAAGACCTTTTAAATCGGAATAATCTCCAAGTAATTCAATTAGGGCTACAACTAATGATTATTTTCAGAATTGATTAATCAATTTCTTTTATATATATATATATATATATATATAAAAAACATTTTATTTTCTGTATTACTTAAAAAAAAGAAAAGAAAAAAAAAAAGGTTCCACCACCACATACTGCACAATGTTTTCCTCCAAACAATGTGCAAATTGAAGGCTATGAAAACAAATAGAGTGAATGTATCCATGTAGGCTATGCTATACATTCATGTTAGAGATACGCGGATGGGCTATTATTTCATCCGCAACCGCATCACAAAACTCATCATCCGTCTGCCATCCAACGTTTTTTGACCAATTTTCAAAGCTAATTTTTTGTTTTAACAGTGCGTCTCCACTACAGCGGCAAAACTCTGCTCAGTGCCGCTGGCAACGCTATAATGTCTCCGCTTTGGGGTGTGTGTTGCGACTTGCGAGTGCGTTTAATCTGTGTTTTTTTCAACACACACAGTATAATCATCAGAGATGCACGCGATTACATTCAGAAATAGACAAATAGCTTTCCAAATGCCCAGCAAAGATATCCTGTAAATTTTCGGTTTCTGTTTAAAGGTCGGTTTCTTCAAGCATCTTGGAGACGTTGCTGCAGTTCTTCTGGATTTAGTCTTTCTCAGTTTGTTCCGTTTCTTCATGTACAGTATTCCCAGACAGACTCGATGATGGTGAGATCAGATCTCTGTGTGAAGCACCGGCTGATGTCAGACTCCTTACAAAAATCTCACAGGATTATTACAATTAATGGAAAAATGAATGTTTGGAAATGTAAACTAATATTCCCTACTGACACACTACAGCAATATATATATATATAAATATATATAAAAAACTTTTGCACAGTACTGTATGTATATATACACACACATACATATATATACACACACAAGTCTCTATATATATATATATATATATATATATATATATATATATATATATATATATATATAATACAATAGCTACATACCGGTACACACAACAGCTATTCATATATCTGAACTATTTTAACAGTACTACTAAACGTTGAGAAACCCATTAAATCTAAGATAATTTACAACAGTTCCAGCCCTTAGCCCACATAAATTTGTTTCAGTTGACTTAGAAATCGGCATCATTCAAACAATTATCACACAATGTCATGAAATGCCCATCTGTGAAATTCTTCAATTATTTCTCATTGCCTCTAGCTCAGCGATGCATCGTGTGATAAATGCAATCCATTCATGAAAGAATTAAAAATGTTGTTGAGGGTAAATAATCTATTAAAATGGTCATTCAAAGCTGTGATGGACTCACCATGTAGTATCTCCAGAACTGGTGACAATCTGACTATCGTCCAAAAAGCGACAACATGACAAATAACCTGGTTTGGGGGAAAAAAAGTGCAAAAAAAAACACGAGCTTCATCCCACTGCATGATGGATATAGCGATTAATGATGCGAATCTTGCTGTTGACAAGGTTTACCTGTGTGTCCAGGCAGTTCTCTGGTGACTCTGACGTTGCCCTCACGGGTTTTAAGGCTGTAGATTGAGCAGATGTTGTCCAGGCCTCCGCAGGCAACATAATTCCCTGAGGGAGCGTAGGCGCAAGTCATCACCCATGATGACCTTAATGGAATGGCATGCATCTGGAAAGAAACACACAAAAAAGTTGCTATTACCTTTTGTAATACAGAATGAGACCAATGCAGAATCTGGAACAGCATACCAAGCAAACAACTCTTGTTATTTCTGCCGTGTAACATCGAGTCTGTTTATATATATATATATATATATATATATATATATATATATATATATATATATATATATATATATATATATATATAAAATCGTAAAAATAGTAATGATAGTCGATGATTTTGAATTCAGCACAAGGGTAGCATGTTCCACAACTCCACCTACAGGTTTCAAGCAGCAAGAGGCCAAGTTGGATATATAGCACATCCTATTTTACCTGCGTACATACAGTATGCACGTGTAAAGATACATATACTGTATAGCAAAACTGGGCTGCATGATTGTTTATATCATTGAAAAAACAACTTGTTTAAATCGCACAGCTCATGCATACAGAACAGTATAAAGCGATTTATACAGTATATTAGCAAATTTCAACAGCCTGATTTTTTTTTTATTTCATCCCAAAATGTAAACCGTATCATCACCCAGCTCTAATCTGCGAAATGCATTTTCTATAAAGCTGCTATGAAACAATGTGCATTGTGAAAAGCGCAATATTTGACTTGAATAGTATATGATTTTTGTGCAGACTACCCCATCCACTTTGATGGCTTTTATAGTTAATGATATTTGCATTTTAGTTAAAAAAAAGGTAACCGATTTGAACTTTAAAACTGACTTCATAGTTTATTATCCTTTAAAAACAAAGGATCAATTACAAAGGAAGATCTCATTCGTACATCCTTTAACAACTGTGCTTTTTATATCTATATTCACTAGTTGGGCTGGACAAACCTTGTTTGTGGTGTAGCTGTCCCAAATGATGAGTTTGCCATCTTGTGAGGCACTAACTAGTAACCTTAATGTAAAAAACACAAACACAAACACAAAAAAAGGGTTAAAGAGTAAACCGCAGTTGATAATACAAAATGTCACAGATTAAAAATTCAACAAGGTGAACATGTGGGAAATGATTGCAGCTTATAACATTAATACACATCATGGAATTTAAATGCTTAAGTGATAATATTCTTTAAATGACAAACACATGGCAGGGAACTATGGATACAAACTCCGACCAACTAACAATTGCGTCTCCTCCCTAAAGCACTAGAGCGGATGGAGAAAAGGTGAACGACAGAGGGAGGAAAAGGGAGACAGGAGCAGAAGGCAGCCTACATAATCCCAGAACACCCCTGGGTTGAGAGAGGCCTGCTGTATTATTCATTGAGTGTACACTGACAGAGCTGCAGGGTTCCTCTGAGAGGGCCCATCCTCCAGCCCCCTCAATCTCTCTCTCTGTCAACTGACCTGGAATCAGTGGCCCAGTGCATGGCATAGATTTTGGCTAAATGGCCTCGGAGGGTCCGCCTTGTTCTCATCTGGATCCTTCCGACTGAATCCAGACCAGCTGTAATCTAAACGCACAAAAGAAATCCTCATTTACAGTGATGCCACAAAGCAAGCAGACGACATTTCAGAGTTATAGTGATCATCTAAAATTAACAGCACGGACTGAAGTGAAGACAAGCAGAAATTATGACATCATAAGTCACAAAAATTGCCCGGGCATGGGTTGCACGTTTAAATTTTGATGGAGGGCTTGGCGTGTAAGAGGATGTTTAATATTTCAGTGCACTTATGAGCGTGTTCAGCGTGTACGTCAGTGGCTATTTTGCATGTCTGTGCTGGGCTCAGAGAACAGGAGAGCGGGAACCTCCATAGATGAGCTGGGTTACACCAGTGCCTCTCTCGTGATGGAGGGGGGACCCAGCAGAGCTGCTTACCTGGGACAGGCTGGAGTCGCTGCATGCTTTCCTGGCATCCTGCAATGAGAACAGCAGCATGTCAGAGAGAGCAGTCTTTCTACTGAACAGGGCTGAGGAAGTGCATATAGAAGAACATCTGTTGGCTGGCACTCGGGTCCACACGAAGCTCGTATTCCACGTTTGAAAAATAACCAAAATCCCAGTAACCAAAGCTGATACTGTGCAAAGCAGGGCAACCAATATAAGAGAGGGGCGCAGATGTATACATAATTTAACAAAATACTTCCTTCAACAATGAGGAAACAGGACATTAATATTAATCATCTTTTATAGTATATTTTTAAAGAGGTTAAGCTATTTTTTTATAGACGTAGGCAACACCTAGCTATAAATAAAATATGTCTCATGCTTGAAATCAGTCAATAAAACTACAATTACTACTAAACAGTACCATATTTAAATGTGTGGTTATTCTTAAGAATGTATTTTGGCAGTTATGCAATTATGTATTATAGATCCTACAGCTGTAAGAGTTTTAGAATATAAAAAAAAAAAAAATGGTTCACAGCCCAAAAGAGGTTGAGAACCCTTGATTTAGATGGTTTCTCTAAAGGTAGTTGAATCTGGCACAAGGGAGAACTTCCACTTGAGTACATCAGCTGTACGGGCACCATTATTAATGGCCATTGCAGATCAACTCATTAATCTAAAAATAATTAATCAGCACTCCCGCCTTACCGTTCTGAAGTTTGCGGTTGGTAAAAAATGTGTGTTTTTGGGGAAAAAAAGTCTCTTCTGCTCACCAAGGCTGCCTTTATTTGGTCAAAAACGCAGTAAAAACAATAATACTGTTAAAAATGATTACAATTTAAAATGTTTTCCATTTTATTATATTTGAAAATGTAATTTATTCCTGTGAAGCAAAGCTGAATTCTCAGCATCATTACTCCAGTCTTCAGTGTCTTATGATCCTTCAGAAATCATTCTAATATGCTTTTATTCTAATATGTAGAATTATCTAAGATGTAGTTTATTTTTGTGGAAACTGTGATACATTTTTGTTCAAGATTCTTTAATGAATAGAAAGTTTAAGAGAACAGCATTTATTTGAAATGTAATTCTTTGTAACCATGTAAAAGTTGTTGCCAACTATAATCAATTTAATGGATCCTTGCTGAATAAAAAAAAAAAAGAAAAAAAAAGGTTGCCCCAAACTCTCGAAAGGCAGTGTATGTACTAATATGTATTAGTGCTGCCGCGATTAGTCGACTTAGTCGACGTAATCGACCATGCAAATTAGTCGACGGCAATTTTTTTAGTCGATGTGTCGTTTTACTATTGACCGCTATTTATTTTTGGTCTCCCGTCACAAACGGCTCACTGTAATTCACCTCCACACACCAGTGTGTGCGCTGTGCGCGCCCTGCTGGTTTATCTGCTATCAATTTCCTTCACGTTCCCGCCCGCCTTCACTGCTTTGATATGAAAAATTGCGGAGGCAGGTGACGGAGCTTCAACAGTGGGCTCGTTTGCTGCGGTCCGAGCCCGAGCGCGATTGTTTCCGGCGCCCTCCACAGCGTTGGTCTGGTTTCACACTCAATTCGATCGAACCCTGTTGAGTTTGCGTCCATCTTATGCCATCGCAAACGTGCACGGCGCATGATAGAAAACAGAACGCGGGTCAATATATTGTGTCTTTCAAACTGACTCTTTTGAGGAGACAGTGGATTTCCAAATGTGTTGCCCTGATTGCACGCGCAATGCTCGAATACACTGCAGGCTCAACTCTCGCGTATCCAAGGTAAATCATCAACACTATCATCCCTTACATGTGTTTTATTTAACTAAATGCATCATAATCTGCTAAAACGCATGGGCAGGTTACTTATGTTCCTGAACAAGCGGGTACCCGAGTCCGTGTTGCTTTCACATTCACGCGAACCGCGGCACGGGCCCGCCATGCACGCAAGTGTAAACGCGAGCTACATAACTGCGTGCCTGCCTGCTTTCAGCGCGACTCATTATTAGGCAGAGCTAAGAGTAGTGGGCTAGTCCAGACTCTTTCAATTCAATTCCAATTTATTTGTATAGCGCTTTTCACAATATCGTTTTCAAAGCAGCTTTACAGAAAATGCATTGCATCTACTTTACTATTCAGAGTGATGTTATCAGTTATGCTTTTCAGAAATGTACATAAATTAATACATTATTAGCTTACTGTACATTTTTTAAGGCAGAACAAAGAGCTAATTTAAGTAATACATACATGTTTGTTATTAGAGGATTAGATTAGGACTCTGACTAATGGTATAGCCTAATGGAAATGCAGATACTTAATGTTTAGATTGTTAATACATAATGTTTTTGAACAGGTGACATTTTATGTTTTGGCCCTTCAGTTGAGTTCAAAATAAAATGGACACAACGAAATAAACACTTGATTTTTTTTTTAATTAGTCGTTTAGATTAGTCGACTAATCGAAAAATTAGTCGAAAGATTAGTCGTTACAAAATTAGTTGTTAGTGGCAGCACTAATATGTATGTTGTTGTGTAAAGAAGTGTCGATTAGGGATGGGCGTATCGATACTGATGTGAGTATCAAAAGTACCGATACTCAAATAAAAAAAATATCGCAGCCCAAACCAATGCTTATCAGAGGACAGAAACATCTTTGAGGTATTTCACAATAATCAAATTAAAATTTAAGCCGACATAGTTTGTGCAATTACATTTATTTAAATTGAATGTTAAAAGTTTCATATTGATCATGTTCTATCCTGTAACTAATGTAAATATAAATCATACACTGTCAGATTAAAAAGGTTGCATTTTATGGGTTTTACTACAGTGGCCATAGTTCAACTATAGTATTTGTAGATTTTCATGGTTACCACAACAGTAAACATTTTAACCATATATGTAAACAAAAATATAATCGAATAAATTGCAATTAAGGCGTATTGAATGTTAAAATGACTTTCAAATATATTTATATATATCATGTTAAGTGGGTATCATAAACCATTTTACTCCTAGTAATTTAATAAACGTAATAATTTAAAGTTCAGTAGAGGCATCGTTTTCGACGATACTGGCCTTTTAAAGTATCGGTATCGAAAAACAAAATAAGTGGTATCGCCCATCCCTAATGTCGACATGACCCCAGGAGCCATCCTTTGATCTGATTGGCTGAGCAGAAAAGTTACAGGATCTTACTCTGATCTGATTGGCTGAGCAGAAAAGTTACGGGATCTTACTCTGATCTGATTGGCTGAGCAGAAAAGTTACGGGATCTTACTCTGATCTGATAGGCTAAGCAGAAAAGTTACGGGATCTTACTCTGATCTGATTGCTGAGCAGAAAAGTTACGGGATCTTACTCTGATCTGATTGCTGAGCAGAAAAGTTACGGGATCTTACTCTGATCTGATTGGCTGAGCAGAAAAGTTACGGGATCTTACTCTGATCTGATTGGCTGAGCAGAAAAGTTACGATATCTTACTCTGATCTGATTGGCTGAGCAGAAAAGTTACGGGATCTTACTCTGATCTGATTGGCGAGCAGAAAAGTTACGGGATCTTACTCTGATCTGATTGGCTGAGCAGAAAAGTTACGGGATCTTACTCTGATCTGATTGGCTGAGCAGAAAAGTTACGATATCTTACTCTGATCTGATTGGCTGAGCAGAAAAGTTACGGGATCTTACTCTGATCTGATTGCTGAGCAGAAAAGTTACGGGATCTTACTCTGATCTGATTGGCTGAGCAGAAAAGTTACGGGATCTTACTCTGATCTGATTGGCTGAGCAGAAAAGTTACGGGATCTTACTCTGATCTGATTGCTGAGCAGAAAAGTTACGGGATCTTACTCTGATCTGATTGGCTGAGCAGAAAAGTTACGGGATCTTACTCTGATCTGATTGCGCAGCTGCTCGGCCTCTTGCCGCAACTGCTCCAGCTCACTCATGGTCCTCCAGGTGTTTCACTCCCTTCCCAGCGTTGATAATACTGAACACACACAAACACAAAGTCACATTAAGTAGTCAATCAAGGAAGTAAAACAGAGCACTCATGCTGGATCAATAATGCAAGCCACTTACACAAACAATATTCATTAGAAGGTCATGTCAGATCACACAAGACAGTAAGATGGAGCCTTTAGATAAAATATGTGGTGAACACAGAAAGTGGTCCACCAATGTTTTCACTATTCTGAATAGAACTAGCGGCTGTATCATATAATTCAGCGAAGGGGCCAAACCCTCCTGCTATAGCACTGAAGAGCTGGGCACGCTGCGCTCCTTTGTTTAATGAGGGGCAACACTGCTTGGCACTGCCTACTAGTTCATTTCCCTAAAGAAGATATAGCTAACATCAGCTCAAAAAAAGACAGCTAATCAAATTCTTTTAAACATTAAGAGGTTATATACAGTGTGATACTTAACAGCCAGGGAAACAAAACAACACTCATTCAAAGGCATGTAAATGTAAAGATACAAATGTAAATGTATAAAAAAAAAAATATTATTTTTTTCATCTTGAAAAAAGTCAATCCAGCTAGTTCGGGCATATGAAATCCATTTTAATCCAAAATTTAATATATACATCCGGGCGACGTTTATAATCCTTAATCCAGATGTGCTAATCTCCCATTTAACCTGTGACACGATAAACTCGAAAAACGCAAGTTAAAAAAACGTAAATTAAAAATCCACACAGGGATGAAAATTTAACTGTTAAATTTGTATTGGTCACCAGGTTTAACGCGATAAAACGTAGTGTGTAACACTGATCGTTCACGCACATTCCACATTATTTGAAGTTAGTCAACTGTTTTGACAACAAATAGTAGGAATATTACAAATGATTAAAAAAAAATACTATTAGAATAAATATTTAACACCCAAACTCAATTCTTTCTAGCCAGATTATTTTAGAGCTGAGCATAACTTCTATTTTCGACACTTTGCCTTTTAAGGTTTGGAAATTATAATATTAAAATGTTATCTACAGCTTAGTCTTATTGCAGCCTAACAGCAAATGCTGAGTAGCTAACTGAATATGACTTTGAATATGGTTTGACACCATATGGGAACACACCTAGAGATTGTTCAGGACTACCCTGACCTCGGTGAAATTTCTACATTTCAACATAAGTTTTTTTTTTTTTTAGGGAAGCACAGTAGCATGATTGCAAGCAATGTTGCTAAAAACAGGAAGACTACTTGTCCCAACCCTAGCAGCCAAATTACAGGAAAAGCAATGACCAGTATGCATTTTAAACAACAAGCTTTCCATCATAAAATACTGTAACGTTACATTAACTGACAACATTATAATATGAAATATTAATAACACACAACAAGCGCAGGTTGATTTAAATAATGGAGCATCTTCTCAAGAGAGGTTGGGGAAGTCAATCCAGCTAGTTCGGGCATATGAAATCCATTTTAATCCTAAATTTAATATGTACATCCGGGGGTTTTTAATCCTTAATCCAGATGTGCTAATCTCCCATTTAACGTTAACCTGTGACACTCAAAGCTTGTTAAAGCTTGTCGCGATAAACTCGAAAAACGCAGTTGTAAATAAAATATATCCACACAGGAACGAACATTTAACTGTTAAATTTGTATTGGTCACCGGGTTTGATGCGATAAAACGTAACGTTAGTGTATAATAATGATGTTTACCCAACAGTTAACGTAAGATACATTTCATATTAATCGAAGCTAGCCAACTGTTTTGACAACAAATTCAATACCACATGTTGCACGAGGCAGATACCTCTATATAATCCAGTATTTGTGCGACAAAAGGTATAAAAGACCCTTTCTCTGCGGACTTTTCATCCGCACAGTTAAGCAGAGAGTTATCATGATTTGGTTAGTTTGGTTAGCACGGTGGCTAGCGAGCGGTGGCTGTATCATGTCAGTTACTCCAGACCACCACACAAACACTGACACATTACCTGATGTAAAAACACTACAAAATCCTCCTGCCGCGTGTAAGGGTTAGCAGACTTGTTTTCTTTTTCAAAATGTTAACGCGGTCATTTCGTTAATATCCAAAACAAGGCATCGGGCGCCAAATTTACTAGATTCAAGGCAATTCACACAACGATTACCACACCCATACTGATATCGAGAGCATGGCAACAATTGGATGGAGGGGGTGGGGGGAAGAAACAGTTGAGAGTTTTTAACAGAAGATATTCAGTGTACCTGCGTAGAAATGAGTAAAATGTGTCTCTAGTTGCTTTATATAGTATATTATTATGAAGCTAATTTATTTTTATCAAAAGAGTTTGACATTTGTCTACGCCTACCTAATCAAGTCACCCGCGCTTGAAATGGTTCTGGCTATCAGCTTCCTCAATTATAAAAATGACTGAAGTAGTTTGATATATTTGGATGCAGTCACAGATTTGTAATAATTCGCATGCATTAATTAGACTCGTAAAATATCCATGAGAATAGCGTGCTCTGCCATTTTAAAAGGCACATATTATAATAAATAAATAAATGTGTTTACAATTAGCTACTTTCCATAAATATGAACAATTAATGTCTATGATATTAGTTACTATTAGCAAAGTTTTTTTTTTTTTTTTTTTTTGTAAGTGAACCTCGTCACAGAGTAAGATTCCCACCTATTTAAAGCCACAGGATACACAGGGTGGTTGCCAGTTTGCCACTTCGAGAGACAATCAATTTCAGAGCCAATTTATTTTAAAACTATTTGGCTAATGTGAGTTATTTGGAATTTAATTTTAAAGTGAATTATCATGTGATATTTTGGAGCAATATACGAATAAGCATTAGGCAATAATGGCAAGAATGAAATCATCTGTGGCAATCCATGGGTTAAGAAATGCAAACCACACACTCACTGCTTCATCATCTCACACTTGCTGATCTATAAACCCAGTCAAATGAAATATAATTAAGTTACAAAAACAGTATTAAGTGACATTTAGTCTTACCTAGTTTATGTTGAAGTCCACCAGTGAAAGGTTGGTCAGTGGAAGCGCACGGCTCCCTCTGTAGTGTGTGTGGGTGTGCGCCTGTGCTGATGGGAGCACTGGCACCGGGATAGGCAGTGGGGACTTTAGTTAATGGCCAGCACATCTACACTGAGAGCTGCTGGTGGTGACAAGGTGGGGCTGGATGGGGGAGGCTGAATACTGAAAGTGGGAAGATGAGGTCTTAAAGAGACAGCAGTTGTCACTGTCTGTTCATTTGGTCAGTGTCGCAACCGAGTAGGCCTACGTGTTAAAAAAACAAACAAGGACTGCCCTGTGCATTTAATTATTGACCATTTGTTTACATTATCTGGGCACATACACAAAAAACCAGGAATGATTACTGAATGTAGGATATGTAATGAAGGGCTGTCAATAATTTATTAAAATGGAAAGCTTTTCTATGTAGTCCATTGTCAACATTGTCATTTCAAGTGCTTCATTGAATCGCTCACTGTTTATTATGTTCATGTTTACCGACGGATTTCTGTTGAATTTGCTGATCAAAACATGCCTACTATAGCTTGATTTCACACATTGCTCCACTGGATGAACATCATATCTGCATTTATTTATCGGATTTCAATGAAAACTGTTCGTTCAAAACTGCTTACATAAGAAAGACAACCTTGACAGTCAAAAGTCAAATTTGGGGCTGAGAGTTTCCTTGCATGAGTCCATCCAAAGGTTCTGACATCAATAAAGTGATTCCGGTTACAAAGGAAGTATTTTGAGTCACTATATATCTGAGGATGATACGAAAGGTCATGAAACATGACCCTGCTAAGACATCCACCTCACATCCTCACTGTTACCTAAAATCATAAAGAAATCCATAAGCTAATTTAAGACAGTCTCCTTTTCAACCACATGGCTTTATTTTCAGAACCTTGTAAGGTGTCTAACATTTCAAGTCATGGTGAAAAGACTTGAAATATCTAATCTGCTTATACAGTACAGGTGAAACTCGAAAAATTTGAATATCGTGCAAAAGTTCATTTATTTCAGAAATTCAACTTAAAAGGTGAAACTAATATATTATATAGACTCATTACATGCAAAGTGAGTTATTGTACTATTTTTATATTACTTTATTTGTTATCATTTTGATGATTATGGCTTACAGCTTATAAAAACCCCAAATTCAAAATGAGAATATTGTGAAAAGGTTTAGCTATAAGCCATAATCATCAAAATTATAATAAATAAAGGCTTGAAATATCTATATACACATACATAATTTAATATAATATAATATAAAGGCAGTTTTGGGGTAACATTACAAGTAATCCAACTTAAAAAAGTAATCTGATTACATAAGTAACAAGTAAAGTAATGCATTACTTTTAAATGTAACAACATCTCTTTGACCTAGCATACACATAACATAACTGTAAACTTCTATAATTCAATGTTAGGCTGCATAGATTAGGTCAGCCGGAACCGGGAACACTTCCCATAAATCCTGATGTATTTGTTACATCATAAGAAGGATGGCGTCTACGCTAATATTAGTCTCTCTGTTTATCCCGAGGTTTACCACAGTCCGCCGGATCCAGGCCGTATCCGGATCTGATGTATAGGACCTGCGCCTGGACACGACGACAACGCAGTCCTGAAATGTCACTAGTCTCTCCCTGTGAAGGCTACCCGGAAGCGATAAATAAATCTGTATTATACATTTTTAAGGCCAGACAAGTAGTTTGTTGAGCGTTGGTTTATAAAGAAGGACTACACGCCAATAGACTAAACACTAAGCCGTCTGCGTTTTCGCGTTTTTGAGGTTAGGGCAGAGATAACCTTTTTTTTTTTTAAGGCTTGTACCTTGGAACCTGTTTCAAGGTTTGCGTTCTTGAGCCGCCAGGCACTGTTGTTGTGCGGATGAACAGGCCGGTGCGCGTTAAGGGTTTTCTGTTAGAACGGTGTCGTGTAAGTTAATAACAAATGATCTTTGCAACGGAAGTGAATCAATCAAAACTAACTTTAGCTGGACAATAACTTTATTCTAGAGCTGCTGTAAAGCCAAAACAATCTCTGTTCCTTTAATGTCCTATTATCGCTGTAAAGCTGCTTTGAAACAATCTATATTGTTAAAAGCGCTATATAAATGAAGGCGACTTGACTTAAATGTACAACTGTCACAATTTAGTCCAAGGATGAAGAAGATAAACGAAGTATATCAAAATAAAGGTGTTGTTTATTAAACGAAGCAGCCTCAGGTAATCCAACAAGAGGTAACATCAACGAACAGATCGCATAGCACAAACACCAACAATACCGGACACAGACAAGAGAAATGAGGAACTTAAATACTCAATGATAACAAACTCAATAATGATCAGCTGTGATAATTAAATGAAAATCCATGAAAGTGAAATTAACTGAATATCCAAGTTATTTTTTCAAGTTACTTTTTTTCCCCAAGTTACTTTGTTTTCCCATTTGTTGACTGACATCTCTCCTGTCTCCATATTGAGAGAAATCGTAAGTGTGTGCGCTGTGCAATCATGATGGCTATTCGTTCTAGACTAAATGTGAGCATTTACTCATCTCACTTCATTAAACGAATAAAAACATTGAAACGCAAATCCAAAATATGACGCACACCTGCAATAATTAGCCTAAATATGTTAAATAGCACAAATATACTTTATGTATTTAATCTCACTTTAAGCAATTTCTTTAATTAAGCAATTTGCTACTGACCTTTGATGATCCATTTCAAAAAGCAAAAATTATTTTAGATAAACATCATATTGTATTCCCTTTTTTGTTTTTATTTCTGAAGTAAGGCCCTGTCCCAAACGGCACCCTAAACACTCGCGTTCTTCCTACGAGTCCGCACTTTCGTGACGTCACGCCGCTTTGACCGTCGGGAAGAATCTCGCTTCAGCGCGGGCTCGGCAAAAGTGCGCATCGAGGGCACATATCACCGCAAAGGGGGCGCTAACGAGCACCCTTTTGAGACCTAAAATGACAAGGGACACCCCACGGTCTCCTTGACTTGACGGATCAGCCATTGTAAGTACACAAGACCGAAAGTGCATATGAAGTGTGCCATTTGAGACAGGGCCTAAGAGTATTGAACTTTCTTCTCCAGCGTCCTGTTCTTCTGGTATATTTGAGCTGCGCCTTCTACTGTACAGATGTGAATTTGCTTATTCATTTCACTTTTGGCCTTTGCATTTGCCAAAAATACAACTTTTTTAAAAATCAAAATCAAACAAGCAAACCCAGCCCGGATGAGAAAAAGTTAGTTACTCAATTAGTTACTTTTTTAGGGAGTAATGCAACATTGTATATGTATATATTGTAATATATATATATTGTAATGACATTTAAAAGTAACTTTCCCCAACACTGGTTATAGGTGACATTTATTGCATTACTTCAGACAGAAGAAAGCAGTGTTCAGCATGTGCCTGTGGGGGGTGCTCTGGTATCACCATTTCTAGATCATTTAAAAGGTCGGGGACCACCATGTGCTAAGTTTGGAAATGAAAAAAAAAAGAGAGACATAATATTTCAGTTCTTCTAAAATACAGCTTTAATAAATAGGTTATAAATGCATCTTGGCTATATTACCTGTTGATGTAGGAGAGACTGAAAGATGATACTTGATGGGTAGACATGCATACATTTTATGACTGTTCATTCCATGAAATAGTCTATTTTACATGAATAAAAATTAAATACATTTCCTTCTGCTATTCTACAATTGCAATTATATTTATAGTTACATGACAGCTCTGATCATAGCAAAACTAGTGTGATTTTCTACAAGACGAGTGTCATTAATGCCCGCATACTGTGCTCATACATGGCATATTATTTTAAATATTGTCATATATAGTATGCTTGGTGTTGGAATTTTGCTCTATGTCAAAAATGTACATTAATAGTAGTTACATTCACTTTTAAGTTAAAAATATGGGACCATGAAGAGAGGAAAATCTATTTTCTGTATCACATGCAATCATCAGATTTTCCAAATCTTCTGTAATATTTAAATTGTAGATGCATCTAATGAAGCAATTTTCTTAGTCTTTGCCCAAACTAAATAATTAAGGTTATTAATGTTATTTATGTCTTTAAACACCGTCTCATTCAGTGCCCTTCAATCATCTCAGCTCACTCCAATTACTTTGACGTTAACTAATAATAATGCATAGTGTTAAAATTATAGACAAATCTGAATAAGGACCCCCACTAAGATTTTTGGTAAATTTAGCAACAACAAAAAAACAACATCAATGCTGGTTTGCATAGTTATTTCTTCAAAGAAAATATCCAGCCTAAAACGATACAAAGGAGCTGAAATCATAATGTTCTAGCACATGGCTTTTTTCACTATAAACTATATACTGTACATATGAACAATAAAGGGATTTCAGTCTCATGAAATGCACTTCAAACTTTACCAGGCCCGACGACTCAACTGTATGGCCAAGATGTTGTTGTTCGTAGATTTTGTGAATGTATTCGGTCCCCTTTGAACGTTTGGGCTAACAGTCTTAAATGAACTCGCTCACTTTCAACATGATACTGCTTTAGCTGTGACCTTTCATGCAGAGGCTTTGAAGTTGCTCCCCGCCGAGCCCTGATCCAGAATGCCCCGGGGCACACAGCATTAAACGGGGCTTGCTGGAAGACAGATGGCCTGGGGAACACGCCCTGCCCGCACACCTGGGTATAGATCACCCTGAGTCAAATTCAGCTAGGCTGCAACTGAAATCGCATACTTCCCTACTATATAGTAGGCGAAAAACAGTACTAAGTAGTACTAAAAAAGTAGGCAAAAAGTTGGATGACCGAATACTTCCGGCGAGATTCTAAGTGTGCATTCGATGGGCACTTAACTATCCCATGAGACAACGGGACGGGAGAGGATTTGTGAATGACAGTGAAGTGACGCAACTTACACTGGCAGGTCTCATGACAATGGCAACACTGCAGATGTAGCACGTCCTGATTACATTCATACTACAGACAATCAAACTATATAGAACTTGTTTTTTTTTAGCTATTGTGAAGTTATTCTTTTTCAAAAATAAGCACCCATTCAATTTCAGATGCAGCCCTAGTGTCGTTCCTGAACTGACTGGCTATATGGCTGCACCCTTTTCAGCAGGAAAACAGCGCCACCTTGTGGTGAGGGATGTGAACTAACATTGTAAAATGAACATGAAAAACACAGGTTGAACAAAGGTTCTTGAGATCTGAATTGACCATGATAGATAGCTAGGTTCTTTGAAGATTAATATTCAATTCGATAAACTAAACAAAAGTCCTCCTATATTCCCCAACGAGGTTTGGTTCATTTTTCTCAAGTATACAAAGTTAGATAAGCTTAAAAATATTAGTGAAATATAACTAACATCAAGAAAAGGTGCTTTTGCTCTCACTTTCTGGCATGTATTCCTCTAGTTTCAAAAACCTTCACTTACCGGTTCTGTTTGTGCTCTATAGAATATAAACGCCGTCTTCAGGGGCCTCTGAAGAAAGCAAAGGCTGCCCATAAATTCAACAAAAATAGCTCTGCACACTCTGCATATTAAATATTGACATCCCGTATTCACTCGAGCCAAACTTTGTGCCTACTGTTAGTGAATAATAGATTTCACAGGTCCGAGTCTGATCACATGTCCATGTTGAAGGCCCTCATTAGGAGGTCCAGATCTCCCACGCTTGCTGCCTGGAACAGTTCTGGCTGGTCCATGAGTGAGAGGGCGATCCGCAGAGCGGCCCAGATGTTGCTGGACACCGCCTGATGACTCCTGCTCTTCCTCTGCTGGTGCAGAGCGGTCAAGAAGTTACTCACTGCCTCCCTGTGAGAGGAAAGACAGAGGTAAAACATTGAGTGCCCTATCATAAACTCGTCGCAATGCAGCAGCAGGCGCGACGCAAGTGTTTTTTGCTAGTTTCAGCCTGACGCAATTATCATTTTCACGTCCTGTGCCATGTTGTTTAAATAGCAAATGCATTTGTGCGCCCATGGGCGGCTGGTACGAAAACGAGGTGTGTTAAGCCGCATTGTTGGCGCGTTGCTATTTTGAGGCAACTGAAATAGACTGCGCCATTGACCAACTGAAACCTGAAGTCAATGGTGCAGTATATGTTTTGTTACTTAAAGGGTGCATTAGTAATATGCGCCTATAGGCGGGTGCGCACCACGTGTACACTCTGCTTATTACACACACAGGGACGCGAGCAGCACACAAACATGCCAAATATTAAAAATAAAAGGATTAAAATGTAAAAGATTATTATTGTGTACATAAAGATATGGTAGAATCCGGTAGATGTTCTGCTTGCACGCTTTAACCTTGGCGCCATGGCCGAGCGCAACAGGCTTTTAAAAGGAATGGGAGATGAGACTCTGATTGGTTTATTTCACGTTACGCCCAAAACACACCAGTTACTCATTAAGAGAATAGAAACAACCCTTTTAGACCATGCGCAGGGTGCGCCGACTATTTTTCCCATCGTTAAACTAGCAAAAGTGGATTCGGACACGACCTAAGTGCACTTGCGCCGTGCGCTTTAGACCATGTTCAGTCTGCTTTAGTGTCTACACTAAGGAGACGTACAGTTTATATTAACCCTTGCTCATTGGTTCGGTTAATTACCGATGTGCCCCCAGGTTGATGCAGCTGATGCCGAGGTTGTATCTGGAGCGGATGAAGCCTGGCTGGAGCTCGAGAGCTCTGGTGTAGGCCTCCACCGCCTCCTCACTGCGGTCCCCATTCGCCAGTGTGGCCCCGAGCCGATTCCACAGGAGATAGTCCTATTGAAACACACAGAATTGGCAGAGTGAAGGGCGATCTCGGACAGGGGTTTTCCAGCTGGGTTCCAAGGGCCAACAGGGGGTCGCAAGGTGGTACTACTAGACGGTCTACGGGACAATTTCAGAGAAAAAAACATGTAAACTAATTGTTTTATTTATTTTGCATTATAAGGACTGTTTATATTATATTATATTATCTATAATATAATATACTATACATTTATTTTTTTCAAAATGTTTTACAATAAAGCAAAACATTACAATAAGTATAACACTTCACATAAAAACAAGTAAAACGACCATAATTGATATATAATTGTATAATTTTTTTTTTTAAGTTAAAAAATTTAACTTGCCTTATAATGATAATAAAATAAGATAAAACTATTATACATAAAACGCATAGCAAAAAAAAAAAAAGGAAATTATTATTAATTAAAATTAATAATAAAAGCTAAAGTAATTTTTAACTTTCATTTAAAAAATACTTAATAAGCTGTCTTCCTAAAATCGATTGGTTAATGTGCTCCAGAGCTTAATTTCAGGGATAATTGTCAATGGCTTCATTCCCGATTGTCTTTCGACTGTTGCTGGGAACCTCCAATTAACAAGCAACAGATGATCTCAGTGTTTCCGCAAGCACATAATTTACGACGAATTAACACTATAACTTGGTCCTAGCCTATTACAGGGTTTGTATGTGGGGAGGAGGACCTTAAAATCTATTCTAAATATTACTATTATATTATATTAGTAAGAAAGAATAAGTAAGAAAGATTTAATAGACTGCATTAGTTTTATATATTTCTAAGTGTTCATCTATTCATCCTTGTTGTGTTTACTTTTTATAGTTTTTCTTGCATTTAGCTTGATCACTAGGATTGGTAAGGCAATATATTCTCCATAAAGATTTAAATTTGAATTGAACATAAATTTGAATATAAATTGATTTATATTGAACTATATCCACTATCAACTATCAACACAATCTCTTGTGTGCGTTTGCTGCAGCTTTCTGTTCTCTCACGACTGGATTTACTTCTGTTGTCTTGTGTTAATAAATGTCCACTGCGCTCGCATCCAACGCCTCATTTGTCTGCAGCAGCCACGTTACAACCGCACTACTTCATCTCTGTGTCTGATTTAAAACCGACAGAATGCTAGATCTAACGAGTCGCAGCGGACGAAAATAACCGCCATTTTAATCCTTCCAGTCAAATTCAGTGATGCAAACATCAATGACAGCTTTGACTTGTCAATTCTGGCAAATGACCATGGTATAATAGGCATAATCCACGCCTAGCTGTGCTTTAAATTATTTGAATGGACTCTGCTTCGCGTCAGGCGGTTCTTTGCCTCCACATCGTGCATTAAAATAATTTAATATACAGCTAGCCGTGGATTATTCCTTACTTAAATTACATATCACAAACCACATTATATTGACAAAGCTAAAAGTGGTGAAACTAAACATTTTCAGTTATCCATTGGTTATCAAGGTAACAGCTCAGCTTACTAACTGACTGGTTAAGAAAAGCAGTTTTGATTAGGAAATCATGATTAAACTGTACATTTTTTGATCAGGCATTGAAGAAGGGGGATTCTTACAGCACAATGGCGCATCATAATAAATAATTTTCAACATTGTTAAAAAAACACAAACAGAACCCTGCACCAAAATCAACGCAAACTACTAAATTAATATGCATTATATACATTTTTTTAAAACAAGCTTAAAGGGATAGTTCACTTTGAAATTAATTTTTGGTATGTTTTAGCTTACCTCAAGGGCATCCAAGATGTAGGTGTCTTTGTTTCCGCAGAAGTTTCAATTTTGATATTTTTAGGTCAAACCGTTCTTGTCTGTCAGTCATATAATGCAGGTCTACGGTCACTTCCTCAAAGAGCATGCACAGAGAAGTCCAAATTAAACATGATTTAATGACTCGTAAATGTAAGTACACATTAATGGCCTAAGACACGAAACGAGCGGTTTGTGTGAGAAAACGAACAGTATTTATATCGTTTTTACCTCTTGTAAACACAGACACGTCCAACATTTTTTCCGGAAAGCGCCGGAAGTGATCTCTCGCGCGTGTACGTCACTCATTGTTTACACAGAACAGAGATTGTAGGTAAGACGGCTAATTATAATGGTACTAATTTGCGCTTATCCGAGATGTTTAAACCGTCGTAAAAGAAAACAATTAAAAAAAATAAATAAATAAAACAATTGTATTAGTGATGTACACGCGCGAGATATCACTTCCGGCGCTTTCCGGAAAAGACCGAAGCGCCGGCGCCCTCATATCACTTGGACGTGGCTGTGTTTACAAAGAGGTAAAAACGATATAAATACTGTTCGTTTTCTCACACAAACCGCTCGTTTCGTGTCTTAGCCCATAAATGTGTACTTACATTTACGAGTCATTAAATCATGTTTAATTTGGACTTCTCTGTGCATGCTCTTTGAGGAAGTGACCGTAGACCTGCATTATATGACTGACAGACAAGAACGGTTTGACCTAAAAATATCAAAATTGAAACTACTGCGGAAACAAAGACACCTACATCTTGGATGCCCTTGAGGTAAGCTAAAACATACCAAAAATTAATTTCAAAGTGAACTATCCCTTTAAAAACACCCACAGTGCTGTCAGGACAGCTCGGAGAATCCAAAAGATCTGTAGCATTAAAAAAATGATGAATAGGACTTCCTGGCTTACCTCCGGTCGGACAGACAGTGCGGCATTGAAGGCGTCCACAGCTTTGTCAAACTCTGAGCTGAGGTTGAAGAGCACACCCAGGCCTGTCTGGAGGTCAGGGTCCACCCCTTCAGCGCTCTGCACTGCCTCCTGGTACAGCTCCAACACCTCCACCAGCTGAGAGCTGCACACAACACACAACACACACCATGAACAAGGGCAGGGCCATATGAGGACATATATCGTGGCGATGATATAAACTGTCAGTTGATAGCACATTCCAGGGCCAGGTTTTATGGCTGGGCCCCTCTCTTTCTGCAACGGTGTAAAAAGCTTTGCTACATTTTGATTGGATCTTGGTGGACTAGCACAAACAAATGTCCAACACCACCAGATAAGGATGCTAGGACTGACAGACACCTCAAGCACGGGAGGGTTTCCACAGGCAGTTTCTGCCCTGCACTCATCTCTAAGGTTCAAGCCAACCGCAATAACAATTATTTGGGACATTTTGGGTGCAACAGCAGTGGTTCAAACAAATCAATTTTCATTTATAACAAATCCATTCATAACTATGCTTGGAAACCTTAAAACTGATGTAAACTACACATTCATTTAATATAAAAAATTGTGCTGGGCAACGATTAATCACGATTAATCGCATCCAAAATAAAAATAAAATCCTATTATAAATAAAATTATACACAGTACACATGCATGTTATGTAAACACAAACTTTTAATTTGGATGCGATTAGTCGCGATTAATCGTTGCCCAGCAATAAAAATAAATCTTACACAAATTCAGCTGTTAATGTATAAATGAATGCATGAATGACAGTTCAATCTTTTTGCCAAAAAGGCTACAACTTTCCAAAGGTATTCTGGTGGTGGTTTGGGAAGTGAGAAATGCACTGGAATAGAGAAACAGCAAATTGCAATCTCCTCCTCATCGGAAAGGGATAAATGTACCCTTTCAACCGACACTCCTTGTTCTGAGTCTCAGGCCTGTAAGAGGAGAAACAGAAACAGATCAACCGGTTCTGAATCTCCCATCTGGAGAGACATTAACAGACACGCCGTTCTGAGCCTCCGGCCCGTTACAGGGAAGGCAGCAACAGATACACCCAGGTTCTGAATCTCCAACCTGCAAAGGTGAGACATTATCAGATACAACGTTTTGAGACTCTGGTTTTGAGACTCTGTTTTTGAGACTCATGAAGCAAAATATTCGCAATAACCAAAGAAGCATGACTCCGTGCCAGAGAGACAAAAGCGGATTGACCAAGTCCTGAGGGTCTGGCCCAGAGAGGCAGAAGAAAAACAGGCATTTGCAAAAAGGTTAAGCTCAGGAGGGCAATCCTTCACTTCCGGGCCTCTTCTGCATGTTCCAGATTTTAGGAACCCTTTTTGGTGCTCCAGGAGGTCAGCATCCCGCCGCAGAGCTTCGTGTTCAAGGCTGTTGAAACGTATTCCGGCTCCTTTCCCCACTGACTTCTCACCCAGTAAAACTAGGGGAAGACTTGACCGCCATCGGACACTCGACTTCGTGGAACATAAATATCACTTTACCAATCCTCTTAGAGACCTTGGCATTGTTGTATATCATCAGTATATGATTCTCTCATTTGCATTAGATGTTATATAGCTGATGCTAGTCAATAACAAATAATCTTTCATTGTTTTCTTTGATGCATAAGGTTCTTCACCTTATTAGTTTCAGAGAA